GGTTTTTATTTGCTTTTTTTTATTTGTTGGCATTACTCTGGTTCTTTTTAGATTTTCCTTCTCATCAGTGATGTGCATAAGAGTTTTAGGTAACACTTTATAATAACTACACACTATGAATCATGTATTAAGCATTAGCATAGTGAATTTGATAAGCATTAACTCTACATTAATAAACGTTAGTAAGCCGTTTATAAGTGCATCTACAAATGCTTTATTTTTGACTTACAGCCACATTTATAATCTGCTTAATAATTGTACTTTGATATTTTGTGACTGGTTGATTTTTCATTACTTAATTAAGCGTTGCATTATTACCAAATCATTTGTATTTAATAGTAGCTGGTTATTTTTTAAGATAATTCAGAATGCGTAGGTAAATGATTAATAAAGTATTGAAATCAACATTTATATATTATTATTCAGGCATATACTAATAGTTACTTTGTATTTTAATAAATGCTTTATTAACACAATTTCATCTAGTCGTGTGAGCTAATCTAGAACTAGTTATGCTTTATAAATCCTTAAAAATGACAATTAAAGGTTCAGTATCAAACAATAATCTTTGCAATCTTATCTGAAAAGTTTAATTACTGTAAAGTTTAAACATTGCTGAATACCAATAGTGTCAAAATACAACATAAAACTGGATAAAACAACAATATAATAATTTACAATATAATAGGATGCAATGTTTAAACTGTGCAGTAGTTTTATTTTAGATAAGGTTGCAAAGATTGATTTCATTGGTGTATCTTCAAATGAATGTAAATGAATAAAGTTGTATATTTTCTTTTTTCCTGTTTAGAAAAGAATTGAGCCATGAATAGTCATTTATCAGGGATTTATAAAGCATAAATAGTCCTCACTTTAGATTAGCTCACACAACTGGATGTTAAGTTAACATACGATACAAGTTAAGTTAATAAAGCATTTATTATCATACAAATTTACTATTAATACATGCCTGAATAATACAAATTATACATGTTAATTTGAATAGTTTGATAATCACTTACTAACTCATTCTGAAAGATCTCAAAAAAAAAAAAAAAAAAACACCAACTATGCTTAAATAACTGCTCTGTAAAAATGCAATACTTAATTTAGTAATGAAAAATAAATAATTAACAAGATATGAAACTACATTTATTAAGCACATTATAACTGTGGTTTTAACTCAAGAGTACAGCATTTGTAATTGCAGTTTTAAACTTCTTACTAACTTATTAATGTATTAAGTTAGTTAATGCTTCACAGATAATGAATTCACGATTTGCTAATGCTTAACAAATGGTCATAGTGTGTAGCTATTATAACGTGTTACCAAGTGTTATGTTACACCTACTGTAGATCATGTTTACTCCATTACTTTAATTTTATGTGTGCTACCATGATGGTGTTTAGTAGTTGTGTGAAAACAATGTGCTTCTCTGCTTGTGGGTAAAATTGTTTGAGGTGAGCATTGGTTTATCACATGACATTCTCATCTCTATATGTTAATAGTTGTGTTAACATGCGTGTCTGGTTAACAAAGGATATGATGTGTAGATGTTATACTTCAAAACACTGCTATATTAAACACTAAATTAATGAAATATGGAAGTTTACTGTAAAAATTTGAAATCCCTTTTATGGTTTGTATTATTTTTAATGATGAAATACCAGCAACCACAGCTGCCATTTCTTTATCGTGAAGGTTTTTTTTAATCTGCTTAATTTTTAATCAACTCTAATTGCATCAGTCAAATGGATTTAAAATTTTAAGTTAAACTTTGTACAACAACAACAAAAATAGATGAAACTGGTGAACTTGAATAAAAGCTAGAGTTCATGTTGGGTGATTTATTTCCTACAGGATCAAGAAGAGATTCAAGACTCATCTCCACTCTATTCAGTCCAGTTACCCACAATCCCCTCTGATGGGCTTCTGTATGCATCCGTCAGTTTTCAGAAGCATGGAGAGTCTCTCGTTGAAGCTGCAGTTGCCTTCAATAAAGACGAGACTCACTGTGACTATGCATCTGTCAACCACAGACTCACACATAACTAACTTTCCCAAGCCAACATACTGTTATTCTATTTAAACATATCATCATTATTATTATTATTGTTATTATTATTTCATCTTCTCCTCCTAGGCTTTAATGCTACACGCCCCAAATTGGGCCAAAAGCTATGTTCTGCATTACAGTTTGTTGCTATGTGTCTTTTCAGAGTTGCTGTTTTACTATAAATATTTTTTAAGTATTCATTCATTCATTCATTTATTCATTCATTCATCATCCCTTTATTAATCCAGGGTCGCCACAGCAGAATGAACCACCAACTTATCCAGCACGTTTTTACGCAGCGGATGCCCTTCCAGCCGCAACCCAACTCTGGGAAACATCCACACACACTCATTCACACTAGTACACTACAGACAATTTAGCCTACCTAATTCACCTGTACCACATTTTTTTTGGAAAGTGGGGGAAAGCGGAGCACCCGGAGGAAACTGTTTGTATTGTGAAGTCCTAGTTGGGAAACTGCATTTTAAGCTCAGCCTAGAGACTTCCTTATTGTCCAGATAACTGAATGTTTGGAAAATGTATTGGTATGCTGTCTGAATAAGATTTGACTTTTTGGATATCATCATTATGAAGTCCTTAAATCAACGCAAAGTAGATCAACATATTTCAACGCACTAAATGTTTTTTGTGACTAGCTTATTTTTTCTATGCATATATATATATATATATATATATATATATATATATATATATATATATATATATATATATATATATATATATATATATTATTTTTTAGATAGAAAATATATTGAATTAAAGAATAATGTACCGAAATTAAAGTTAATGGGTGAGTGTAGCGGAGACCAGCTAGTGAAGTGATGTGCAGGTAAACTTCACTCTTAGCTAGAAGCCATGGTTTTTAGCCTCCTTGGTAGAGCAACCAATTCCCATGTGGAAAATCATCGATTCGATAGCAGCTCCAAGTGGGTTGGGTGGTGTAGGACCAGTGGGGTTACATAAGCATCAGAAAATGTTGTAATGCGAGATTTCGTTAAAGATCATTAAAGATTACTGTTACAAGCTCAAAGCTTTTGTAAAATATAATCAACAATTTATATATTAATAATAATTTTATAAAATATAATAATCAAGTATAAACTAAATAGAGAAATAATAAAATTAATTAGCACATTAAAAAGTAATAAAGCAGAAACATTTATAATTTTGTGGAAAATAAAAAAATAAATAAGGCCCTTGGGTGTGATTTTGCCTAGAAGCCCAATGTATTCTCAGCCCCGTATATGATGATTGATGATCTTCAACATTAAATTTAATTCTCGCTAAATCAATTATCTACATCTAAAAAGGTTTCACGGTCCATGACATCTTTTTGATTTCAGAAAATCCTTTATTTTACATAGTGAAAAATGATCATCGTAAGTTTCCGTGCTCTGATTATTATTTCCGTGCCCCCCCACACACACACATTCCATGGCCAATTTATTTTATTCAATTATCAAACAGCGACCTTCTTGCTGTGAGCTGTGAGGCCACAGTGCAACACCACTGAGCCACCGTGTTGCCCTGCTCTGATTTTTCTGGAAATACACTCAATCTTATCCATCAGACTCTTTCTCATTTTGATTAGTAATGAAGTGATGTGTGATGTATGGACTGATTTGGGAGCAGTTTGATACATGCTCATCAGCGGATTTAAGGGTTTGTTTGACGAGGTCGCATTTTCAGATCCAGAACATTGACTGAAGCCTCGTTCTTACATGTCCTACAGTATATATATAAAGCATATTGCTGATTGTCACAATGCAAATACAATATTACACGCTACATTGTTGTCACTATTCACAATCATGTGCTAAAATGTGCTTTAGTTGCAGTTTTGAGAAAGTTAATTACAAAAGACTGAGTCTCAATGACTTTTTCATTAGTTAAATTGAGTTAATTAACAATTAATAAGGAAATTGTCTGACATTTGTTCCACTGTGAGGGGTTTCCCCAAAAAGGTTGTTAAATATCCAAAAGAGACACTGAAGATGCAGGATAAACCACAAATCCAGCATAGATGTCTTCAGTGAATGTGGTGTTGAATGTGTGTATGAGTGTGAGTGTGTCAGAGACACTGTAGAAGGACAGAGAACCGGCCGGCACATCCACATACACTCCTACTCTATTAGTCTTAGATGAAGGAGCAGTAATATCATCACTCTTGTTATTGTGCCAGGAACAGTAAACCTCATCACAGCAGTACAGACTCCAAGAGTGTTCATTGCGTCCAAATCGACAATTACTCCCACTTTTTCTCTCGATCGCTTTATAAGCAACACCTACATGACCAGAGCCGCTCCATTTCACCTCCCAGTAACAGCGTCCAGTCAGAGTCTCTCTACACAGAACCTGCTCCTGTTGATCAAATCTGTCTGGATGATCAGGATACGGCTGAGGATCTGTCACATGTGTTGCTGTTTTGTTTCCATCAGACAGGATGAGTTGATTGTGTGCTGTGTTTGGATCCAGTGTGATATTAACTGCATCTGAACACATAAAGGCATAACATTAAATATGCACAGTTGTGTGTGTGTGTGTGTGTGTGTGTGTGTGTGTGTGTGTGTGTGTTTGTGTGTGTGTGTGTGTGGACCTACATTTCCTCAGTCCAGATATGATCCTGAAATGTCCTTCATAATCCAAACTAAATAAAACCAAAACACAAGCCATGCAGGCTGTTTATTGAACTGAAGTATAGTGAGAAACAGTTTTACAATACTATAGGATATTTTTTACAAAATATTATTCAAATGAGAAATCAGCAAGAATTTTACTCTTGTGCTTATCTACATGTAACTTTAAACTGTAATGATAAATTAACATATTCAACATGTGCAGTGTTTAACTAACATTAAAACTAAGAGTACTAGTATTAGTACACTAGTGTAAAACCTTAAATGCAAGTAATGCCCCACATACTTGAGTTTCTGCAGTGTGTAGTGTGGATCCTCCAGTGTGTGTTGGAGCAGCTGGACTCCTGATTGTCCTGGGTGATTGTAGCTCAGATCCAGCTCTCTCAGGTGTGAGGGGTTTGAACTTAGAGCTGAAGATAGAAAACCACAGCCTTCCTCTGTCACCATACAGCCAGACAACCTGCAGAGACAGACAAACAGATCATCTACAGACAGATATCAGCATAATCAGCTGACTTTACATTACATTTTCATTTAGTTTATTCCTTGCTTTTATCAGGGGTCACCACAGTGGAATGAACCACACATTACTCTGCCATATGTTTTACACCTGATGTAAACAAACATACCTCAGTATCTCCAGCTGACAGTTTGGACTCTTCAGTCCATCAGAGAGCAGCTTCACTCCTGAATCCTGCAGGTCATTGTTACTCAGGTCCAGCTCTCTCAGCACACAGTTTGAGGATTGAAGAACTGACGACACAATTTCACAATCCTGAGCAGAGAGATTACAGCCAGCAAGACTGAAAGAAGAGCAGAACAAACGAGAATTCAGTTTTACCTAAAAAATACTCAACATTTATTAATTCAATACCAGAAATGCAAATTTCATTCAGCAATGTCTCTTCACCAGATTAAACACTAACAGAGCTCTTGTGCAGTTGCTGACGGCTGGTATCAGTCTTCTCCTGCCCTCATCTGATGTGTTGTATTTCTGGAGCTCCAGCTCATCCAGCACCTCCTCTGACATCTGAAGCATGTAGGCGATTGTTGAGCAGTGAGCAGGAGAGAGTTTCTTCTCTGACTGTTTGTCTGATTTCACAAACTCCTGAATCTCTCTGGACAGAGTCTGATCTTTCACTTCCAGCAGACAGAGGAACAGATTGATGGATCTTTCAGTGGAGAGTCCATGTCCATCTCTGATCTTCTCTTTAATGTACTGTGTGCTTCTCCTGATGCTCTTTGAGCTCTTCTCTGTGTGTGTCAGTAGATCCTGGAAGAGTCTCTGATTGGACTCCAGTGAGACGCCCAGCAGGAACCGCAGGAACAGATCCAGATAACCATTCTCACTCTCAATGGTTTTATCTACAGCACCTTTAAGCAGGTTTTCGACCGAGGCAAAATTCCTCAGTCCATCCATAGTTGTGTTCACATGGTAGTAAAACACATAGAAAGCAGCGAGGAACTCCTGAACACTCAGATGGATGAAGCTGTAGACTTTCCTCTGCTGAATCACAGATTCCTCCTTAAAGATCTCAGTGCAAATCCCAGAATACACTGAGGCGTCAGAGACGTCTACGCCGCTCTCAATCAGGTCCTCCTCATAGAACATCACATTGCCCTTCATCAGCTGTCTGAAAGCCACTTCAGCAAGTTTGACAATCACTTCTCTGTTGGACTGCAGGAGTTTCTCTGGATCTCTCTCTTCATACTTCTGATTCCTCATGTTGATCTGAATCAGCAGGAAGTGGATGTACATTTCAGTCAGAGTTTGAGGGATTTCTGCACTCAGATCTTCTTCCAGGAGCTTCTGAAGCACAGTGGATGAGATCCAGCAGAAGACGGGTATGTGGCACATGATGTGGAGGCTTCTTGCTCTTCTGATGTGTGAGATGATTCTGCTGGCTTGATGCTGCTCACTGATTCTCTTCCTGAAATATTCCTCCTTCTGAGGCTCAGTGAATCCCTGAATTTCTGTCAGACGCTTGATGTATTTGGAGGGGATCTGATTGGCTGCTGCTGGTCTGGAGGTGATCCAGATGAGAGCAGAGGGAAGCAGCTCTCCTTTCATCAGCTTTGACATCAACACAGCCACTGATGAAGTCTCAGTCACATCACAAACTTTCTGAGCGTCTGAAAACATCAGTGTGATTCTGCTTTCATCCAGACCATCAAAGATGAACACAACTTTACACTCCTCATAAATCTTGGGCTCCAGATCTTCAAGTTCAGGATGAAAGTCCAGCAGAAGTGTGTGAAGACTGTACTGATGATCTCTGATCAAGTTCAGCTCTCGAAATGGAAGCACAAACATGAAATCTACATCCTGATTGGCTTTTCCCTCGGCCCAGTCCAGAATGAACTTCTGCACAGAGACGGTTTTTCCGATTCCAGCGATGCCTTTAGTAAGAACAGTCTTGATTTGCTCTTTCTCCTCTTTAAAGATGTCATTGCAGTAGATTGGAGTGTGTTGGGAGTGTTTTGTTCTGGCTGTTTTCTCCATCTGTAAAACCTCATGTTCTTCATTCACTCCTTCACTCTCTCCCTCTATGATGTACAGCTGGGTGTAGATCCGGTTCAGGAGGGTTTGGTTCTCTTGGAGTGTGTTTCCCTCAAATAATCTCTCATATTTTTTCTTCAAACTGGTTTTGAGTTTGTCTTTGACTCTCTGCAGGTCTCCAGTTTCCTGTGCTTGTGTCTTAAGAACTGTTTCTTGATTCTCCTGTTTTTTGTGAGTTTGTAAGTTGAATTTAATTGACGACACCAATTTGGTCTGTTCATGGATTTCTCTGTTGCTGAAGTTAAAATGAAGAAATAAGTGTGATTTAATCCTCATGGAAGACTGTCAGAAAATCCAATTTTGGGAATGGATTAATTGTATTTAAATGCATTCAAGTGAGATGTTCTATACATGCATGTGCAGTACTAACGGTCGTTTTGAGGTTGTTGGTCCATCACTGAATGTATGACGTTGCTCCATGGATCTGCTACTCTTCACAGACACACCACTGGGTTCTGGAGACTCTGAAATTTGCTTTCTACTGATGCTGAAATGATAAACAATGCATCATTTACTGCTCTACAAATACTGTTAGAGGTCATTAGATTTACATTCATTCAGTTTGGATAATTTTTAAATAAAATAATTTTCAAATGAGGAGTAAAACAAAGTACCAGTGAGACAAGAATTGATGCGCGTGCAAGTAGGACATTTATAAAAAAATAAAATAAAAAAAGACAAAAAATACCAGCAGGATTAGAACAACCAGAGGCTGAATGCATAATATATTTTCTTATCTGGGTGAACCATATGTTTAATTGTTTAAAAATAATCTTTAATTACAAAGAGCATGTCAGTTTCACTGCTTAGGACAAACATGAAACTCATGAACAATGGCGACGATTTTTAATTATTAACATTTAGCAGGACCTGCAAGGTGTATTTATGACCACATATGTCCATCTCTTATTAAGACGTTTCAAATATTTGCAAGGATCAGTCTACCAGTGAAGAACAGTGATAGTGAAGGTTCTGGAAAGTGATTTTGTGTCTCTCTAAATTTTCTCAATATTTACTCACACTGTCAACCCAAGCTCATTCTGAAAACGTAGCCTCGCGGATGTTTCTGGAGACCGGGATTTACCTGGCTGGAGGTACGTATGGCCGCATTTGTTTTTCTTCGAGCGAACGCTACAGGGCGGTGTGAAGCCGCTCCTCTTCTTCGCACTCGCCGGCTGGGCTGACGGCTCACTCACCAGCTCGTGGTGTTACATCGGCAGAGCAGAGGCACGGAGGAGGAGGGGCTACCCACGGCGACGACCGGCTTCGAGTCCGGAGAAGAGCGGTTCCAGAAATCAGGTAAGATGAAAAACAGAATCCAAAAAATTTTGAAGCGAACGAGTTTGTGACGGGGCGAGAATGCAGCAAAATCCGAAAACGCGGACAAGGGATTTTGCTTTTCTTTTCTGGACGGCTTTTGTAAATTGTCGCTTGAGTTTAGTGAAGGAGGAGGAGGGCGGCTGGGTCAGCCGATTGGTCAGACCGACGGTCGCTCGACAGCGACCTCCGGCGGCTTTTCGCGCGAGAACAGTGCGGACGTAAATGGCAGCGCTCCTGAGAGGCGTTCAAAACGCGAAAAAGCGCAGCGCAGCGGCCTCTCGCGGATTCGCGAAAACAAAAACTGCACAAATACGTACCTCCCGGGACGTATTTTGCGGTCTTCAGAAACGTCTGCGGGGCCACGTTTCCAGAATGAGCCTGGGTTGCACACTGTAGTGGTTCCAATTTTTTTTTCTTCAATTAACACCATACAAATATTTTGAAGAATGCTAGAAACTGGTAGCCATTGACATCCATGGTGGGAGAATAATTTACAGCGTATGACGATGGCTACCAGTTTCCAACATTCTTCCAAATATTTTTGTGTCCAACAGAAAGTATAATTATTTTAAGGTGAACTATCTCTTTAAGCTAACTAAAAATATACTTGTCTTACCTGAGGTCAGAGGTCACTGTTCCATCATTGATTTGTGGAGAAACAAAATTCTTGGATTGATCACTCTTCATAGACACGCAGGTTGATCCAGGAGATGCAGAACTCATTTTAGAGCCCTTTCTCTTGCTGAGACTCATTTTAAGGTCACAGACGTCTCTCACTGATACTTCCTAAATAAACTCTGAGTGGTTAAATTTAAACATATTTATGTAGAAGCCCATAATAAAGTCTCATTTTGAGTTTAGAGGTAATGATGATGATTCTGTAAAGAAAACAATTCATTTACTGACACTCCATTTAAAAAAAAAAAGAATTTAATTGTCCTGTTGAGCTTAATGTATTTATTATAGAAACTTTGAGTTGTTTATCTTCTTTAAAAACTCATTTTTTAACATCATTAAAATGATTTTGTACATCATTGTATTTAGTTTGCTCAGTTTATGTCAGACTAAAATGAAACCATAAAAAAATAAGGATTCAATTAAGTTAGATTAAATTAAGCACTTTTTGTAAGTGTTTATAACAACAATCACATTTGTTAACAGTGATATTGCTGTTTTTATGACCAATATATAATATAACTAAAATATAGATAATATTTAAATATATATTATAACAAAAATCTGTTATTATGCATAAATAACACACTACACGGAGGTTTGAATCTTCATGCAAAAAGAGGCAATTTTTAAAAAGACGACACGATTACATTAAGAATAAGTTCTTACCAGAAAACATGTGACCATTGCAAATCCAGTTCTGACAGGTTTATAGCTTGGTGTCTTGTATTTCTACCTCTTTTTCTGTTTCTGTCATGTGAACATCAGTTACACTTCCTTTATTTTTAACAGAGCTCTCACATTTTTTTTTTGGTTTCTGTATTTATTTGCAGATATGTATGTAAATACATGCAAATATCTTGCATTCACATACTTTTAGGGACTAGGTGATACAAAATCCAATATATAATTAAGCTAATTGTAAAGATAAATGACGGTAAAAGAAAAAAAGGTGAAGCTGGCTTACTTGGTTTGGGACTTGTTGAGCTGCGCATCAATGGATTTGCTCTTCAGGGTTTGGACTTTCAGCAGGGAAATTAAACCACACTCAACTGGACTGGGGGCGACACAGTAGAGCAGTAGGTAGTGCTGTCACCTCACAGCAAGAAGGTTGCTGGTTTGAGCCTTGGCCGTGTCAGTTGGTGTTTCTGTGTGGAGTTTGCATGTTCTCCCTGCGTTCGCGTGGGTTTCCTCCGGGTGCTCCGGTTTACCCCACAGTCCAAACACATGTAGCACAGGTGAATTGGGTAAGCTAAATTGATTGTAGTGTATGAGTGTGTATGGTTGTTTCCCAGTGATGGGTTGCAGCTGGAAGGACATTCGCTGTGTAAAACGTGCTGGATAAGTTGGCAGTTCATTCCACTGTGGTGACCCCGGGTTAATAAAGGGACTAAACCGAAAAGAAAATGAATGAATGAACTGAACTTACACAGTTTATATTTACTAGAACTTCTGTGTTCAGCTGCTTTGACACAATCTACATTGTAAAAGTACTAGAGAAATAAAAATGACCTCAATTTAATTGGAAACGATTTCTTTTAATAGGGGCAGATCATCAAGACCTCAAGGAACTATTTCATTGAGTCGAGAAAATTGTGTTTTAAGTGTGAATAAAATGTAAATATTAATTCTAACCAATTTCCACTGTTAAACTTTTGTTTCAAACTAATTTATCACAAAGTGTAATATAAAGCACGTTGCACTGAACATTTATCAATGGCTAATGATAATCCTTACCAGGCCAGTTGATGTTTCTGTGCAGAGATGTCCTCGAGATCTGCCTGACCTTTACAAGACATTTTCTTTGCATGTTTGCATGTGTTTATTTTCCATCTATGAACACAGCAACCATTAACTGCCATTATAAGAATCACCAGGGACCACAGTTTTGCAAAACATCTTTTTTTATGTTCTACTGAAGAAAGAAAGACACCTACATCTTTCATCTTTGATGACCTGTGGGTGAGTAAATTAGCAGTAAATCTTCTTTTATGGGTGAAGTATCCCGTTAAGTTAATATACACTGTTGTTAGGTAAGTTCAGACTGTTAACTAAATGGTTAATGTAGCCTATTAAATAATGACAAAAAAAAATGTATTACAATTTTGCTGCTGTCTATCTGTAGTTGATTGTACAAAATATGATTTAGCATTCACAGTTGATCATTTGGGAATAATGTACAGTTTTAGTTGGGTTTAGCGGGAGGTAATAGGTACAGATTACATTTTCCAACAAAAAATTATGGTCCAGGACGAACATAGATATTAATCCAGGATCACATTGTACCTGGCAAAACCATAACGTGTGGGTATTGAAGATAGAGAAAGTGTGTTTCATTGCACATCTGCATTCCTGCAGGAATTGCACCAGCAAGCTTTTGTTTACAAGTTCAACTCACTTGGCCATTAGCTCACAACTACACATCTAGGAGCAAATCCAAGCCAAGAGTCGAGCTGTGTTAAAGTCCCCAGCCATGTTTGAGCTATGTTTAGGATATGTATTGATTGAGCCAAAGAAGTGTGCATGCAACGTTTCTGGTCACGGAAGTGCGCATCAACACAACCAGACTCTTGGCTTGGTTCCGGTGTGGGTCTTGGTAAGTAGTTGAGGGTCTGGACCCACAGTGGACATTATGACCCTGCCCACATGAATCTGATATACACAATCACATTCTGCAATTAAATTAACTCTGAAAATGGAAATAGTGACAAACAAGTGTTGGTACGTGCATAAATGTTTCTGCTGGACTTCTGAAAGATCAATAGCAACTTTCATGTGTTTATAGAAGAAGGGGATGAAATCACTCAGCACATTCCGTTTGTCTTGTCCCTATTCCCTACCATTCAAAAGGATCACCCTCTGAGGAAAGCCTTGGAGGAATTAGGGCATAGGGAAGAGCCCTTAAAATTGGAACATGCTGTACAACACCAGATAGCTTCCATGTGAAAAGAATTAATGAGGTCTGATGTGTCAATCAGTTGTACCCTTTGACATGCTTCTGAAGAGCACTTCTAGGGACAGAAAGTGGTCTTCTAAGTGGTCAGTTTTAAGCACTTTGGTTTGGAAAAACACTTCAATGTGGTGGTCATGACTGTTTTGTCACTTCGAAGTTCCCTTCACAGTGTGATACAGTATATTTCATTTGGAACGTACTGTCTGACTGCACTCTAGCATGAAGGAACATAATAGCATTGAAAGCCTGTTACTTACTGTCATTATAACACATTCAAAAGTGTAAGTTTCAAAGCCAGACAAACTTATTTTTAACAATTTAATTAAGGTAATGAATACTGTGAATAAAAGCATGTAATGTTGTCCGGTTGTCAATATTCAACCAATATTTTACACCAGGGGTCACCGATCTCGTTTCCAGAGGTCATGCAGGGTTTAGCTCCAACTTGCCTTAACACACCTGCCTGGATGTTTTAAGTATACCTAGTAACCCCTTGATTAGCTTGTTTAGGTGTGTTTGATTAGGGTTGGAGCTAAAATCTGCAGGACACCGGCCCTCCAGGAACAAGTTTGGTTTCCTTGTTCTAGATAGATTACTAAGAAAAGACAACAGCAGAAGATGGATCTTTCACAGACATATGTTTATTTTAAGAACAAGGCGTCTATGAATTTTTTTTTTCAGAACAGAAAAGTCCTACAAAAGTTCTGTAGAAAAAAATGATCACAGGCTAAATTAAAATTTGTCTCTGTGTGGTGTACTCTGGCACAAAGACAGTTCAGACTCATAAACTCTGAACCCAGCATAGAGGTCTTCAGTGAATGTGGTGTTGAATGTGTGTAAGTGTGTGAGTGTGTGTGTGTCAGAGATGCTGTAGAAGGACAGAGAGCCTGACGGCACGTCCACATACACTCCTACTCTATTGGACTGGGGTGACAGGGCTGGTATGTCGATTCTCTTTTTATTGTGCCAGACAGTGAATCTGTCATCAGAGTAATCCAGACTCCAGGATTTGTCATTGTACCCAAACCTGCAGTAGCTGCCTCCCTTCCTCCTGATTCCTCTATACGTCACCGCTGCATGACCCCATCCACTCCATTTCACCTCCCAGTAACAGCGCCCAGTTAGTTTCTCTTGGCACAGAACCCGTTCACCACCAACAAATCTCTCTGGGTGATCAGGATACGGCTGTGGCTCTTCTGTGTATGTTGCCTTTCTGTTGTCCTCAGACAGGATGATGTTAGTGTTTGCAGTGTTTGGATCCAGAGTGAGATCTACTGCATCTGAACACAAGAGGAGAGATCAAAAACATATTAAAAACATTTCACAGCGCTGTTCAGAACTGTAAGAGCCATGCAAAGTATGAGAGGACCCACATTTATTCAGTCCTGGTGTGATTCTTAAAGCACCTCCATTGTCCACACTAGAAAATACACATTATTCAGAAGAAGAAATTATTCTTCCAAAGCATAATAATGAATGTTTGAAAACTCACGTAAACGCTCACAAATGAATCAATGAATGATTTTGTCACACTTACTTGAGTTTCTCTATTGTGTGTTGGAGCAGCTGGACTCCTGATTGTCCTGGGTGATTGTAGCTCAGATCCAGCTCTCTCAGGTGTGAGGGGTTTGAACTCAGAGCTGAAGATAGAAAACCACAGCCTTCCTCTGTCACCATACAGCCAGACAACCTGCACACACCAATGCACAAACAGATGGATCATCTTCAGATATTGACATAATTCTCTCTTTTATTTATTCTTAATACCTCAGTATCTCCAGCTGACAGTTTGGACTCTTCAGTCCAGCAGAGAGCAGCTTCACTCCTGAATCCTGCAGGTCATTGTTACTCAGGTCCAGCTCTCTCAGGACACAGTTTGAGGATTGAAGAACTGACGACACAATTTCACAATCCTGAGCAGAGAGATTACAGCCAGCAAGACTGAAAGAAGAAAAGCACAAGGGAATTTAATACGAGGTAAATATATGCAAGAAACAAAGCAGTAACATAAACACTCACAGAGCTCTTGTGCAGTTGCTGACGGCTGGTATCAGTCTTCTTCTGCCCTCATCTGATGTGTTGTATTTCTGGAGCTCCAGCTCATCCAGCACCTCCTCTGACATCTGAAGCATGTAGGCGATTGTTGAGCAGTGAGCAGGAGAGAGTTTCTTCTCTGACTGTTTGTCTGATTTCACAAACTCCTGAATCTCTCTGGACAGAGTCTGATCTTTCACTTCCAGCAGACAGAGGAACAGATTGATGGATCTTTCAGTGGAGAGTCCATGTCCATCTCTGATCTTCTCTTTAATGTACTGTGTGCTTCTCCTGATGCTCTCTGAGCTCTTCTCTGTGTGTGTCAGTAGATCCTGGAAGAGTCTCTGATTGGACTCCAGTGAGACGCCCAGCAGGAACCGCAGGAACAGATCCAGACGCCCATTCTCACTCTCAATGGATTTATCTACTGCTCTCTTATGTAAATTATGCAATGAATCTAAAAATGGCTCTGTGGTGTGGCTTATGAAATAATAAAACACATAGAAAGCAGCGAGGAACTCCTGAACACTCAGATGGATGAAGCTGTAGACTTTCCTCTGCTGAATCACAGATTCCTCCTTAAAGATCTCAGTGCAAATCCCAGAATACACTGAGGCTTCAGAGACGTCTACGCCGCTCTCAGTCAGGTCCTCCTCATAGAACATCACATTGCCCTTCATCAGCTGTCTGAAAGCCACTTCAGCAAGTTTGACAATCACTTCTCTGTTGGACTGCAGGAGTTTCTCTGGATCTCTCTCTTCATACTTCTGATTCCTCATGTTGATCTGAATCAGCAGGAAGTGGATGTACATTTCAGTCAGAGTTTGAGGGATTTCTGCACTCAGATCTTCTTCCAGGAGCTTCTGAAGCACAGTGGATGAGATCCAGCAGAAGACGGGTATGTGGCACATGATGTGGAGGCTTCTTGCTCTTCTGATGTGTGAGATGATTCTGCTGGCTTGATGCTGCTCACTGATTCTCTTCCTGAAATATTCCTCCTTCTGAGGCTCAGTGAATCCCTGAATTTCTGTCAGACGCTTGATGTATTTGGAGGGGATCTGATTGGCTGCTGCTGGTCTGGAGGTGATCCAGATGAGAGCAGAGGGAAGCAGCTCTCCTTTCATCAGCTTTGACATCAACACAGCCACTGATGAAGTCTCAGTCACATCACAAACTTTCTGAGCGTCTGAAAACATCAGTGTGATTCTGCTTTCATCCAGACCATCAAAGATGAACACAACTTTACACTCCTCATAAATCTTGGGCTCCAGATCTTCAAGTTCAGGATGAAAGTCCAGCAGAAGTGTGTGAAGACTGTACTGATGATCTCTGATCAAGTTCAGCTCTCGAAATGGAAGCACAAACATGAAATCTACATCCTGATTGGTTTTTCCCTCGGCCCAGTCCAGAATGAACTTCTGCACAGAGAGGGTTTTTCCGATTCCAGCGATGCCTTTAGTAAGAACAGTCTTGATTTGCTCTTTCTCCTCTTTAAAGATGTCATTGCAGTAGATTGGAGTGTGTTGGGAGTGTTTTGTTCTGGCTGTTTTCTCCATCTGTAAAACCTCATGTTCTTCATTCACTCCTTCACTCTCTCCCTCTATGATGTACAGCTGGGTGTAGATCTGGTTCAGGAGGGTTTGGTTCTTCAGGAGTTTGATCCCCTCGAATAAACTCTCATATTTGCTCTTCATGATGGCTTTGTGTTGGTCTTTAATTCTCTGTAGTTTATTAACCTTTGGTTTGTCTCTAGTTTGTCTCTTTGTGTCATTCAGCCTAAAGTCAGAGATCAAGTGTTTATCACTGAAGCTGACTCCTGCAATCATGGATGTGTTACTCTTCACAGACATACCACTGGGTTCTGGAGGCTCTGATCTGTTTCTACTGCTGATGCGTACAGAAGGCAAATGAAGAAGCAGTTTGAATATGAAACCGTAAAGTTAAAAAAGACAAGTCGAGATTGTCTAATTGTTAAAGCTAGACAAGAGCATGGTTAACAGAATTTAGCCAAGTCTTTGACTCCAGCCGTACTTTAGATGAATCCTATTGTTTACATGTTAATGAAAGTGTCTTACCTGAGTTCAGAGGTCACTGTTGCATCACTTAATCCTGGAGACAGATGTGACACTGAATGATCACTCTTCACACACACACAGCTTGATCCAGGAGATGCAGGACTCATTTTAATGGCAGAGTCCTCTTCTGTCTTGACACTAAGACTCATGGTAAAGTCTCTGTCCTCCTTTTACTGTGTTAGGTATGTTGAGAAACTTCAGACTTTACACATATATGAGTACTTCAGACATTTTTTTTTAAAGACTGGAGTTAAAGGTGTTCTCAATAACAGAAGTGCTGTATAAAGTAGTCTGTAGTATTATTTATGACCTATAGTACAACCAAATAAAAATCCTTAGTTAAACAACACTGCAATATTCTACCCATAATATGACTAATTTTATAGCTTTGGTTGTTGTTTCTCTATTATAAACAAAGATGTTTATTCAAAATATCAGTGTAGTATAATATCCTCTTTATTTGCAGAAATGATTCTGTTTGTCAAACATGTGTGGTTTTGACATGTGATTTATGTGTGTTACTTACAAGAAAGAGACTGTGGCATTAAAATAATATATCCAGACAGAAAGAATCACATGTCAAAACCACATCATCTGCTGAGAGGAACTGATACTCACATGCTTTATGACCGGCTGAGAGCTCAAAAGATCCTCCATTTTACAAAACTGAACAATATATCTTTCTTTCTGTAATTAATGAGTGAACATATACATACGACAACATGAATATTACTCCATAAGTTGCTGAATAGCACTTAAAGTGGTTCTTTGGCTATAATCACAGTGGAAACACTTTCACCTGAAAATAGCAGCCTGTCCACTCTAAAGAACTGCTGAAGAACCATTTCAGAATATTTGTAGGTTCTTTAAAGCATTAATTCTCCTAGAATTAATAGCAAAAGTACCACTGATTAATCTTTTTTTAGAGTGATATTCTTAACTTGCTAGCTTCTTTTATTAACACAAAAGCCTAATTACATGGAAAAATAAATATGTAAATGTAATTTTTTTCATAATTTTAGAAATGTTTTTAATCATTTTATTTTATTTATTTAATCATTTATTGTTATTTTTCTTTTCTCAGCCTTCATACACTCTATAGCACTGCATTTGTAGCAAATTGATTAACAATTTTTAAAAGTTAAAATCATTCAATACAGGCCTCAAGTCAACGTTACACAACAGATTTTAGTCTACATTTTTAACAGTGTGATACATAATAAATTTACAGTGAAATCACAGTAAATACTACACATTCTGAAGCAATATTCCTGTTTTATTGATATAAAAATGACACTAAAATGGCTTAAATTAAAATAATACATAATGAAATAATCAGTATTCAGGTCTAATCATAAATAATTTTTGTAGAACAAAAATAAGGTAACTTACCAGAGAATATGCAGCCACTGAAAATCCAGTGTCGACAGCATAAAAGCTCTGCATTGTGTACTTTCATCTTTGACTTTTGCTTACAGTTATATGAAACATGATTACACTTCCTTTTGTGGTGAAAAACATCATCATTTTCTAAGAGTAGTCTTGATGTAAGAGCATTTTAATCACTATTGCATGGAGCCATGTTATGTATACTAACTCTATTATTACTGACATTATATCATTTACTTTTTTTTTTTGTAAATGTATTGTTAATGAGATGAGTGCTAATATTACTGTAAGGTTTTACTATAAACACATTAATTCCCAACATGGCATATACTATAACAAGACTATTTCTTTGGCTCTTGGCAAAGAAGGTCACAATATTTTTCTCTCCCTCCCATATCTCTCCTGGCTGGGTCCTCTTGTCTTGTCTTATTCTATCTCTGGGGCTCTCCTTGTCCTGCTCTAAAAAAAAAAAATTAAAAAAAAAGAATTATGGATTTGATCAACTGGTCTCTAAACGCAATTGACACCATCGTCTCGAAGAGAAGTCTGGGTTCAGGGGAACCAAACTGTCCTGCAGGTACGATTGCAGCATGATACCTTTTGGACGAGTGAGAAAAGTGGTGCGTCGAGTGCCTGGCCGCTCTGTCCCTGTAGGATATTGAAGATATCCATCTATTTGTAACTTTAATAACATGATTTCTGCTGATAGGCTTAGGCAGAGCCCTAGGGTATCGACAGTTGATAAAAGTGGTCAGTGCAGCCCAAAACCCAACCACGCAGGCCGGGTGGCTTGACACAGTGTTAAGCAGAGTTATTAGCACTCAAGATTGTGGTTATGGATCACAAATTGGAAACATTGTGGAGAAACTAGCGGCTTTGTCACAAGATTTTGGACACCTGGAGACAAATGATGGATATTATTTATCTGTGAAATTGGCAGATATTGACCCAAATCTGGAAACTTTTTTCCCTTTTCTCTTTTGGGTTCTCTGTGACTCTCCTGCCAGAATGCCTCAGCTGGAGACAAACAACTTCCCCCGGAAAACAAGATAAGGAGATCCTCTGAATTCCTCCTCCTTATTCCAAGGACAACTCCCACATAGCAAAATTTCTCTAGCCCAGCTCTGGCCCACACAATCAGGTTTTGCTTGGCCCACATGCCGCAGTGAATTACGGTACATGACTGGACCAAATCTGGCTTCCAGATAAGGGCCAAACACAGACCATATCTGGGCCAAGTCTCAGCCAAGTTAATAACTCATAACTGGGCCTGAACTGGGCCAGATAGGTTGGTGTGTCACGATTGCAATGAAATTGATAAACCCATGGAGTGATGCGCTTTAGGCACACTATGGGCACGCTTTTTCTCAAAGTGAAGTGATTGGTAGAATTTTTTTTCTTTACTCAAAAATGATTTTAGTGTATTTTAAATGTGGGTCAAGACTGGCCAAACTCACATGGCCCACTTATCAAATTTTGTAATCTGGGCCAAATACTACGTTTTTCATCTGGCCCAAATCTTGTGTGCCGCCTTAAAAACGGTGCCACCTCTGCCAAACCCAGGCCATGTTTGGCCCACATGCTGTATGCCAGTGCCGGATGAATGCCTGCTGTGCCAGCTTTTTGCCAAATCTGGGCCAGAATTCTTTGCTACTAGGGCTGTTGAGACCTCACAGGCTTACACACACACGTACACAGCTACTGACAAACAATCACTGCCTGCCCCGCACCCCATGCGGGGTATGCTCATCACCCCCAGTGTGGGTGTGGCTTTCTAGTGGCAGAACTAGATAGCTGTTGCCTATATTGGACTATCTCCACATTCCCTGTTCCCATTACCTGTTGCAATGTCATGTGTATGTGTTTATATGCTTGTTGCTGGCGCTTCCCCCCTTCACATCTCACACTGCCTTTCTTCAAGGATAGTCTGAGAGGGGCTTATATTTTTTCACCTTCCTTTGCCTTAATGTATCTTATTTCCTCTTTCTAAGAGCTACCTCTCATCAGACCTGTCTTCCCCTGGAATGTCAGATATTTGTGTGTGGTCGGAGGGGTCCAATTTCACTACATGTAAGAGTTTATGTGACAAATAAAGACTTTCATCATCAACATCATCATCATAAAAAGGAAAAAAAAAAACTTGATTGCCTAAAAAGAGACTATTTGTCATGTCTCAAATTATGATTGCTGAATGTTGCACTGAGACACGGAGGATTCATAAACTCTGAATCCAGCATAGAGGTCTTCAGTGAATGTGGTGTTGAATGTGTGTAAGTGTGTGAGTGTGTGTGTGTCAGAGACACTGTAGAAGGACAGAGAGCCGGACGGCACGTCCACATACACTCCTACTCTATTAGACTGGGGCACAGAGATCAATATGTTAGAGCTCACATTATTGTGCCAAACAGTGAATCCACTTGAAGTGCAGTACAGACTCCAGGATTTGTCACTATATCCAAACCAACAGTCATTCCCTCCTTTCCTGCTGATTCCTTTATATGACACTGCAATTCCAGCCCCCTTGCCCCTCCATTCAGCCTCCCAGTAACAGCGTCCAGTCAGAGTCTCTCTACACAGAACCTGCTCATAGTTCTCAAATCTGTCTGGATGATCAGGATACGGCTGATGATCCTCCACGTGAGCCACTGTCCTGTTCTCCTCAGACAGAATCAGACGAGTGTGAGCGCTGTTTGGATCCAGTGTGAGAAAACAGGCATCTGAACACAGAAAGAGAGATTTTATTTATTGGACAGATTTAGCATATACATTTATTTATTTAGCAAATGTTTTTGTTTAGGGGTAGTGTTTGGCAAAAGTACCATATACACCAGGGGTCACCAATCTTGTTCCTGGAGGTCCGGTGCCCTGCAGGGTTTAGCTCCAACTTGCCTCAACACACCTGCCTGGGTGTTTCAAGTATACCTAGTAAGACCTTGATTAGCTTGTTTAGGTGTGTTTGATTAGGGTTGGAGCTAAAATCTGCAGGACACCGGCGCTCCAGGAACAAGTTTGGTGATCCCTGGTATACACAGTCTGTACAGTAGAAACATCATTACAGCTATGAGAAGAGCCCACAAGACATGAAAACTCAACATTTGTTTTGTGTGTAACCAAGAAAACAACCTACATTTTCTCATTCCTGGTGTCATTCTAAATAGGCCCCCATGATCCAAACTAGAAATTAAGGTAAACATTACTTAAATAATGGTACGATTAACTGTAAATAAGCCTTTAAAACTCAATGACTGTTATGATAGGGGAAACTACATACTTTAGTTGCTTCAGTGTGTAGTGTGGATCCTCCAGTGTGTGTTGGAGCAGCTGGACTCCTGATTGTCCTGGGTGATTGTAGCTCAGATCCAGCTCTCTAAGGTGTGAGGGGTTTGATCTCAGAGCTGAAGATAGAAAACCACAGCCTTCCTCTGTCACCATACAACCAGACAACCTGCAGACAAAGACAGATCATCTAGAGACACATCAACATATGACCATCTGTACATTATCCTTTATATATTCTTAAAACCTCAGTATCTTCAGTCGACAGTTTGGACTCTTCAGTCCATCAGAGAGCAGCTTCACTCCTGAATCCTGCAGGTCATTGTTACTCAGGTCCAGCTCTCTCAGGACACAGTTTGAGGACTGAAGAACTGACGACACAATTTCACAATCCTGAGCAGAGAGATTACAGCCAGTAAGACTGGAAAAGAAGCAGATCAAGGGCATTAAAACAAGCTACAAATACAGAAGAAACAAAAAAGTAACAACTAAACACTCACAGAGCTCTTGTGCAGTTGCTGACGGCTGGTATCAGTCTTCTCCTGCCCTCATCTGATGTGTTGTATTTCTGGAGCTCCAGCTCATCCAGCACCTCCTCTGACATCTGAAGCATGTAGGCGATTGTTGAGCAGTGAGCAGGAGAGAGTTTTTTCTCTGACTGTTTGTCTGATTTCACAAACTCCTGAATCTCTCTGGACAGAGTCTGATCTTTCACTTCCAGCAGACAGAGGAACAGATTGATGGATCTTTCAGTGGAGAGTCCATGTCCATCTCTGATCTTCTCTTTAATGTACTGTGTGCTTCTCCTGATGCTCTCTGAGCTCTTCTCTGTGTGTGTCAGTAGATCCTGGAAGAGTCTCTGATTGGACTCCAGTGAGACGCCCAGCAGGAACCGCAGGAACAGATCCAGATGACCACTCTCACTCTCAATGGCTTTATCAACTGCACCTTCAAGCAAACTTTGTACTGAAAGTAAGTTTTTCAGTCCTTCTCTAATTGTACTTAAATAATAGTAAAAGGCAAAAAATGCAGCCAGAAACTCCTGAACGCTCAGATGGATGAAGCTGTAGACTTTCCTCTGCTGAATCACAGATTCCTCCTTAAAGATCTCAGTGCAAATCCCAGAATATATTGAGGTGTGAGCTGCATCTACACCGCTCTCAATCAGGTCCTCCTCATAGAACATCACATTGCCCTTCATCAGCTGTCTGAAAGCCACTTCAGCAAGTTTGACAATCACTTCTCTGTTGGACTGCAGGAGTTTCTCTGGATCTCTCTCTTCATACTTCTGATTCCTCATGTTGATCTGAATCAGCAGGAAGTGGATGTACATTTCAGTCAGAGTTTGAGGGATTTCTGCACTCAGATCTTCTTCCAGGAGCTTCTGAAGCACAGTGGATGAGATCCAGCAGAAGACGGGTATGTGGCACATGATGTGGAGGCTTCTTGCTCTTCTGATGTGTGAGATGATTCTGCTGGCTTGATGCTGCTCACTGATTCTCTTCCTGAAATATTCCTCCTTCTGAGGCTCAGTGAATCCCTGAATTTCTGTCAGACGCTTGATGTATTTGGAGGGGATCTGATTGGCTGCTGCTGGTCTGGAGGTGATCCAGATGAGAGCAGAGGGAAGCAGCTCTCCTTTCATCAGCTTTGACATCAACACAGCCACTGATGAAGTCTCAGTCACATCACAAACTTTCTGAGCGTCTGAAAACATCAGTGTGATTCTGCTTTCATCCAGACCATCAAAGATGAACACAACTTTACACTCCTCATAAATCTTGGGCTCCAGATCTTCAAGTTCAGGATGAAAGTCCAGCAGAAGTGTGTGAAGACTGTACTGATGATCTCTGATCAAGTTCAGCTCTCGAAATGGAAGCACAAACATGAAATCTACATCCTGATTGGCTTTTCCCTCGGCCCAGTCCAGAATGAACTTCTGCACAGAGACGGTTTTTCCGATTCCAGCGATGCCTTTAGTAAGAACAGTCTTGATTTGCTCTTTCTCCTCTTTAAAGATGTCATTGCAGTAGATTGGAGTGTGTTGGGAGTGTTTTGTTCTGGCTGTTTTCTCCATCTGTAAAACCTCATGTTCTTCATTCACTCCTTCACTCTCTCCCTCTATGATGTACAGCTGGGTGTAGATACGGTTTAGGAGGGTTTCGGTCTCTTGTAGTTTGATTCCTTCATATAATCTATCATACTTGTTCCTCATGATGGCTTTGTGCTTGTCTTTGACTCTCTGCATGTTTTCAATCTTGTGTTTGCTGGACAGTTACTGTGTTCTTTTGCCTAATGTAAGGGAAAATAGATGACAGGTCTGATCAGTCCACTGCTGCAGAATTTTTTAAACACAGTAAGTTTTTTTTTTTGTTTCTCTAAAAACCCTTATGAGAAAAGTGATGCACTTCATGGTGCATCCAGGGACACTGGAGCCAGACCTGTGGTCAGGGCTCGAATGCACGTGACATCTCTCATTTGACACTCTACCTGCAGGAGGATTTGTATGGGGATGGTGAAATGCAGATTGGGCAGTGGTTGAAGGCCAGGGAGGAGGCGTAGCAGTAGCAGGCCTCACCTCCATAGCTCTGGCACCCAAGTTCTCAAGAAGATCTGGACTCTCACCTACTCTAGAGTTGCCTGTGGCCATGCTGAGAGATGGCAGGCTGGTGTAGGCATGTCTTGGTATAGAGGGATTTTCAACTCCAACCTCTGAGAGAGATCTGATTGGATCTGGAGGGAGGTTGAAGACATTGAATCCAAGAGGACCAAGTTGTCTTCCTTCATTTTCAATGTGGCCATTAGGATATGTCACTCTAAGGCCTCCTATTCCTGTCATGGCAGCAACCCATAATTCCAGTGAAGACACATGAAGTAAGAGTTGCTGTCAAACTGAAGGAGTCCTATGTTGCCTGTTTGGCATAAGGGACTCCCTAGACTGTTTTTGGTAGAAGCAGACCAAGTAAGCTGTGGGTACTTGTATTGTTGTGTAAGCAAAATCTCTGGCCCAGGATGAGGTCCACGAGACCATGGAAGACGACTGTCTTAGGATGGAGAAGCAGTTCTTCACCAACACTGTTTATAGTAGAGGTGGGTAGCTGTTACCTTGATTGGGGATGTAAACAAATGGTGGAAGGAATATGTTCTCCTCAATCCCACTGAAAAGTTTCTTCTGGCTGAAGTCACTGATGTTTGCAAGTGAAGCAGTGGCCAGGCATTGGGGTGAATGAGATCTACCACAAGTACCTCACGTCTCTGGATGTGGTAGGGTTGTCTTGGATTTTACATACAATGCTTCTGGAGGGGCAACTGAGGTAGTGGCTCCTCTTTTTAAAAAGGGGGTCCTAAGGGTGTGCTCCAACCACAGCCTCTACATGAAAGTCTATGCCATGGGACTCAAGAGGAGAATCTGATTGATAGTAGAGCCTCAGAATCAGGAAAATCAATGTAAAATTGGTCTGGATCACAGAAAACACCAAACCAGTTTTATCCCCTCACTACCCAACAGTCTACATGTGCTTCATAGACCTGGAAAAGGCATTTGGTTGTGTCCCATGTGGCGTTCTGTGGGCAGTGTAATAGGAGTTTGGGGTCCAGGATGCTTTGTTAAAGGTAAGTCTGACTTGTTCAAAGTGCATGTTGAACAAGTCAGTCAGTGCAATAGCCTAGTGGTTAGCATGCTGACATATGTTGCAGTAGCACTTCAGGGCGTCCCCGAGTTTCGAATCCCGGCTTGAGGACATTTCCTGACCCTACCCCCTCTGGGCCAAGCAGTGGCGCAGTAGGTAGTGCTGTCGCCTCACAGCAAGTAGGTCGCTGGTTCAAGCCTAGGCTCAGTTGGTGTTTCTGTGTGGAGTTTGCATGTTCTCCCTGCATTTGCGTGGGTTTCCTCCGGGTGTTCCGGTTTCCCCCACAGTCCAAAGACATGCGGTACAGGTAAATTGGGTAGGCTACATTGTCCGTAGTGTGTGAGTGTGTGTGTGAATGTTTCCCAAAGATGAGTGGCGGCTGGAAGGGCATCCGCTGCATAAGAACTTGCTGGATAAGTTGGCAGTTCATTCCGCTGTGGCGACCCCGGATTAATAAAGGGACTAAGCCGACAAGAAAATGAATGAATGAATGTTAGCCCTTTGTCAATGGTTCTGTTCAACATTTTTATAAACAGAATTTCCAGGCACCGCTTCGGGTTGGAGAGGATCACAGGATTTGATCTCTGCTATTTGCAGATAATATTGCCCTATCAGCTTTATTAGTCTTGGACTTTCTGTGAGCACTGGGATGGTTTGCAGTCAAGAGTGAACCAGCATAGAACAGAATGAGCAATCTACAAGTCTGAAGCCATGGTGCTCAACTTGAACAGAATGGCTTTACTTGTTAAAATCCACATGATCAAATTTGTGAATATCAAATGTCTTTAGACCAATAAATAAAATATGCTCATCAAATAAAGCAATCATATCTCTTCTCAAGGTTAGTTTAACAACGCTTTTATAACACTTGACTAAACTTCCAACCGAGGAACAGAAACTTCAAACCTTTTAACTTATGAACAAAACTCTCATTGATTCTGACCAATTTGAAGGCGAGTAAATGATGAGATGTTAAATTTAAGTAAACGGTTCATTTAAATCCTGCTCACTGAAACTATATTAACAACATTAGAGATCATCAGCAAACAATAAGGTTTATTCTGATCATGTGCTGGAGCTTGGTCTTCTCCAAATGTTTGAGCTCAGTGGGGAACTATAGTTAATTCAAAGTAGCTGTGGTGTGGACTTCACTATTCTCAAAGAATTAGGAAGTACCATAAGATTATTAGTTATAATAATTATAGATATAGCTCCTGAGGTGAACAGACATTACTTTGTACCATAGTTACAGTATTTAGTCAATAAAGAGGAACAGTGAATATTAAGGGAAGTTGATCTGTTGCCTTTGTGACAGAATCACACTGTAAGTCATTGTGCTTTGAAAGAATGTGCAAAATGTAAAAGCATCTGGTATATTACCTGGAGGAGGTGGGGGAGAGGGGGAAAAGTTGTAAAATAAACATCAAACATAGCAAAAACTATTGTAAAAACTGCCAGAATATTAGAATATTCAGAAAGGTTAGCTAAATAGGAATTCACAATCTTGCACAAATAACGTCAACACTCAATTAAAACGGTTCACTGTCAAAATTAAAACAATGACCAAAGACTCAACCTGCAACTATGACCACATAATTAAATAAAAAAGTAAAGAACTTACCACAAAACCTGCTGTTTAAATAAAACAGTATTTAAAATAGACCCAGGATTGACGCACAGGTTTAATGTTTTCACCCTCCAAAAGCAGCTCACCGTAGAGTCAAATAATACCCAGATCCTCCTCTGTGGGTGGAGCCTGAGCTGATCTATACTTCTGTTGAACTGATGGGTGGGGTTTTGTTCAGCAACTGTGATGTCAAACTCCACCCATTGGTTCTGCCGTGAGCAAGCTTTCTCAATTACATCTTACTTTCTATCAGTCGCCCTCCCTACAGTGGTTAAAATTATGCATTTCTGTGGAGCAGTTGCACTTTGAAATTTATTAGGTGACCTTTAGCATACATTCTTTCATTGATTCATTCATTTTCATCCGCTTTTCCGGGGCCAGGTCATGGGGCCAGCAGTCTCAGGAGCGAAACCCAGATTTTCCTCTCCCCAGACACTTCTTCCAGCTCCTCCAGGGGGATCACGAGGCACTCCCAGACCAGCCAAGAGACATAGACCCTCCAGCATGTCCTGGGTCTTCCCAGAGGTCATGCCTGGAAAATCTCCCTAGGTAGTCATCCAGGAGGCATCTGGAACAGATTCCTGAGCCACCTCAGCTGACTTCTCTCGATGTGGAGGAGCAGCGGCTCTACTCCGAGCTTCTCCTGGGTGACAGAGCTCCTCACCCTGTCTATAAGGGTGTGCCCTGCTCTCCTGCAAAGGAAACTCATTTCGGCTGCTTGTATCTGAGATCTTGTCCTTTCGGTCATGACCCAAAGCTCATGACCATAGGTGAGAGTAGGAACGTAGATTGTCTGGTAAATCGAGAGCTTTGGCTTTCGGCTCAGCTCCTTCTTTACCAAAATGGACCGGTAGATCGACTGCATTACTGCTGCCACTGCACCAATCCGCCTGACAATCTCACACTCCATCCTTTCCTCACTTCTGACAAAACCCCAAGATACTTGAACTCCTCCACCTGGGGTAAGGGCTATCCTCCAACCGGGAAATGCAGTCCTCTAACATAGAGTATGGATCAAAATAAAACTCAATGCGAAAACAAGAAAAATATGCAGAGAATGAAAACTGACTGACTGATGATAGGAGAACTCAGAAAGACATGTGATTGAGCAGAGCAGAGTGTGTGTGTGTGTGTGTGTTTGTGTGTGTTTGTGTGTGAAGTCCTCTCTCTCTTCTATGCAACAGAGTCATTGGAACATCACGGGCAGCCGGTTTACATTGATCTGTTTTATTCTTGCTTTTGATATAAACACAAACAAGTTTGAAACAGCCTTTCCATGTGCTAGCTATGTGCTCGACAGAAAGTATTATATTGCAAAAATATAATACTTGAACAGACTCACAAAAAAAAAAAGGTAGTTAAAATAATATTATAAACCTGAGTTAAAGTGGAAAATTAACCAGTAGTGGTCACATCCTTTATTTGCACTTGTGTGAGCTGATGTTCATTACTTCATAGGAAAACTTATTTAACAGCACAGAAAGCCTTAAAACTAAAATTCATATGTCAATACTTCGTTCAATTTACAGCTATTCATATTTTTATGAATAGCTTGTAAGATTTTAATGAGGCATTTTCTTGTAATAATGACTTTGTGAGGTTTATTTATTAACTAATTTTGAGAGAATCAAGTGCTTATGATTGATCACGGCTGGTCCCGCATCAGCTACACATATCGCGCCACTCAGACGAATCCTAACTCACTATAACCAGAGTTATTTTTCACTTTAGTCATCGTCTTGAAGTCACCCCTACTCCTCGCCCTTCTCCAGATAGGGCGGCATGGCGGCCCAGGGGTTAGCACTGTTGCCTCACAGCAAGAACACCACTGGTTCGAGCCCTTCCCGGGCCAGCCAGCATTTCTGTGCAAAGTCTGCATGTTCTACCCATGCTTACGTAGGTTTTCCCCGGGTTCCCCAGTTTCCTTCAACCATCCAAAGATAATATAAGGAAATTGACTAATCCAAAGTATCACCATAAGACAAACTCTTAGGCAGCTTATATCTCTAATACACTCAATTTTTTTTGTGCTCATTCAAATTACTTATTTATAATGAGCTGAAAAAACACAATTTCTGAGATTTCATTGGGGCAACTTAATTTTGTATGTTCAATCCACATAAATATGTTAAAAGTGTTTAGTTAACTTAATCAATTTGTGTTGGGACACCATGAACGAATTGTGTAGAACTCCTAACTCATCAATAACCTTAATAAGTGGCGGAGGTCTCAGGGTCTACCTGAGCTCAAACTCCCTTCAAATGGGAGGCTTGAGGATCTGCTGAGCTCAGAGCTCTTTTCCGGGAGAGCATGCCAAACACGCTTTATAATCAATCATCAGCTAAGTGTGAACTCTTGAAGTACTTTTATAAGTGGATTTATTTCTGGCAGTTGTCACTGTATTTTGTGCATTGTGACTTTATTTGCAACTAAAGCTCATGCTAATAATTCTGTAACTTTTAAAATGTCACAATTGCAAACTTGTTGAACTATAAATAACAAAGTACAATGACCTTTTTAGTCTTTTTGCTCTGAGATGGTGAAGATGTGCTTCCGTTATTGTTAAATCTGACACAGAGTCACTGAAGATTCAGGATAAATGCTAAATCCTGTATAGAGGGGTTCAGAGAATGTGGTGTTGAATGTGTGTATGAGTGTGGGTGTGTTTGTGTCAGAGACGCTGTAGAAAGACAGAGAGCCGGTTGGCACGTCCACATACACTCCTACTCTATTAGTACTAGATGAAGGAGCAATAATATCAGCGCTCTTATTTCTGTGCCAGACTGTGTAATTTCTATCACTGCAGTACAGACTCCATGAGTTTTCATTGAGTCCAAACCAAGATTCAAGCCCATTTTCCCTGTCGATGCCAAAATAAGCTACTCCAATATGACCAGAGCCGCTCCATTTCACCTCCCAGTAACAGCGTCCAGTCAGAGGCTCTCTACACAGAACCTGCTCATTGGTCTTAAATCTGTCTGGATGATCAGGATACGGCTGAGAATCTGCCACACATCTTACTGTTTTGTTTTCATCAGACAGGATGAGTTGAGTGTGTGCTGTGTTTGGATCCAGTGTGAGATTAACGGCATCTGAACACAAGAGCACAAATCACATCATCTATGGTATCATTAAATATGCACAGGTATATGTGTGTGTGTGTGTGTGTGTGTGTGTGTGTGTGTGTGTGTGTGTGTGAGTGTGAGTGGGAGGGAACTTGCATTTTCTCAGTCCAGGTGTCATATATGAAAGTCCTCCATGGTCCAAACTATACAGAGACAACATGCAAAAAACTTAACAACAAAAATTAGCAGAACATATTTGATCAATTAATATTGTTATCCATTTATATTAAAGCCTCTGTGTGATATGGCAGTGCCATAAGATCCTTCTTAGGCAACCCCACTCACATACACACAGAGACACATTATCATTACTGCCGCACATACTTGAGTTTCTGCAGTGTGTAGTGTGGATCCTCCAGTGTGTGTTGGAGCAGCTGGACTCCTGATTGTCCTGGGTGATTGTAGCTCAGATCCAGCTCTCTCAGGTGTGAGGGGTTTGAACTCAGAGCTGAAGATAGAAAACCACAGCCTTCCTCTGTCACCATACAGCCAGACAACCTGCAGAGACACACAGACAAACAGATCATCTACAGACACACAGAATCAACAGCTGACTGTACATTATCTTTTATGTATATATTTTTTAATAATTCAACCTTCATCTTGAGAAACCTTATTGTACTAACTTTTATTCTCTCAATACATCACTCAACCTCAGACGGCTTACCACCACAAGTACACATGAAGTACTGCCAACCTCCCAATTAGTCAACATGCAATCTGCTTTCTCTGTCATCAACACACCAGAGTTACACCCTCTCTCCCCTTACACAACCAATTCCAACCCAGGCTCATTCTGAAAACGTAGTCCTGTGGACGTTCCTGCAGACTGCGAAATACGTTCCGGAAGGTATGTATTTTTGCAATTCCATGAGAGGCCGCTGTGTGTGCTTTTTCGCATCTCAAATGTCTCTCACAAGTGCCATTAACACCTGCGCTGTTCTCGCGTAGACCCACCAGAGGCCGATGTCGACCAACTGAATGATTGACTGGGTGACCGGCCAATCAACTGATCCACCCTCCTACTTTCCCAACCCAAGCTCATTCTGAAAACATAGTCCCGCGGACGTTTCGGGGGGTACGTACGGCAGCGTTTATTTTTTTCAAGCGAATGCTGCGGGGCGGTGTGATGCCGTTCCCTTTCGGGCTTACCTTACCTCCTTGTGGAGGGCTTCCCCGCTGCAACCCGTTTGTCCACTCAGCTCAGCGTGTACATCGGCAGGCTTGAGATGCGGAGAGGGGTCGACCACGGCAACCGGTTTCGAGTCCGGGGAAGAGCAGTTAAAGCAATCAGGTAAGACAAAAACAGAATCCCAAAATTTAAGTGAACGAGTTTCATGACAGGGTGAGAACGTGGCGAAATCCGAAAACGCGGTGGAATAAAAAAAAAAATCAGGGCTTTTATTTTTTTGGACGGCTCTTGTGAACTGTTGCTCGGGTTTAGGGAAGCGAGCGGGCGAGCGGGCGGGTGGGTCGATCGGTAAAATTGGTTGGGTTCAGGGAAGGAGGAGGGCGAGTCGGCCGATTGGCCGGTCGCGCAGTCAATCATCCGGTCAGTGGCCTTCAGCGGGTTCACGTGAGAACAGAGCGGGCGTGAACCGCACTCGCGAGAGGCGTCTGAGGTGCGAAAAAGCACGCAACAGCGGCCTCTCGCGGATTCGCGAAAACAAAAACTGCAGCCGTACGTACCCGCCGAGACGTATTCCGCTGTCTCCAGAGGTCCGCGGGACTACGTTTCCACAATGAGCCCGGGTTGTCCTTTCCTAAACCCAACCAATTTTAATGATTGACCCACCCACCCACTTACTTCAATAAACTCAACCGACGGTTTACAAAAGCCGTCCAGAAAAAGAAAAGCCCTCGTCTGATTTTTACCACATTTTCAGATTTTACCACATTTTACCACATTCTCACCCTGCTATTCACTTGTTAATTTTTATTTTTTGGATTCTGTTTTTTGCCTTACCTGATTTATGGAACTACTCTTCTCCAGACTTGAACCCGTTCGTCGTTGTGGTCAACTCCTCTCTGCATCTCAAGTCCGCTGACATACATGACGAGCTAACTGGACAAACTGGTGGCGGCACAAAAGCCCTCCACACGGTAAAGGTAAGGGGTCAGCCAGTAACAGGAATGGCGTCATACCGCCCCTTAGCGTTCACTTAAAAAATGAAATGCAGCCATACATAGCTACGCCTACATGATTCGCGGTCTCCAGAAATGTCTGCGGGACTACATTTTCAGAATAAGCCTGGGTTGAGCAATTCTGATTCCTGGCATTAAAAGTGCAGTGAATACCTTCTGCTATACTTTAACCTCCTGCCTAGAAGAGATCTGTCTTCTTTCCACTAGGCCAGCATGCACATTTTCCTTTAATCCATGATCTGTTCTTGCCCCCTTCTACATTCAACAACACACAGGAGGATATTTTGGACTAGATAAAATATCACATTTATTTAAGAAAAACTGAACTTCATCTTCCCATAATTTCTCCATCCAGCTAGGATCATTTACTATTATCCCATCTAATTCAGTAAGGAATCTTGGGGTTAACGTTGATGACCATCTGTCCATTAAAGAGTACATAACAAAACAGAGATCGATCATACAGTTCCTTCACTAAGTGAACACTTTCTCATGGTACCATCACAGAGAGGCTCTAAAATACCTTCCAAAACATTTTCATTCACCGTTCCTAACTGGTGGAACAATCTTCCCAATCCCACATGGAATGCTGATTCACTGGTTTCGTTCAAACGGCTGGTATTGTCTTGAGCACTTGACTCAAGAGTTCACACTTAACTGATGATTGATTGTAAAGCTTGTTTGGCATGCTGTTCTGGGAGAGAGCCCTGAGCTTACAAGATCCTTGAGCCCGGGGTTCCCTTCTGTTTGCAAAGCGAGAGGAGAGATTGAGCTCAGGTAGATCTCGAAAACTGCCCTGCTGTAGTAGCTATTGAACAGATAGTGATCGCTCTTACGAGATAACTACTGACTAGAAGCACGTCAATGGTGCTGATTTGGATTGGTCAGTTAGGGTATTTATAGTTGCTTAGAAATCGTCTGATTGGTGAATCACAAATTGAATAATGAGGGACCAGCCTCAAGCAATCATAAGCACGTGATCCTCTTTAGTTTATAAATAAACATCACTTAAAAGCACTTTTCCACCTTCTTAGTCTAGCTCTTGTTTCTCTAAGTATCAGGATCTTTTTATACCTAGCACAGTATATACTGTATATTGACCCTTCATCTTGAATCATATCTGCAAAATGATAAAATGAAAATGTAATACCTCAGTATCTCCAGCTGACAGTTTGGATTCTTCAGTCCATCAGAGAGCAGCTTCACTCCTGAATCCTGCAGGTCATTGTTACTCAGGTCCAGCTCTCTCAGGACACAGTTTGAGGATTGAAGAACTGACGACACAATTTCACAATCCTGAGCAGAGAGATTACAGCCAGCAAGACTGAAAGAAGAGGAAATTAAAATTATTTTATGAATCTCAAATTTTTTAACTAAAAATTAGTTGAATAAATAAGTTAAAATTGACATTAAATGTCAATTTGATTAAACACTCACAGAGCTCTTGTGCAGTTGCTGACGGCTGGTATCAGTCTTCTTCTGCCCTCATCTGATGTGTTGTATTTCTGGAGCTCCAGCTCATCCAGCACCTCCTCTGACATCTGAAGCATGTAGGCGATTGTTGAGCAGTGAGCAGGAGAGAGTTTCTTCTCTGACTGTTTGTCTGATTTCATAAACTCCTGAATCTCTCTGGACAGAGTCTGATCTTTCACTTCCAGCAGACAGAGAAACAGATTGATGGATCTTTCAGTGGAGAGTCCATGTCCATCTCTGATCTTCTCTTTAATGTACTGTGTGGTTCTCCTGATGCTCTCTGAGCTCTTCTCTGTGTGTGTCAGTAGATCCTGGAAGAGTCTCTGATTGGACTCCAGTGAGACGCCCAGCAGGAACCGCAGGAACAGATCCAGATGCCCATTCTCACTCTCAGTGGCTTCATCTACTGCACCTTTAAGTAGGTTGTGCAATGAAGCAAATTTCTTCAGTACCACCATGGTTGTGTTCAAATGGTAGTAAAACACATAGAAAGCAGCCAGGAACTCCTGAACACTCAGATGGATGAAGCTGTAGACTTTCCTCTGCTGAATCACAGATTCCTCCTTAAAGATCTCAGAGCAAATCCCAGAATACACTGAGGCTTCAGAGACGTCTACGCCGCTCTCAATCAGGTCCTCCTCATAGAACATCACATTGCCCTTCATCAGCTGTCTGAAAGCCACTTCAGCAAGTTTGACAATCACTTCTCTGTTGGACTGCAGGAGTTTCTCTGGATCTCTCTCTTCATACTTCTGATTCCTCATGTTGATCTGAATCAGCAGGAAGTGGATGTACATTTCAGTCAGAGTTTGAGGGATTTCTGCACTCAGATCTTCTTCCAGGAGCTTCTGAAGCACAGTGGATGAGATCCAGCAGAAGACGGGTATGTGGCACATGATGTGGAGGCTTCTTGCTCTTCTGATGTGTGAGATGATTCTGCTGGCTTGATGCTGCTCACTGATTCTCTTCCTGAAATATTCCTCCTTCTGAGGCTCAGTGAATCCCTGAATTTCTGTCAGACGCTTGATGTATTTGGAGGGGATCTGATTGGCTGCTGCTGGTCTGGAGGTGATCCAGATGAGAGCAGAGGGAAGCAGCTCTCCTTTCATCAGCTTTGACATCAACACAGCCACTGATGAAGTCTCAGTCACATCACAAACTTGCGGAGCGTCTGAAAACATCAGTGTGATTCTGCTTTCATCCAGACCATCAAAGATGAACACAACTTTACACTCCTCATAAATCTTGGGCTCCAGATCTTCAAGTTCAGGATGAAAGTCCAGCAGAAGTGTGTGAAGACTGTACTGATGATCTCTGATCAAGTTCAGCTCTCGAAATGGAAGCACAAACATGAAATCTACATCCTGATTGGCTTTTCCCTCGGCCCAGTCCAGAATGAACTTCTGCACAGAGACGGTTTTTCCGATTCCAGCGATGCCTTTAGTAAGAACAGTCTTGATTTGCTCTTTCTCCTCTTTAAAGATGTCATTGCAGTAGATTGGAGTGTGTTGGGAGTGTTTTGTTCTGGCTGTTTTCTCCATCTGTAAAACCTCATGTTCTTCATTCACTCCTTCACTCTCTCCCTCTAGGATGTACAGCTGGGTGTAGATCCGGTTCAGGAGGGTTTCATTCTGATTGGGTTTGTTTCCCTCAAGTAATCTCTCATATTTATTCTTCATGCTGGATTTGTGCTGATCTTTGACTCTCTGCAGGTCTCCAGTCTCTAGTGTTTGTCTCTGCAGGGGTGTTTCTGTATTTTCCTGAATGACACGAGTCTGATTTTTGGATGTAGAAGACTGGACAGATCCGACCACCTTAGGTTTCTTTTGACTGCTAAAACTAAAAACAGGAAAAATGTTACCCATTATAAAGTGAAATATCCTGAAAAAATACATTTGTTCCTACAGAAATGTTGCAGGGGCAGAACGGTGGCACAGTAGGTAGCACAATTGCTTCACAGCAAGAAAATTGCTGGTTCAATCCTCGACTGGGTCAGTTGGCATTTCTGTGTGGAGTTTGCATGTTCTCCCTGTGTCGGCGTGGGTTTCCTCTAGGTGTTCCGGTTTCCCCCACAGTCCAAACACATGCGGTACAGGTGAATTGGGTAAACTAAATTGACCGTAGTGTATGTGTGTGAATGAGTGTGTATGGGTGTTTCCCAGTAATGGGTTGCGGCTGAAAGACCATCTGCTGCATAAAACACATGCTGGATAAGTTGGCGGTTCATTCCGCTGTGGCGACCCCAGATTAATAAAGGGACTAAGCTGAACAGAAAATGAATGAATGACAATGTTAGATTCTCTTTTTAGGATTCATGTAATGCTTTTAATGCATCTGTTGCTAGAACACCTCTTGATGTCAGGGGATTAGGGTTTACATGGCTCCATGAACTGTTCCTATGGGGGCTCGAACTGGCAATTCCAGCTTACACTACAGCATATCAGTAATCACATGTTTGTTTTAATGTAGTGACAGGCCACTAGTTCATTAAATCTTAAACGTTTCTCCATGAATCTGCTGCCATTTACAGACACACCACTAGGCGATAACTATAAGTTAGAGGCACTATAGAAATCATTTAGAAAGTAGATTAATCCCAAACCATTTAAATCTACGGGCAATTTAGCTTACTCAATTCCCCTATAGCGCATGTGTTTGGACTGTGGGGGAAACCGGAGCACCTGGAGGAAACCCATGCCGACACGGGGAGAACATGCAAACTCCACACAGAAACACCAACTGACCAAGCCGAGGCTCGAACCAGGAACCTTCTTGCTGAGAGGCCACAGTGCTAACCACTGCTGTACAAAAGCTTATAGTTTTCATATGGTTAACTATACTTGACAATACTCTCTTCACTTTACTACTCGATGACATATGATAAAAGTATTTATTGTCAAACCAGTGAAAAATAAACAAAATTTACTGTCAAATGTAGTCATTCAGATGTTATACAGTGTTATACGTCTTTATAAATCGTTTAATTTTTATTTTTACGTTTGTGGACCCACAATTAAACTGAAATGTTGACTGTCAGTGAAGTCCAATCTGAACTGGAACAGAATTAACAGTAACTTAGCAAATAATTCTCACACAAACATGAGACATGAGCAAGTTTGCTTTTAAATGATGCTTGTCAGATGTAAAACAAATATTCTGGGTTTATGTAATCTGTATAAATGCAGGGAGGTGTTTGTGTTTTCTTTTCCCCTCACTCACTGCAGGCAGCTGGAAAATCATATCTGCACAATAATATCTTATGCCAGTGTCTTACCGGAGGTCAGAGGTCTCAGTTGCATCACTGAAGCCAGGAGGATTCTTCCTCTTGATTCGATCTCTTTTTACAGACACATGGCTGTGTTCTAGAGACTTTGATCTCTGTCTCCTGCTGATAGAGAGACAAAGGATTTAAATATCAATAATCATATAAGAATTTTAAGGAGTTGCAGGTAAAAATACAGGTATTTATTAATAATAACATTAGAAAGAACAAGAGATTAGCATTATTAGAAATTGACCTGTGTCTTACCTGAGGTCAGAGGTCACTGGTGCATTACTGAGCTCAGGAGGATTTTTCCCCTTGGACTGATCACTTTTCAGAGACACACAGCTGTGTTCTGGAGACTCTGATCTCTGTCTCCTGCTGATAGAGAGGCAAGGGATTAAAATAAAAAGTTTCTTATAAGAATCTAAAGTAGTAGCAGGTAAAAGTACAGATGTTAATTAATAATAACATTAGAAAGAACAAGAGATTAGCATTATTAGAAATTGGTCTTTTGACTCTCTGTGAAAGGTGACTTCAGTTTCAGACAAACTCCTCTGTCAATGTTGAAATGACCAGTGTCTTACCTGAGGTCAGAGGTCACTGGTGCATTGCTGAGCTCAGGAGGTATTATTATCATGGACTGATCACTCTTCATAGACACACAGCTTGGTCCAGGAGATGCAGAACTCATTTTACAGGTAGACTCCTCATCTTCTGTCTCATTTTGAAGACTCATTTTAGTGTTTACTTGCTCTCATTTACTAAAAGAGTACACTGATTTTAGACAATTCATGCAGAAACACTCAAATAAATAACCAAAAGTATGCATAATTAAGTATAAATTAAGTTTGGGAGTATATACATGAAGCCAATGTACAGATTTATTCTGGATTTATTTGCATTAAACAAGTAACATTTCATGTAGTATAACAGTAAATAAAGTTTATTTATAAAGCACAATTACCTTCCGTTTGGCACTGACCAAAGTGCCAAAATAATAAAGTAAAAATGTTCCTCTGTGTAAATAATAATGTACAGCGACTGTTTTGTAAAGCTATTAAAGCATGACACATTTAATTTAAAATCCTAGAATTGAAAATGTCTACAGAAATATTAAGTTTACTTTAATTTTATAACCAGTTCAAATTAGTAATACTGCTGTTTTGCCTTTATATATATATATATATATATATATATATATATATATATATATATATATATATATATATATATATATATATATATTATTGAACACATTCTCCTCTTCTTCAAGTGAATAACATAAATATTGAATTTTTTATACTTAGTTTGGCTAATTAGTGGATTTATCGATAAACATGTCCAGACACAAAATCGTTAAACCATATGTTTAGAATTTGAACTTCCCTTATACAACTGTGAGTCACAGACTGTCATTCATTATGTTTCCAGTCTTTTTCATTTACATTAATGACTATCAGTAGTTTTACTTCAATCCAAACAGATAAACAGTGTGACATGATTCATCAAACTTTAATAAACTATTACTCAATCAACATAGGCTACACATTACTGTGGTGACGGATAAAACCTTTATAATAAATAAGGGTTAAAAACTATATGGCATAAACTAAATTTAACACAACTTTTAAAGTCTGCTTTTATTTAAGGCATTAGAGCTGAAGTTCAATTCAACTTTGGGTTTACTGTTTTCAGTTCTTGCTGTTCACTCGACTTACTAAAGCAGTAAACAAGTCTGACAAGTTAGCCTAGACTTGTCACATGAACACTGAATGAATACATATTTTATATTAAGTTTGAATACTGTGTCTTTAGGTCTGGTTTCAGTATTTGGACTGAAAAAGACAACTGGATATAAGAATAAGTTAAGCTAAACATGCTAACGCCAACGCGCCTTTTTTTTGTAAACATGCTAATATAGGCTAACAGGCTATCATTTGGGTAAAACGAGAATAAACATATTTAATACGCCGCTTTATTGTGATCACATGGTATTTCAGATATATTTGAACTTACCATAAAATGAACAACCGATTAAACAGAGAGTAAAGGTCTAAAGTCTCGAAATGGCGTATGTTTATTTCCTTCTTTCACTTTCGGTTCTACCTGCTGAAGGTGCGTCGTTTCGTCTTTTCTTTACCTCCACTAGCACAAACAGAAACTTCCCCTAGTGGCGCAGAGCGTCATTACAGGCTCAACGGTACTGCAGTGCTCATACATAAAAACAAAGTTAGATAAAAAGTGAAGGTTCTAATATTACCTTTTTTTTCTCCAACACTATATATACATATACAATTGAGGACAAAATTATTAGCCCTCCTGCGCAATATTTATTATTCTTTAAATATTTCCCACATCAATGGAGCAATGAAATATTTACAGTATTTCTGTTAATATATTTTCTTTTGGGAAAGGTTATTTGTTTTATGTTGTTTATTTTTAAAAAGTATTTTTGGTCAATATTGTTATTAAGCAATGTTTGTGTTGGATTGTCTCCAGAACAAACCACTGTCATACATGCTTATATATATACATTTCGTTTAATGCAAAGAAGATTTTTTCAACACATTTCTAAATCATATATAAGAAGGGGTAATGTCTTTTTCTCCTTGTTAGCCTTTGAGAGGTTGCTATTATCTGACTTATTATCATATTGTGCTTTGTTTTATGCACCTTATTTGTTATTCTTATTTTGTTTTTATTTTACAGGTCTTAATGTGTAGTTGTAAAGTGAATTAATCAGCATAAAACATACAGTAAATGTCTGAGCATGATTGGTTTGACATTTTCTGCATGTGAGCATGATTGTTGCCAGATATTTTTGTGCACTGTCAGGGTTTACATGTAATCGTTTATTTACCCTTTAATTTTTTTAAACACACATGAACCATTTACAGTTAAAACCAATGAAAACAGAGTTTCCCCTTCCACAAAGTTTCTTAATCACTGAAATTGCTCTTTTTTATGTTCTTGTTTATCAGTTGCTTAAGCTGCAAAGACCAGGGTATTTACTTATTTCAGTATTTATTCACCAATGTCAAATTGACAAACAATGAAAAGGCTTATAGAACACAACTCATATACAGTTGAAGTCAGAATTATTAGCCCCACTGAATTATTAGCCCCCCTGTTTTTTTTCAATTTTTGTTAACTCTCTACATTTCTAATAACGAATTTATTTTCTCTTTGTCATGATGACAGTGAATAACATTAGACTAGATATTCTTCAAGACACTTCTATACAGCTTAAAGTGACATTTAAAGGATTAACTAGGGTAATTAGGGTAACTGGGCAGGTTAGGGTAATTAGGCAAGTTATTGTATAACGATGGTTTTTTGTAGATTATCGAAAATAAAAATAGCTTAAAGGGGCTAATAATATTGACCTTAAAATGGCTTTTAAAAAATTTAGAATTGCTTTTATTCTGACCAAAATAAAACAAATAAGACTTTCTCCAGAAAAAAAAAATATTATCAGACATACTGTGAAAATGTCCTTGCTCTGTTAAACATCATTAACCAAATATATATATATATATATATATATATATATATATATATATATATATATATATATATATATATATATATATATATATATAAACTAATTAAAAGGGGAGCTGATAATTCTGACTTCAACTGTATTTCTATTTTTTGCAATGCAACTATCAACTTTTTCTTGAGGATATATATGTTAGTCTGTAAAATTTAAGCAAATTTTAAAGCAACAGCATTAGGAAAGCGTAATAATAGCAAAGAAAAAACGGCTTGAATACTACTATATGGTTTTACCCTCTCCAGTTTTATTAGCTGGGCCTAAAACTAACATTTTTCCACACATGCTAATGGCCACTGATTTGATTTTGAAATGCACTATGAGGATATTTTACATGCCTTTAAACTGTATGTGCATTATCTCACTTCTTCTATTTTGAAATAATTGATGCATTTTGGTTCATGTTCAATTGTCAAAAGTATATGTCAATAAAAAACATTACTGATTTGGAGTTAAGGCAGATTATTTGGGTAAAGAGAGTAAATACTACTACTACTATTACTAATGCTATTACTACTACTACTGCTACTACTACTGTTTCTACTACTGCTACTACTATTAATGATAATAATAATAATAACAATAAAAATAATTGTCTGTTAAAGTATTATTATGACTGGAAACACTGTTATTAAGAGCTGCACACATTAACATATAACAAGGTTTTCTTCACTTTACATATTTTTGTAATTACAGACAAATTAAAAAAATATGTGTAACTAACCAACCGGCAATTTGGTGCTCAGCAAATGTTAATTTTAGGCCCTGTTTATTAGCGTCTATACAACATAAAAAAAAAACAAAAAAAAAAACAATTCTGAAATCTGGAGCTGCTGTTAGACTGTGATTTCATGGGAAAATATGGTTGACAACAGCAGCAGAAACACAGAAGCAGTGCTCAGCATCTGATATCCACCATTCCTCGGGTCAGTAACAGCACAGATCTTGTCTCCTTGCTGTGCAACCACCTGGAGATATTAGTAAAGTAAGGGCAGTTTAAAATACTCTAAATTAACATTTAAATTGAATTTTTTCATATTCTTTTTAATATTAAAAAAAAATGTAATGAATTAAATGTAACTTGCTAACTACCTGCTGTACCCTTGCCCAGGAGTATTTTCATTATCAGAGTGAGCACAGGTCCACCAAATGGAGCAGTTGGAGCATGAAATGTGTAATTGCTCACGTTAAAGCTCAATGCACTCTCATTCAGCACTGCCTTATAACCCATAAGGTCCTCATGTGTTCACCTGTGTTTTCAGAAACAAACTGTCAGAAAGATTTGCATACTTAGGGTCAGCAAAATCTCAAATGTGTTATAAGATTTAAGCATGTAATAACCTTTTTTTTCTGATGGTATCAACTATGTCATCAGTCAGGGACCCATTGTAAAATGCATCTGCTCCATCTTCTGCTATTGTCTTGTAGGTTTCAGCCAGTTTGGGAAATGTTATAGTATAATTTTTCTTGGAGAGGTTTTTGTTTGAGTTGCAAAACATTTCACTAAAGAAAAAGAGAAAGACAAAAGGATTAGCAAGATGAAGTTATAATGCAGACATGATATGCACATAGTGTTATATCAGAGCCAAATACTTTTGGCCATTTGTTATGTCTTTCTGTGCCTAAAATATTTTCCATTTCTACTGTATCTGTCATTCTCTCTATGTTTGCGTGGTACATCAATATTCTCACTGCAATGCTGTAAAGTCACAATATTTTTCTTTTTCATCATTGATGGCATTGGCCAAGGCTTTGCCAATCTTAAACCCATCTGATGCCAGCTTTATACTGGGCTGAAACAGATCTTCCCATGGTAGTCTCCCGTGCCTTCTGTGTGCCATTTCATAACCTCACAGTTCTCCTGGTACAGCTATGAACAACCCTGGATTTCAGGACAAAAACAAGGAGAAGAAATATTGAGTTTGCTGTGTACATGGACTCATCAACAGCTTGTGTGTGGACTCATGTGCTTAATCTATATGTGTTGTAAAGCTGTAATAGTTTATGGTGGTTCATCCCTGCATTTTTCTTACAGGATTTATTGACAAGCATGTTCTCTGAAGCACTCTTTGGGACAGTTTCTCTAGCATTAATTGTCTCCACTGTTTAGTGTTTTGGTAAAGTGATTAGGACAACAACAACAGCCTGTATTTTACAAACAAATCCAGCATTTTGCATTAAAACACATCTGCTTTGCAAAGAAATAGCTGACTCGCAAACAAACAGAAACCAAACAAACAAACAAACAAATTTCAGTTTGAAAAAAACTCTAGTGCTTTTATCAAATAAACGTATTGTGTTTTACAAATTTAAATTATATTTCATAAAATACAGTCCATCCGCATGCAGCTCTCATCAAAATGCTTGCTGCTGGAATCTTGTTCTGTCCCATGTTGTTAAGCAACATGTTAACTAGGCCATTAGTATTGGTAACAATGGTACACACAGTCCTAATTCAGACAAAACTGAAACACTAAAATGTGATTATGATTACAAATTATCCAGAGACACAGAGGTGATGTTCACATCCACTTTTGATTAAACATGTTGCTGCTTCTGGACAAGTTGCTCGTTTACTCCCAAGTAACACCTGAACTGAGATCAGCTTGTTCAAGACCACACTTCATAAAATAGCAGTAAATGTGCAGTTTTCCATATTTTGTTATTGATGTATTTTTCCCCCTGTTTATTTCTGCTTTTAAACTGTATTATGGGAGGTTGATCATTCTTCTAACAACTTTTAACCTTGGAAAGTAGTATAAAGTGACTTTTCTGCATGTGTAATAGTCTGCAGTGCTGTATTGTCTTGATTTGTGTTGTATATTACACTACAGAAACCTTGTATTAAACTGCAGCACCTTTACTGTTCTGTTCTGACTTATTTGTCTAGATATTATTTCTTATACATTATATTATTATTTCAAACAGCTAAAATGTCAATAAAAGTCACTTTGTTAAACTGTAGAGTTGAATTATCAACATCAAAATTGGACAGAGCAGAGATCAACATCCCATAATGCACTTCAAAAACAGTTTCTGTGTTTTGTGCACTATTATTAGCTTTTTCTTTAAAAGTATAATTTGGAAACAAACTCTTCATACAAGCTCTCTCACTTTTTTTCAACCCCAGACTATTATCATATGGTAGACAGGAATATTTTTTCAGTGCAAAATGGGCTTCATAAACATGTGCATTAATAGGGTGTTGAGGTAATTGTTTCTTCAAGCTAAAACAAGAATTGATGCCAGTTTACTGATTATGTTTCTCAAAGTCTTCATACCTGTTGAAGCATTGTATATGGTGAACACCACACCTCCTCCAATGCCTATACTCTGTGAGTAAATCACACTCACACACAGTTGAGCTGCGATAGCAGCATCCACTGCTGAACCCCCATGCTGCAGGATATTCCTGCAAAGACAGAGAGTGATTGGAAACAACTGGGGCTTTTGCACAAGTCACTTATGAACAAAGGGTTGGAAAAGTAGGCTATCAAAAAAAAAATGTTTATAGCCAAAATAAAACTGATCCACATTGAGTTTACATTTTTTCAGCTTTATAACACACAAACAAACAACAGTTATACCAGCCTGATCTCACGAGAAAACATAAGTATGTAGCGTTGCCACATTACTGAGTTTATGCTTTCTGTTGTATTCGTTAAATGTGTGAATAGGCCTGGCAGTAGAGCATACTTACGGTTTTTGTAGCTCCAAATATACCAAAATGAGTAATAGACTTTTATTTTAGGTTCTTTATTTTGAAGGGATGAGGTCAGGTGAATGTGTCGGTGTTCTATTTCCTGTTCTGTTGCTCTTTTTCCATATATACACATTTACACAACACACACACCACAATAACAGATGAGACAGTAGAACATGTTTTAAAAAGATGCAAAGCATATAAAAATGAAAGAAGAAACCTTAAAGAGGAATTGCATAGTTTAGGATACCAGGATTTCACAATAAAGGGTTTATTAAAAGATGGTTTAGATTCAGTAAGACAAATAAAGGCAGTAAAAAGGTTCATTAAAAATAGTGGATTATACAATAGAATTTAGGAAACCAGTTCAACCTCTTCACACTCCATCACAGTAGGTGGCGATATGCACCTTTAAAGTTGGTTCGCAACTCGCCATAAAACGAAGAAGAAGAAGATACACACCACAAGGGGGAGATAGAGGGCACCTGGACACTACTCACTGTGTCATCTGAAGAAGCCAGAGGAGCACATGGAGCAGGTGTTTGCTAAGTCTACCTTTTTTTCTTGTTTCGTGTGCGAAGGACAATTGTTTTGTGTGGATTTTTTTTGCCTTTTTGGACCACAGTAAAGACTATCCTAGGAGGACATTTGATGTACTGCAACTTGACATGGTTCCAATTATCTGGACTCAAACTGTGTGGTGAGCATGATCCATTTAGTAGTGATGGTGAAATGAAGCTTTCTGAACCAGTGAAGTGCTCGACTCAATTGTATCGGAAAAAGGTTCGTTACTCGAAGCTTTCTAAATCAGAGCTCAATGAGGACCTCTTCTGGTAAAAGTGTGGGAAAGCACTGTGCTGCAATAATGTCAAATGTTCACAACTGACCAACTCATTCATGTAGTAATACAACAACAGCAATATAAACAAATTACTCAATTACTGTAGTTTTTACACAAGATATATTACATTACACAACTGATGATTGTAGTAAAATCCAAGGTATTCAAAAGTTTATCATAACACAATGAGTCCCGCTCCAAGCGGGGATCGAACCAGCGATTCCTGGTTGAAAGGCGAGTGTTTTAGGAGGACACTATGTAAACAATGCTTCAGAGTCACATTCACCCGATGGTCTTTGTTAAACACAATACTACGATATGCGGTGGTTTTCTTTAAAGATAGTCATAAAAAAATACGCTAATACACTTTAGTATTGTTCAAAACCTTTTTACAAAAAAATACTATTGTAGTTTAGTTTAATTACTGGTGTGTGGGACTGGTGCAGTGCTTTGAAACAAATGTATGTAATAGACGCCAGTTCTCTCGCTATACACTTTACTATGAGGGTGTTTAAACCTTTGAATCAAAATTCAAAGCAGTCACGTGGGTAAAGGCGAAAATGAAGCTTCGGACGTCACTGATCACGTGATGATGGCAAAACGAATCAAGCTCCGGTACACTGCTTCACTGCGAGATGTATCGTTTTTTTGATACATGCTTCGAAGCCTCGGCGCACAACGTCACATCACTACCATTTAGTATGTACACTCATTCGCAGACTTTTGGACTTCATACACACCACATTGTTGTATTGTGTTATTGTATAAATGTTGTTTGTGTTTTATTGTTAAGACATTTTCAGAGAAATTTGTGATTCCGATACATAAGATATTCATCAATCCATGATAAAATTTGAAAACTGAGACAAGAGAATTGAACCATATTTTTTTCTTTTTTCTTGTGCATACTGTAGATTTAAAGAAGAGCGTTACAATATTTAAACATACATTATTCAAGATTAATAATAAGTAAGGTATTACAGCATGGTTGTTGCCAAATATATTTTTGTACACTTGGCAGGGTGTATAGGATGTGCTTTATTTGTCTTAGACTTTTGAAACACACCTTGACTGACCAAATAAAATAAAGCCCAAGAAAAAAGTGTATACTTCCACTCAGATGCAGATGCTTTCATGCAGACTCATAATTATTGAAATTGCTGTTTTCATGTTCTTAGTTCAGTGTTTCTCATATGTGCGGTAAAGAATTGTTTATTAACTAATTTCTGTATTTATTCACCAATGTTTAATTGACAAAACAACACACTGAATAGACTAACAGAAAACTTTATTTATATATTTTTGCAATGCCTACTATCAGACTTACAACATAATAAAACAGCTAGATTAGTATACTACAAAAATCAGAAACATTTATAGAATATTTGTGATATAATATAAGGTGGATTAACTGCTCCAGTTTTATTAGCTGGGCCTAAAACTAACATTTTGCTGCACGTGCCAATGGCCACTGATTTGCTCTGTAAAAAAATGTACCATATGGATATTTTAACATGCCATTAAACTGTATGTGTATTATTTCATCTTCATTCTGAAAGCGATAATGATGTTGGGTTGGGGCAGAATATTTACTGTGAAGAGAGTAAATAATAATAGTGGTAATAATAATATATATATTTTTCTGTACAAAATAAACTAGTATTTAACTAGATTGCCAAGAAAATTTGTTGCTTGATGAGTGTTAATTTTAGACCCTTTTTAATAGCATCTAAAACACCCAAACAAACTATTCTGGAGCTCTTACTTGATGATCATTTGACATAAAAACACTGTTGACCACATCAGCAGTGGTCAGTATCCAGCAGGATTGCCATATTTCCTGTGGTCAGACACAGCACAGACTTTGTCCTTTTCTCGATCAATCACCTGAACCACTGAAACTTCAGTTTTGTTGCCTATAACATGATACTTCTGCTCCAAACCTTTAATCACATCCTGCATTCATAAATCACAAAAAGGAAATGAATGTAATTTTGAAATTTTCTGATATTATTAATTTAATTTGCAGGACAATCTTGTAGAGAAGTGAAGAAATGCTACCTTATCAAATCCTGGCTCCACATTTGTCACATTGTTCTTGATTTGAACTCTGGAAGCATTAACAGCATCCTTTAGGTCATAATCAAAGTACAGGTAGTTCAGGATCACCTGATATGAGAAAAAAAGGTAAAAGACAAGTTTATTTGGACATTAATTTATTAAGACACATTGGCCTATTCTAAGAAATAAATAATAATAATAATTAAAAAAACATTAAGAAAGATGCATCAAGATTTAATGTATTGATTTTTCATGTTGTTTTGTGTGCAATCAAATTAAATAGTTGAAATAGATATTTGTATCACCTGAGCAACAGCTGTAGTGATGTTCGTCCCTCCTTCAGCTCCAACCACCATTGTGACTTTTTCACTATTTTCTTTCTCTTCATCCAGTATTATTGTGGGACACATTGATGACAGTGGTCTTTTACCTGGTCAAAAAACAACAGACATTTTAAATCAACATTTATGTAGTTGTTTTTACCATATACTGTAACTACTTCTCTTCAGTATATTGTAGTAAAATACTCAAATACGTTTTTTTCTTTACCTTTTTCAATTCTGTTATGTTCATTGTCCGTGAAATCCTTCATCTGGTCATTAAATATAATGCCTGTACACTCTGACATCACACCAGAACCGAAACTGTGAGATAAAATGCATGTACACACACACACACACACACACACACACACACACACACACACAAACACAGAGGGAGAGAGAGGAAAAGAGAGAGAGATCACCAAAAAAAAAAAAAAAAGAACAACAGCAAAAGTACACATACAGTTGAAGTCAGAATTATTCGCCCCCCTTTTATTTATATATTTATTTTTTGAATATTTTCCAAATGATGATTAACAGAGCAAGAACATTTTCAATATTTTTTTCTTGTATGTTTTATTTGGGCTAGAATAAAACAGTTTTTAATTTTTAAGATCAACACCCCCCCCCCCCCCCCCATATAGGCACATGTAGCTTATATGGAATTGTTTCATTTTCATAAAGAGATTAATATATCAGTAGGGCATATATAAACATGTATGCTATATTTCTATTTGAATTTATTTCCTGGTTGTATTAAAGTTCCCCCACTGCAAACAAAAACTGTACAGACTTGTCTTATAACTAAATGGACATTTAAAAACATTGATATTGACGCCTGTCTGAAATATGCAGTGTGTGGATGTAAATAGCTTAAACAAAATGCTTCAGTTTTCTTACTAGTTATTAATGCTGCTGGTCACCGCCACTGCATTGCCTTCTGCATCGATGACAGACACATGAGATGTGCCGCTGTCATCAGGTACAGATTTAGAGACATTGTTAGACTTGTTGCAGGCTGTTGCAATGCTGTCATCAATCTCACTCCTGTTGTGGTCCGCAAAGCTGTCTGAGATCATGTTTTTGACAACCTATAAAAACAAAATTAGTGAATCATGTAAATAGGAAAATTGAAGACTTTGAGAAAATCAACGTGTGCTGGATCCTTGTCCAATCAGTTTGATCAAGCATGGCAAAAGCTAAGAAAGCAGAGAAATTCAACTCCAGAAGTCAACTTTCCTTTATATGTCAAGATCACCAGTGATCTAATCTTGGAAGATCGATAAGCAAGCAGATCGATATAGAACTACAAATCCACTGGTATATGGACTAAAAGTTCAGTCGTGCACTCGCACTCACCTGTTCGGGATTCTGCTGATTGCGCACACACACAATCCCAATTACTTATGGTTTCATTTATTATTTACTCTCTCATTCCTTCTCCCTTCTTCTTTTCACATTGTAATTTTACCTCTCTGTCCAACTATTGTTTTTTGTCATTTCTTATTTAATTTTCTCCTCTCTTTCATCTCTCCATTCCAAATTCCAAACACATTTATAATTTAGAGATGTATGTTCAATGCCCATAACACTCATATACCAATATCTCACAGTTACATGACTCCTCCCTTTCTTCATCAGCCAATCACTGTGTGCATATTTAATAAGCGTGCTGGCATCATCCATAGTGATAAAGTAAGCTCCGCCCACTCTCAGCTTGAGACTTCTTTCTATTTTCCTTTTAAAAGTTCACCTTAGCTGCTTTGTGTATAGATTTGACGAGAAAACTCATAGCTTAAAAATGTACTGTTATTTACTTAAGTAGTGGTGAGATAAAATGTTTTGTGAATACAGGTTTGGAAGTAAATTTGAGGCCCAATGAATCCATAAGTAGAGTTGAACTCACCTCATTGACAATTGGTTGTTTAAGTGGGTCTCCCAGTTTAGTCTTCTCTACATCAGCTATGCATAAAGTCTCTATTATGCGGTGGTAGGTCAAAGTCTTATTTTTGGTTGTGGACACACTTTTCTTTGAGAGGTTGAAACCTGAAAAACCTGAAATTATATGTTTAATTGCCTGAAATAAACCTTATTTATACAGTATATGTCAGAAATGAAGACCAAAATTTTGAGTATAAATTACAAAGTTTGTGAATCCTCAACATTTATGGGTGTTACTGAAGATGGTATCCAGTCAACACTCCTGTCTGAGGTGTGTGAATATAACCATGTTTAGGACTTATTGGACTATACAGGATGAAAATTTGCTTTTGTTGCTCTTTGGAAGTGCCCCAAAACACCATGAGCAGAAGCAAAAAATGTAGACAAAAATAAATAAATACAAAAAAAAAGGAAAAAAAAAAAAAAAATAAATAAATAAATGAAAAAATAAATAAATAGATAAAAACAACACACAGTCACACAAAAACAAAAGCTTGTACTACTTGTACAAATAATTTCTCAAGTAATGGTAATATTAAAAACTTCAATTATAAGTAAAAAGTATAAAAGCATTTAGTGTTAAGTCTACTTAAGTATCAAGTTACTAATTAGGTTATATTAGATCTGACTGAAATAAAGGGAAAATCTATAATGAAATACATCTCTGTTTATATGATGTAAAACGCCGCAGGTTAGAGATGAGGGGAACTAAAGTAAATTTGGGAAGAATGTCAAGGATGTCCATGTTACAAGAGATTAGGATAAAACATTTGCGTATTGAATAAACCAAATACAAAGCTCCCTGTTTGCACGCACACACACACACGCACGCAAGATTGTTTACTGTATAAATAATATTTTTGTGTTATTTTTGTATTACAAATCTACTTCTTTGCGTAAGTAAATAATTTATTTATTTTCATCAAAAAATAAGTGCATTGACTGAGTGCTGCCTGTCACTGACTTTAATAATCTCTGTGTACTCAATAACACTCTAAATCTACTTAAAAGGGCAAACTTAAAAAAAGACAACAAAGTAAATGTAATTTGTGACTACCTTTTGTACCGTTGCCCAGGAGAATTTTCATTATAAGAGTGAGCACGGGTCCACCGAATGGAGCACCAGGAGCATGAAATATGTATTTCCCGACATTAAAGTTTATTGCAGACTCTGTCAGCACTGGCTCATAATCCGTTAGGTCCTTACGTGTGATGTTTCCTCCTTTATTCCCAGAAACAATCCATCAGTAATATGTGTATACTTTAAACTAATAATCTATCAAATCCTAAATATGTAATAAGATTTCTGCATGAAATAACCTGCAGCTCTGATATCATCCACTATGCTCTGAGTCAGGGACCCATTGTAAAATGCATCAGGTCCTTCTTCTGATATCTTCCTGTAGGTGGCAGCAAGTTGGGAAAATCTTATATAGTCATTTATCTTCGGAAGGTTATAGTCTGCATCACAAAACACTTCACTGGATAAAAGAAAGATGAGAGTGGAAGAAAGATGGGTTTAGACTTAATACAGACATAATATGCATATGATACGAGTCCAAAACCTTTGGCCTTATTTAATGTTTATGTGTGACCAAAAGCTATGCCTTTTCTATTCTGCTATTTTCTCAATGTTTGCTTTGTACACACAGACACACACAAACACACACACGCACACATGCACACACACACACAAACACACACACACACAGGGTGGTGCGGTTGCGCAGTGAGTAGCACTGCCATCTCACAGTAAGAAGGCCGCTGGTTCAAGCCTCGGCTGGTCAGTTGGCATTTCTGTGTGGAATTTGCATGTTCTCCCCTTATTTCCCTGTGTGTGTGTGTGTGTGTGTGTGTATATATATATATATATATATATATATATATATATATATATATATATATATATATATATATATATATATATATATATATATATATATATATATTCTCACCACAGTGTTGTATTTTTCTGAAATTTATCTTCTTCCTCTTTGATGGCGTCAGCCAGGGCTTTGCCAATCTTAAATCCCTTCCGTGCCAGCTTTATACTGGGCTTAAACAGCTCTTTCCATTCCAGTCTACCATGCCTGTCGTGTGCCAGTTTATAACCACGCAATTCTCCTGGTACAGCTATTAATAATCCTGACATTCAGGACAAAAACAAAGAAAAAACGAAATCATTTATTATCATACATTGGAAGAAATATTTAGTTTGCTGTTTACATGGTTTATCATCAGGGCCATGTTTTTGTTATTTCTGTGCAGAATTCTGAAAAAAATCTGTGGATTCAATCAGAATGATTTTGGGAGAATTGTATGGTTTATAATGCAAATCCAATTAGATCTACTTGTTTTATAAATGAGTCATAAACTCGTACAACATACGTATCATCTAATAGACAGAATAATAATAAATATTACTTTACAAACTGTATTATAAATAAATCATAAAACATTTTCATTTTAGTCTCAAATGTTACTAAAATTAATATAAAAATGAGTACAATACATATATACCTCCTGTAAACTATAGACGGGCTAAAATATTGGCATGTTTCTGCATGCATGGACTCTGTGTGGGCCTTTTTATCACCAACATGTTCTGTCTAGATTAATTTGCTTATTAAATCTGTGTAGTAAAGCTGTAATAAATTATGGTGGTTTATACCTGGTTTTGTATTATTGTTGTTATTGTCAAACATGTCTGCTGTAGCACTCATTGGCGCAGTTTCTCGAGCATTAATTGTCTCCACCTTTCCTGTGAGTGAAGACAATAAACTTTACATTTTCATTTATAATGAGGTATTAGTCATAGACCAAACAAATAAAAGGTTGCTAACTAAAGATGTATATTTTTAACCATTGCTTCATGAGCAAATCATCATACTTTATAAAATAGGACATTGATATGTCATTACTAAAATGTTGAATTGTTTTGAATATGCAGCGGTTTTCCACTGGAAGGTGATCTGTTTAAATTAATAAAATCTATATGAAGGTAAGCTTTATTTTGCTTAAGATCTGTAGTATCTGCTTTTTGCTGGCTGTATTTGGTAGTTGATAATCCTAAAGCCTGTTGCGCAGTGGTTCTTGATTATACACATGCGTTGCGCGGTCAATTTACAAACCTTTTCCCCTTTGTCAATAATACTGAGTGTGTGTTGTTGATGTTATTACTTGGGGTAAGGGTTAAGAATAGAGTAATATACTGGTGTTTAACTGCATTAGTTTAGTCCATCCCTGCATTGGGCTGCGTCAACTATGTTAATAAGCTCTGGTGGCCATTTAATTCCGACGTTGACCAATCACAACAGATTGGATCATTGGACCAATTAGCAGAGATTACAGTTTTTACAATGGGTATGACAGTTTTTTCAATACATTTAACAAGTTTGCTAAACTCTCACACATTGTGAACTAAACCTCTAAACTAATAATCAAAATATAATAATAAACTAACACACTACACAATGTCTAACAAAACACTGCAAACGTTTCAAAATCAAATAATTGTTTAAAACACTAACACGTGTTCTCTTCCAACAAAAACATTTAGTCCGTCATAACACACTGAAAATAAAAACACACTCATTAGCTAAAATTACAGAAACTACATTAGTTTGTGTCAGCACTGCCCTTATATTTGAAGACTCTCTACAGTTTTGTCTTTTTGTTTTTCAGTTTTGCATTTTCTTTCTTTTACTGCAAAAATTCAATACAGAAATGAAGAAAACAAATTGCATTTTAAAATGTACCGTTTATGTTAAGACAAATGTGCAGACACAGAATTGCTGCAGTAGAGACTTTATTTGCAAACGGATATCACTGCAAGATATACAAACAGAAAAAGCACCGCAATTATAAAGAAATAAAAAAATAAAAATAAATAAGTAATCTTTTATTCTGCCTGGTCATCAGCATATGGCCACATGTTCTCATCCACATTACACTTGATATCTTCTATGGCCCGGCACGGTAACTGTGGCCCTTTGGCCTATTATGTTACTCCCACAGTGACATCTCCAGTCTCATCAACATAGATAATTTAATGTGGGAGTTTATTGACCTCCAACTCCAACATGACTCTCTGAAAGTAATTAGACACGGTGTATGCAAATGCTGTACTGTACTGCATATCTACTGTATATACAAATTAAGGTTTACTCCAGGTTTATAGATTAGTTTACTGCAAAACACTGTGTATAGTTCAGTAATGACTGTATTGCATAATCTGGATGTATTTTGTGACAGAGTTCTTTGATGTGCTCACTGTCCCTTTCAAAAACCTCAAGAGTCATCTATTAGAACATATGATCATGTGATTGGAAAAACCTCAACACATAATTGTGCTTTCTAGATGGAAATGAGCTGATATAATCTATATACATACATATATATATATATATATATATATATATATATATATATATATATATATATATATATATATATATATGATTGGCTGATTGCCGTGTGATATTCTGTAATATCAGCACCCGTACAGCCTCTTTACCCTTTGTGTATTACTCCGCCCACATACAGCCAGCAAAAAGCAGACACTACAGATCTAAAGTTTAAAAGATCCACGCTCAACTGTTTAACTGTCAGATTATGATTTGAATTCAATGTGGAAGAAAGTAGTTCCTCATACTAAAGGGTTTGTCAAAGCAACAAAAAATGTGTTAATTGTATAGCCAACAAAGATGGATGTTGGGCTAATCATGTTTAACGTTTAGGAAACTTGTTAAATGTATTGAAAAAACTGTCATAGCCATTGTAAAAAAAACTGTAATGTCGTGTAATGGAGGGCTTTGTAAAAAATTAATCACTGAACAAATCATATGGAAGTCATTGAGAAAATTAGGTCAAAATAAATGCATGTTATAAGACAATGAAAGTGTTTTTTGACATTGCATGCAGATCAGCCTGTTGTTAAAGACCCCAAAAACCAATATATGACTTTTTATAATACATACCTCAGCATGCTCCAGAGAAACTATTAATGACTTTTCTTTAACAGCATCAACAGAAAATCAAGTCTGCATACAGTGAAACTCTCATTCTTTTCTTTAACTTCAGACTTTTATCATGTCACACAGGAAATTTTAATCAATCAATTTTAATCAAGCTAAAGGTGCTTTATAAAAATAAACATTAATAGAATGTTCAGTTATTTATTTATTTATTTATTTATTTATTTATTTATTTATTTATTTATTTATTTATTTATTTATTTTAGCTAAAACAAGAATTGATCATTATGTTTCTCAAAGTCTTCATACCTGTTGATGCATTGTATATGGTGAACACCACTCCTCCTCCAATACCTATACTCTGTGGGTTAATCACACTCACACACAGCAGAGCGGCGATAGCAGCATCCACTGCTGAACCCCCACGTTGCAGGATATCCCTGCAAAGACATTGTTTGAGAAAAATAGGGACTTTTACAAATTAGTGATAAGTAGAGTTTATAAGAAAAGAATGATATAATAACAAAAATTAGATGCACATTTGCATTAACATTTAATTCAGCTTTGTTACACACACACACACACAAACACACACACACACACACACACACACACACACACACACACACACACACAAACACACACACACACACACACACACACACACACACACACACACACACACACACACACACACACACACACACACACACACACACACCAGTTGTGCTGAAAAGTTAGATCAATAAAAAGCTTTCAAATAATTTTTTCGGTCATTATCCTTATTTCATACTGTTACATCTGAGCCCAGTGGAAATCTTTGTAACAATTGTAACTTTTCACTCCTCCTGTTTGAGACTAATTTACGCATTATTTTTTTTATTTCTGCTGCAAAAATAATGTGTGTCATAATGTGTGGCTACTAATAGCCACTTGGACACTTGTAACTAGTTTGAACCTAATTTTTAACACCATGAATGAAAAAGATCTTAAAGATATAGACAGAAATGTAAAAAAAAAAAATTTCAAGTCGCAAAGCAAATTTGACACCAAAGAAAAAACTAAATAATTTAAACAAAAAAAGAAGAGGACAATTTAAACACACACAAAAAACTTTTGTTATTTATTATCTTAATTAAACTAGCAGACAGAGAGAGGTGCTGCAGCAATCTCAGCACTCATAATTCACATTTTTACGACCAACTACCACATAAGAACTGAGCTATAAAAATTTGCCAGACATTCAAATACTAATAACATTGAAAATAATGCCCCTGTAAAAGCAGAGGGTTGCAGAAGCATGTTGTTCACATAATTAATCTTAAATAATACATGTGGAAACTTGAACGTAAAGGCTCATTATAATGGTACCTTCCAATGTCTGAGCAAGTTTCTGCATCTGTTGCCACTGCTGCTTTACCATAGCAATTACCATTAAACATGCATTTGTGACACCAAATCACACGCATTAACAATAACAAAGCCACTGCAATCACTGAAGCAATGATAAGACAGACCAATCTGAAAGAAAAACACCAGAGTTTGCGATTAATTTTTTGGTTTGATATGATTTGATATTTTTGATATTTATATATTTTTAATCAGATTTAAACCTGTTTTAGAAATCAAATTTAAATGTATCATTTGATAAATATGTCATTTAATCTTAGACTTACTTTATTTATAAAGCAGAATTTTATTATGTTGACCATTGTGCTGTACACAAATTGTGTAAAAAATTCTAAATTAAGATCAAAGGAAAAAATAACATACAAGACATTCAACAAAAACCAGCAAATTCAGCTAACTCCTGTATAAAAACCTTTTCTGAAAGGTGAAGTTTCAGTTTCCCCTTTGAAGGGTTTGGATTTCTACCTTACACTCCATCTCAGCATGGATCAACGTTTATCCTTTTCTCATCATCCACTTTAGATGGGTGGTGACTAACTTAAGTTTTCAATAGAAGGAGGGTCATATGACACATCAAACTTATTGGGAATTTCACAAGAACAACAATGGTGTGCTTGGTTTTAAGGTAACTTTATTCTTTCATGAGTTATATACAAGTTTCTGACCACTTATAAAATCCAATGCTGAGAAGACACAAGATGTGCAGCACCTGAAACTACACATACTGGAAGCCTGTGCTGGCATTTTTCCTGCGGTGTTGCTATCAGTGTGTCAGGAGTGGGAGAAGAGGGTTGCATTGACAATCTAACACAATGGGCAGCACACTGAACACTTTTTATAAGTGGTCAGAAACTTGTAAATAACTCATTCATTCATTAATTTTCTTGTCGGCATTGTTTTCTTGTGAAATTCCCAATCAGTTTGATGCGTCATATGACCCTCTTCCTATTAAAATAAACAAAAGTTGGATCCAAGATGGCCGACTTCAAAATGGCCACCATAGTCACCACCCATCTTGAAAAGTTTGCCCCCTCACATATACTAATGTGCCACAAACAGAACGTTAATATCACCAACCATTCCCATTTTATCAAGGTGTATTCATATAAATGGCCCACCCTGTGGATTATATCGGTTTTTAACTAGTTTTGATAAAGACAGCTGAGGGTACACTCAGCCTTGGGTAAGAAACGGATTGTACTTTAAGTGTGTGTGTTCTATTTGTTTATGGATTCGTTTTACAAGTCTATTTTCAGCTCTAAACAGTCTAGTGGATATCTGATGTTTATTTCCTTAAGATATTGTTCAGAATATACGTATGCACCCTCGTGGAAACTTTCCTAGTCTATCTGTGTTTTAACCAATCAGGTTAGATCATCTATTTGTATGACGCAGTTAAGGACGTTATTTGAGAGTATAATTGTTATTGACTTGTGATTGTAAGTCAGAGCGGTCTGGGATCTCGTTGTAAGTGTTGAAGCTGGCTTCTGCCGATGAAACTGCAAACTATCTTTAGTAAACTTGATTTATTTATTTGAATATCTGACTCCGGCTCTTCTTCACCAAGACAGACTGCTTATTCTTTGGGTTAAAACGGTATACAATCCCTACACCTTGAACACAGATTCAGTAGAAATTATTCTAATAGAGAGAGGTACTATGTTTCACAATTTGGGGCCCACAATGAAAAAGGCCTGGTTTCCCTTTGTCTTTCATTTTGATCTGGGAATTTTTAACAATTTCTGACTTAATGACCTTAAACATCAAGCAGAAATGTTAACAGTCACTTGTTCGGATAGATAAGAAGTTACCAGATCATTCAAAATCTTAAAAACAAAGAGTAAAATTAGAAACTATTCTAATACATATCGGCAACCAGTGCAGAGAGTAAGATGGGGTAATGTGCTCAAATTTACAAGTGACAGTAAGAAATCTAGCTGCTGCATTTCAGACCACTTGTAGGCGATTTATATGTATGACCAATATAAAATGAGTTGCAGTCTGAACATGAAGATATAAATGCATGTATTACTTTCTCAAATTCAGCAGGGGTTAAAAAGTATTTTTTATGAGCCTCTATGTCTGTTTGTGTACATTCTTCATTACCTGCTTTTCTTGGTTTTAAATATTTTAGAAATTAAACATCTGGTGGAAGAACATAACTTGGAACAGCCACTGACCACCAGTGTAAGGATCCTGTAAAACAATTATAAAACATCAACACTGTCTCCAGAATTCTGTAAACCTGGTTCTGTATTTCTTTAACTAGCTCTCAGACCACTAACATTCTGTCAAGGTTTTCAGTTAACTTGAATATAATGCTTGTTCAAAAGTATGTGGTCTTTAATGATGTTCTCAAAATATTAGCAAAAACTAACAAACACAACAACATAGGTAAAATTTTATTTTGATGTTCTAGTATCAGAGTATTAGTAGACTGTCTGCTTAATATCTGCTGATTCTGCTCCAACATATATTTAACTGACTAAAAGATACTTGGCATGTACATGTAAACTTACACTAACCCCAACTCTAACCTTACAGTCTACTTAAAATCTAATAAAAATTAGTTGGCATAGATGCAATGTAACATAAAATGAACCATCCAAATAAAGTAAAAAACAGATACATTGTAAGTATGACTATATAAAGTATGATTAACCAGCCTGATCTCATGAGAAAATGTAAGTATTTTTATGTTTTGCCAGTTTAGTGGCTAATTTGTACGAATTCGTACGAGTTCAGTCGTAAGAAATGGTATGATTTTAAAAAGGAGGCGTGGCACCTGACCCCACCCCTAACCCCAACTGTCATTTGGGGATGAGCAAATCGTACTAAATTGTACAAATTAGATCGTACGAATACATACGAATTAGCCACTAAATGAAAAAGTTACGAATTGCCGTGAGATTGTGTTGGATTAACTGCTAAAAGTGTATGTGCATATTGAGCTTTTGATTGTTGTGTCAAGCTTCTCTTTCTCTCTCTCTCTCTCTCTCTCTCTCGCTCAAAAATATATACATTTTAAATATGTTTCTACAGTTATGCGGCAATTAACTAATTACTTTTTTCATTTGATCATTTGAAGTTGTACATTCAGAAGTAAATGTACAAAAGTTGTCACATATCCTTTTAAAAGATACACTTGTACTTTTTGGATAACAATGTACCCCTTAGGGTACTAAATTCCAAATGTGTACCTTTTGAAAGGCTGTATACCCTAGTGACAGCTTGTGCATATTTATTTCCGAGACACACACAAAGTTGAAGTCAGAATTATTAGCCCCTCTGAGCTATCAGACCGCTTGTTTATTTTTTCCCCAGTTTCTGTTTAACGGAGAGCAGATTTCTTTAGCACATTTCTAATCATAATAGTGTTAATAACTCATCTCTAATAACTGATTTATTTTCTCTTTGTCATGATGACAGTAAATAATATTAGAGTAGATATTCTTCAAGACACTTCTATACAGCTTAAAGTGACATTTAAAGGCTTCACTAGGGTAATTAGGGTAACTGGGCAGGTTAGAGTAATTAGGCTAGATAGATAGATAGATAGATAGATAGATAGATAGATAGATAGATAGATAGATAGATAGATAGATAGATAGATAGATAGATAGATAGATAGATAGATAGATAGATAGATAGATAGATAGATAGATAGATAGATAGATAGATAGATAGATAGATAGATAGATAGATAGATAGATAGATAGATAGATAGATAGATAGATAGATAGATAGATAGATAGATAGATAGATAGATAGATAGATACCATCTAAAGCAATCCAAGGGACCCGATAAAATCACATAAGGCCTAATTTCCTCATAGTCAAATCTGCAACTCATGTTTGCAGACAAAACTGGACTGGGCTTTTAGAATCTGTCAGAAACAAATGGCAATGGTCAATGTTTAAAGAAATGATTGGGTGCCAACATATACAACACATAAACACAGCAGTGAAATCGCTGCTCCATTTGTGATTGTAAAAGAGAACAAATTGAAATAACATATAATGCCACATCTTCTAACAAAAAAGAAACAAACATATTATTAACTTGGTAGTGCAGATGGCTAAAAAAACAAGACATTAAGATTAACTGATAATTCAAATTTGTTAGTTCATACTAAGTTTCGGTGTGACATTAATCTCTGCCTTGAACTGATCTTACTCAGTTGGCTTATTGTGCTAATTAGATACTGTTTAATTAACAACTTTTAAGTGTTGCATTGTTTAAAGAAAAGCAAATAATAAATAATTAGCTGATTCAGCATCAATCTTACCAGTGTTTTTATAGTCCTAGAGATCTGGTAATCAAACAACTAGAACAATCCACCTAGATAGGGAATAAACAAGACAATGACTCAGATGTCTGTGATCCTCCTCAGGCAAATCTGTTTTTGTAAAATCGTCAGAATGAGAAACCGCACAAACCTGTTGGTACTGACTGATCTGGTTCTACAGTTTTGTAAGGTCATTCAATGGAAATTTTACAAATAGTTTTCAGAATTAACCTTCCAATAAACTTTAAACAGGAACCAAAGTAAAGGATATTAAAATTATTATTAAAATAACATAAAACAATCTGTTCAGTGTTTACATGTGAGGGGCTTTTACTCTGGACATACAGTATATCTGTAGTCTAGGATTAAAGGATCTCCTTCAGGTAGTCTTGGGGTCACATGACAGCAGTCACATTGTTGCTGTGTATTTATGCCAACCACACGCTTTCATCTAAAAATAATGTGTGAAAACACATGGTATTCTCATGGTAGGCAATCTGAACAATAGCAAAGCATTTTTGTCATCTGTCTTCCTAATAATCTTCTGCTACATACGTACAGTAAATCTGCTGCATGCCTTGATTCAAAATTTAGATAAAAGTTGGTATGTTCTGTTCAGCAACATGAAAGTAAAAAAAAAAAAAAAAAGAGTAATTCATCTCATTGAATTAAGATTAAATATACTAGTGATCCACCAAAAAAATAAAAATAAAAAAAATAAATAAATAAAAAAATCTGTTAATGAACAGTTTTCATGTTTTTTTTATTCACAAGTTTATTTGGGGCTGTAAATTGCATTATGGGATGTTGATCTCTGCTCTCTCCACTTTTGATGTTGATAATTCAACTACAACAAAGTGACTTTTATTGACCTTTCAGTAATTTGAAATGTAATGGATAAGAAATAATATATAGAGCCTGTAAAATAACAGGAAATGTGCTGCTGATAATTACAAGGCTTTCTGTAGTGTAATATACAACACCAACACAGACAATACAGCACTGCACACTATTAAACATTTTTACAAAAGTCACTTTTTTTACACTATTGAATGTTAAAAGTTGCTGAAAGCAAGATCAAGATCCCATAATGCAACTCAAAAGCAGAAATAAATAAGGAAAAATAAAAACATCAATCACAAAATAAGTAAAATTGTTAATTGAAGGATATATATATTTTTTACAGTGCACACTTAAATGCCCCATATAATTGAATCTATTCAATTCACAGTGTGGATGGTAGTTTGTGTTTGTGCAGCAGGACTATTAAAGCCGTATAAAACATCTCTTGTTGACAAATATTATAAGCATCCTGAGTCATCCAGAGATTATGCAGCTCCAGTTGATCCAGTTCCTATGAAGACACGTGAGAATGAAAAGTGTAGTAGTGTCCGTCTGTCATTGGTCGATGGATGTCGTCCATGTGGACTGTCAGAAATTTTAACGAGCACTCAACCACACCCAGGGCTGGACTGGGGCAAAAAATCGGCCCTGGCATTTTGGGCCAGAGCGGTCCACTAAATTCAATCAAAATGCTATCTATCTATGCATTTCCAATATTTTTATCAACTCATATTCTATAAAACACAAAAGCCATATATATATGAAATAAATAATTAAATACAAACTTTAATCTCAATTTAATTTCTGTTTACTGTCCATAAAGATATTTGTTGAGTTCTAAAAAATACACTATTTATTCATTTATTTTTCTTCGCATAAGTCCCTTATTTATCAGGGGTTGCCGCAGTGGAATGAACTGCCAACTATTCCAGCATGTTTTATGCAGCAGATGCCTTTCCAGCCACAACCCAATATTGGAAATCACCCATACACACTCATTCAAACACACTCGTACACTACAGCCAATTTAGCTTATTCAATACACTATTCTCTCAGCCTATATTCAATAATAAACATCACAAAAACTGCCTGCTAATGCATGGGTAAATCTTCAAAGAGAACAGTGTACTTTATAACCTCTTTCACCTCATCCTGCTTGCTGTTTCACTATCTAAACAATTAAAACATAATATAAGTCAAATTTGTTTCATTTTGATATTATGATTAACAGACACCAAACAGCCTCGTGTAGCTGCATATTTATATGAGCGTCATCTTCACTTTGCATATTTATAACAAAACAGGGCTTAAATATAACTGCCTCCTTTCATTTCCATTGAAAATAATGAACTTTACCCTGTCTCTTTTGCAGAATATCAGTTTTAATAATGGCCATTATAACAGTATAACGTACATTAAATTTAAATGATAAAGGTAAGCAAGTCAATGTGCAGAATCAGTGTATGTGGTTACATAAATGAATATATCAGCTTATCTTTGCACTCAGCCAAAACGGTTAACTGAGAACAAGTGATTCAAAAGACATGAGTTGTTAGATAGAGACAACAAGTTGAATATCACGTTTAACAACTATAGTGAGATCAGATCCAGCAGATGAACTGTCTGACATGCACTATACTCTCACCTGGGGTTTATGCTCACCCGCTGATCTACTGGCTGAAGGTCTTGGCAGTGAGTGTGTGGTCACGTGATTTGCGTTTTTAGCCGTGTGCTAGAATGAACAGAGAACTTTTCAGAATCGCTAAATGAAGCGGCGGTGTATTTCCTGCAATTTCTCTGCGCCTCCCTTGCGTTTCTTCTCTCTGACTCTCGACTATTTTGACAAATACACACAGACATCGCACGCTCATACAGAGCCCAAAATAGGAGTTTGTGATTGGGCCAGCTCAATGTCAATAAAGAAAAGAACCAATGGACTGCAGAGTGTCACATGGGCCGACCCAGTCTGTCTGTCTGGGAAAAAAAAGCATCTACTTTCAAATAGTCACCACAGGAGCGTCAATTAATAAAGCAGAAAAAACGATAGGCTGCTAAGCCTTTTATGGGCCAATCAGATTATAAGACGATGATCAGCCCGGCCCAAAAAGTACGTTGGCTCACCTGGAAAGTGCCCGGTTTGCCAGATGGCCAGTCCGCCCCTGACCACACCCCTCATAGTGACATCACTTTCTGGCTCCAGAGTGAGTAAACATGCACATTTTTAAAGGCACCTGTTATGCAAAACTGGTTTTTATGTGGGGTTTAACCCCGATAGTGGGTGTGTGTGTGTGTGTGTGTGTGTGTGTGTGTGTGTGTGTGTGTGTGTGTGTGTGTGTGTGTGTGTGTGTGTGTGTGTGTGTGTGTGTGTGTGTGTATCTCCAGCACCTCTAGTGGTCAACAGTAATGAGTTGTGTTTGTTCTAATTAGACTTGATGCAGAAACACTGTGATTGACATTCTCTCTTGTACGTGTCATCAGAGGGGGAAAGCCCCGCCCACTAGTGCCCATCTCTCAATTTCATTAGCATCTCCAGCAGCCCTGAGTGAGAAGCAGCCGTCTGTCCATTAGCCATTAGAGTGTTTGAGCTGCTGAAGATGATGTCAGCATAGACTAAGAGGATTATAGATGTGGAGTTCTAGATGAACAGCGACAGGAGCCACATAGACTGACAGAAGCATGATGCACACATGCAGACCTGACGAGCACTGACAACACGCACACTGCTGTTTGTGAGAAACTGACTGTCATTTACTATCAATCTTCTAGTCTTCACAAATTTTAATAACCATCAGTAATTTTACTTTAAACCAAACAGATCAACAGTCTCACATGCTTTACCAAATCCATTTTCTTTCAACTAATAAACTAAAACTCCTTTAGTCATGCAGAGAGTCATTGCATGTTCAACAGCACCCCATATGCATCTTCTAATTAGTTTTCTGAGAGGTTGAACTACTATCTGATGTATTATTAAACTGTGCTTTGTTTTATCCGTCTTATATGATATACTAATTTTGTTTTTATACAGCACTTTGATTGTGTTTATCCCACATTTTGCCACATTTTTTTCGTTGGTTCTCAGTAACTCATATGTGCATATCAGTGTTTTTTAGTATAAAGTGTTTAAATAGAAAAAAAAAAAAAAAACACTTATTGAATAGACTAAAAGGAAACTTTATTGATTTTTTTTCCACCAATATATCTATTAAACTCTTGTTTTGAGCTTATAAATTTCTGCAATTTCTAAGCAGATTTTTAGATAAGCTAAATAAAAACAGCTGAAATATTACTGTGAAATTAGAAACATTTAAAAGGAATTTTGTAATATAACACATGGTGTATTACCTGCTCTTGTTTTTATTTAGCTGGGTCTAAAACAAACATTTTACTGCACCCGCCAATGGCCAGTATTCTGACCTGTAAAAATTGACCATGTGATATTTTTACATGCCATGGAACTGTATGTTTTCTCACTTCCGTATTTTGAAATGTTTTTTGCATTTTGGTTCTTGGTCATTTCATAAAAAGTACATGTCATTGAAAACAAACTAAAGCTGTCACTCTACAGCTACTTCACATATAAACATAATTGAAAACTGCAGCATGAACGCAGAAGCAGCGGTCAGTATCCAGCAGGTTTGCCATATTTCCTGAAGTCAGATGCAGCACAGATTTTGGTGCATTCTCGTCCAATCGCCTGAACCACTGAATCTTCAGTATCGTTACGTATAATAGTATGATTCTTCTCCTCCAAGCCTTTAATCACTCTCTGCATTCATAAAACAAAGAGGAAAATGGTATAATCATTTGTTTTTCTAACATTGTGTATCTAATTTGCATCACAGACTTGTAGTGAAGTGCAGAAGCACTACCTCATCAAAGTTATCATCCACATATGTCCCATTTGGTGTGATGTGAAATCTGGGTTGATCAACAGCTGTCTTCAGATAATAGCCAAAGTACAGGTAGTTCAGGATCACCTGAGATGAGAGAAACAGATAAAGAACAAATACATTAAAAATCACACACAAAACTCTTTATTTAAGCACATAAAAATAGATGCTTTCTCGGGTTCAGATGAATAAATTAAATGTCAATGTATTGATTGTGTAAAACTGATCAAATGTTAAATTGTTGAAATCTCCAGATGTGTGTTTTAAATCACCTGAACAACAGATGTGGTGATGTTCGTCCCTCCTTCAGCTCCAACCACCATTCTCACTTTCCCCCCTTTTCCTTTGGATTTGCCCAGTATTATTGTGGGACACATTGATGACAGTGGTCTCTTACCTGGTCATAAAAACATTAACATTTACATTTATGTAGGTGCTTTTACTTAATATTGGAACTCAAACTACTCAAATGATTATTTTTCCTTTACCTCCTTCAATTTTGTTGCGTTCACTCTTCATCTGAATGAAATCTGACATCTGGTCATTAAATATGATGCCTGAACAGCCTGACATCACACCAGAACCGAAACTGTGAGAACATGAGCGAGAGAGAGAGAGAGAGAGAGAGAGAGAGAGAGAGAGAGAGAGTGAGAGAGAGAGAGAGAGAGAGAAAGAGAAAGAGAGAACACAAAATAAAATAAAAAACAACCACAAAAAAAACAATGCTTCATTTTAACATCAACTTAAACACACACAAACAAATATATATATATATATATTAGAGGTGTGAACCTACACTGGTTCGGTTCGGTTATGATTATCATGCCATTGATTCAGTTCAATTCGATATCTCGGTGCATTGACGATGCTTTCAATACATAATTAGATTTTTTCTTCACAAAACAAGATTTTTAAATTAAAATATATAAATATATTTATATATTATTTGTAATACAATTTTGTTCTTTAATACAGCAGTAGGATATATGATATATGATATGTACCTTTCATTTGACCTGCTCAAAGAAATGACTCTTTCTGAATGTATCAAACAAAACTGCAACACGTGCACAGAAAACAGCATGAGCATTTACAGCAAACAAACTAATGTAAATATGATCCCGCTTGCTTTTTGAGCACTGTCAAGCTAGGTCGTACACCCCAATGATTGGTCATTGTCTTCACCAGCTCAACAGAAAGGGCTGCAATTGGCTTTAGAAACGAAAGCGCTGTTCACCGAAGAGTGACGCAGGAAGACCAGCTGTGGTTACAGTCTATATGTGCATAATACGTTATCACAGGTAATCCATAATAGACACAGTGGAGAAAACTCGCACCTCAGGCACGCTCGTGTCTGGATCCACAGGTATCGCTTTAACGGCCAAGAGGAGAGGAAAAGTTACCTCGCAAACAAACCATCAGATCAAATGTCCAAAGTGTGAGAGAGAGAGAGAGAGAAAGAGAGAGAGAGAGAGAGAGATAAAGATGGAGTTATACAGCATTTCTCCATAGTAGTAAAATAGCGGCTCGTGTGCTGTGCCTTCTTCAGCGTCATCGAAAGATTTTCCAGCAAACTCACAAGCAGTTAAACTGTGCATAATTACCTACCTTTTAAGTATTAGGGGTGTTTATTTACTCGCTTTCGCCTCCTTTGCCATAATATTGTACTGCGACGTCGTGCATAGGAGATATATGACGTTAGTAATTAAATTTGACACCCCTAATATATATATATATATATATATATATATATATATATATATATATATACTGTATATATACACACATACATATATATATATATATATATATACACACATACTGTATAGATTATGTTGACCGAGAGAGCTTATCGCGCTGCAATTTAAGAAAGCACATGCAATTACAAAAACACCAGCAAATTAAAAAATGATCTTCATCAGTTTGACAACACAACTGAAGAAATGCCCTGCAATTAGTTACGACACTTGCAAATATCCATAGATATATACACTAGATAGGAGAAATTTAACAGGGAGGGAGGATAATACATTTCCATACGCAAACACACACTTTTTCAGCGGTCTCTTATCCATCATGTACAGTGAAGCCTGTCTTAAGTATGTAGTGTTTGGATGTAAATATATTAAACTGGGTGTTTCTAATAACGTACTAGTTATTGATGCTGCTGGTCACCGCCACTGCATAGCCGTCTTTATCAAGGACAGACACGTGAGATGTGCCATTGTCATCATTGTCATCCAGCAGCTTGTTGCAGGCGGTTGCAATGTTATCTTTAATCTTCCTCCTGGCGTCGTCCGCAAAGCTGTCTGAAGTCATGTTTTTGATTAACTGTAAAACCAAATTAGGAAATAGTGTAAACAGGAACAGTGACAGGCTTTGAGAACATCAAAGACTGCTGAGATTATGTTTAATCTTTCTGTTAAATCATTCATTCATTCATTTTCTTTACGGCTTAGTCCCTTAGTCTGGGGTCGCCACAGCGGAATGAACCGCCAACTTATCCAGCGTATGTTTTATCCAGCATATGTGTTATACCACATGTGTTTGGACTTGTGGGGGATACCGGAGCACTCGGAGGGAACCCACTCGTACACAAGGAGAACATTCAAACTCCACACAGGGCCAACTGACCCAGCCGAGGCTCGAATTAACAACCTTCTTTCTGTAAGGCGACAGCACTACCTACTGCGCCACCATGTCACCTTCTTGTTAGGTCAAAAGCGCCAAAAGTTAATAAAGTGGAGAAATTCTATACTTGAGATGTGATTTGGCTTTAGGAATGTCTGATGTACCAGTAGTGGAAAAATACAGTATAGCTGTATATATTAAACACTGTGGCTCTGTGATTAGCCTTGTCGCCTCACAGCAAGATGGTCACTGGTTGACAATTGGCATTTCTGTGTGGAGTTTGCATGTTCTCCCTGTGTTGGCGTGGGTTTCCTCCGGGTGCTCCACAGTCCAAAGACATGTGGTACAGGTGAACTGATGAACTAAATTGGCCGTAGTTTATGTGCGTGAATGTGAGAGTTTATGGGTGTTTCCCAGTACTGGGTTGCTTGTTGGTGGTTCATACCAAGGTGGTGACCCCTGTTGAATAATGGGACTCAGCTAAAGGAAAATAAAAGAATGAATATTAAACAGTGATAAACATTTGAAGTGGATTATTTAATTGATTGATTGATTTATTTATTTATTTATTTTATTATTTTTAATTTTTTTTACCTAAATTTATTCAACAACAAATTTATTACAATCAAGACAATAAAAAAATCCACTTCAAATGTTGACTACTGTATATCCTTATATTTTAAATAGTATATTTATAATATAATATAATATAATATAATATAATATAATATAATATAATATAATATAATTTATTTTGGTAAGATAACACGATTTTTGCTAGTTGCGGGATTTGTTGGGTGGTGCTTATTAAACTTCAGGGAGTACATTTTATTCAGTGGTTGTCCAGACAGCCTCTACACAACCTTAAAGGCACAGCCTGAATTTTTGGCCACTAGAGGGCACATATTCAAAACAAACAAAGGTGTATTTGGATGAGGACATGACCGAGCGTGGAATCATGGGAGTTGTGGTCTTCATTACATCCTGCAGAAATCATGTTGAAGGAAAAGTAAAGTATTTAATATTTATGAACACCCACAAAATACGACGGTAAATATATCTTTGTCTGCCTCTTGTGTCGAGCACAATTATACTTTAGCCAAAGTTTCACTTTAAAATTGTCACTTTTCACGTTTTTTCACTTTTAGTGCACTTAACCAATGCAATATATGTCATATAGGCTACATATAAGATATCTTTCTATTCATATTAAAAGTTTGTCTCAGTGGCATTGTGAATAATTAAAAAAAAGCTTTTTATATAAGAGAAGTACTTAGTAGTGGGATCAAATGTTTTGTGAATACAGGTCCAGGAATTTATTATAATGGCCCAAGGAATTCATAACTAGTTGAACACACCTCAGTGACACTTTTATCATAACGTGGGTCAGACAGATTATTCTTCAAGGCAGTAGATAAGCAGAAAGCCTCTATGATGCGATGATAGGTCAAAGTCATATTCTCTGGTGTGGACACACTTTTCTTTGAGAAGCCAAAACCTGAAGAACCTGAAATCAAATGTTTAAGTACCTGAATTGAACCGTAGTTCTGCAGTATATTACATATGCGCACACACACACACACATTTACAGAACATTTTTTTTGCGTTTAAGATCACACCTATTTCTTTGCTAAGGTAAATATTTGTTTCTTAATAAATGTCAAATCACCTTCTCTTACACTTCCATAAACATTTTTATTTTTCTGTCTCTGATAATCACTCTGGTATGCAGTTGAAATGTATTGTTGCTGTCTTTGCTCAATAACACACTCTAAAAGTGTATAAAAATGTGAACTTAAAAAACAAACTAAATGTAATTTGCTTCTACCTTTTGTACCCTTGCCCAGGAGTATTTTCATTATCAGAGCGAGCACAGGTCCACCGAATGGAGCAGTAGGAGCATAGAATGTGTATTTCCCCACTGTAAAGTTCAATGCAGACTCTATCAACTCTGGTTTATAATCCTTTAGGTCTTGAAGTGTGATATTTCCCCCTGTGTTTGGAGAAACAAACTGTCAGACAAATTTGCCAAAGACAAAAGACCAGCAGAATCTCAACTATGTAATATGATGTATGCAAAAAAATAACCTGCAGCATTGATGTCATTCACTAGAGTCTGAGCCAGGGACCCATTGTAAAATGCATTTGCTCCATTTTTTGCTATCTTCCAGTAGGTGGCAGCAAGTTGGGGAAAACTTATAGTATCATTTTCCTTCAAGGTGGTATTGTGTGAGTCACAAAACACTTCACTGAAAAGACGAGAAAGACAAGAGTAAAATCAAGAGGATGTTATCATTACAGGTTTTTAAATATGCATTTTTCCAATCTGCAATCACACACTGCAAACATGCTCTTTTTTTTTAGGGTTTTTGTCTCATTTCTAGTACAAATATCTAAAAACTCTTAAATCAAAAAGCATTTTATAGAAAAGCAAAAAAATATAGTCTTGTTTTCAGAAATAATGATTCAAAATTAAATGAGTTTTTCTTTAAAACAAGCAAGATAATCTACCAGCCGGGTAAACATAACATAATCATGTGTCAAAGGGAAAAACTAGATTATTTTGTTTGGAAAAAGTAATTTTAATTATTGGTAAATACTCTTTAGCAATTAAGAAAAACTGTAATGCAGACACACAGGACTTTATTTTAACCATCTAATCACAAAGTCCAAAGCGCAGGGCGCAAAAGCATTAAGGGCGTGTCAGAATCCACTTTTGCTATTTTAAGGATGGAAAAATCCGCTTTGCGACATGTCGCATGGTCTAACAGAGTTGAGAGCTTATTCTCTTAATGAGCTCTGGATGTGTTTTGAGAATAAACCAATCAGAGTCTCATCTCCCATTCCCTTTAAGAGTCAGTTGCGTCGCGCCATAAGTGTATTTTCTATTTACATGAAGACTTCATAAGTGGAAAAACTGAACACTACACTAGAGCGAAAACAGTTAAACAGAGCATCTGCAGCACGTGAATGAGCCTCTTCCAATCGGCCTTTCACTTTCTCGTGGATAAGGAAACATGTTGTACACACAGACATCCATTAGCCTACATAATTAATTTATGTAAAAACTATTTCTAAATTCCGTTCTAATCTCCAGCAAAGAAATAAATAAACAATAAAATGAGCCCAGCGTAGAGCGCGCTAGTTGTGTGTCTCGCTTATACATTGCTTATTACACACAGGATGTCCAGCAATATGCAAATATCTTCACAAATAAAAAGAATTAAAGGATAAAAATTTTTCAATTATGATTATTTTCTACATAAATATAAACACCTCTGCCTCCATGCCTTCTTCATCTCGGGAGGCTTTTTCAGTTTATTCATGACAATTTGCTTTTGTATAATGTTATTATTATTATTAGCAGTATTATTTATTATATCCATATTTATATTTGTTTTATTATAAACAAGCTTAGATTTGTCCACCTGTCAGGTTTTAGACCATATGGGGCACAGCATGTGTTTTAGGATATAACTCAGGTTTTTGAGCACACTTCATTATTATTGTTCATTTATTCATTTGCTGGAGATTAGAACTGAATTTAGAAATAGTTTTGAAATAAATCTTTGTGCTTAACAAACAAAATTACTTATTTATAGGCTAATTGATGTCTGTGCTTACAATGTTTTCCTATCCACGAGAGTGAAAGTGAAAGTAAAGAATAAGGAGGCTCAATTCTCATTCTCACACTGCAGATGCTCTGTTTAACTTTTCTTGAGAGCACTTACAAAGTCATCATGTAAATAGCAAATGCACAATGGCGAGACGCAACTGACTCTTAAAGGGAATGGGAGATGAGACTCTGATTGGTTTATTCTCAAAACACACCTATAACTCATTAAGAGAATAAGCTCAGCCTTTTTAGACCATGCGCCATGGCGCAAAGCAGATTTTTCTGTCCTTAAAATAGCAAAAGTGGATTCTGACATGACCATAATGCTTTTGCGCCCTGCACTTTGGACTTTGCACATGGATCGTCAAATAGAGCCCTAGATCTGCTTTCAGCTAGTCTGTTGTGCAGTCTATTTTAGTTCCTTAAAATAGTAACTCACCAACAATGAGCCTTACCACACCTCCTTTCTAGACCAGAGCACTTATGAGTCCACAAGGTGGTGCAAATGGATTTGCTATTTAAACAACATGGCAGAGAAAATTAAGGTTGCATTTGGTCTGAAAAGAGCAACACGTTGTGGAAACATTTTGCGCTGATTGTATGATAGGGCACTTAGTGTTACGGGTATGATCAGAACCGAAGACCTTTGGGCATTTGTTATGTTAATCTGTGTCCAAAATATATTTAGTTTCTATTCTGCCATACTCATATGTTTGTGAGGTACATTAATATTCTCACCGCAATGCTGCATTTTTCAGAATTTTCTCTTTTTCATCATTGATGGCATTGGCCAGGGCTTTGCCAATCTTAAATCCCTCCGATGCCAGCTTTATACTGGGCACAAACAGATCTTTCCATGGCAGTTTCCCATACCTTTTGTGTGCCATTTCATAACCACGCAGTTCTCCTGGTACAGCTATTAATAATCCTGATAATCAGGATAAAAACAAGGAGAAGATTAAGTCATTAATGATCCTACACTGGAAGAAATATTCATATATATTTATCTCTCTCTCTCTCTCTCTCTCTCTCTCTTCATATATATATATATATATATATATATATATATATATATATATATATATATATATATATATATATATATATATATATATGTTTTTTGTTATTTCTGCGCATAATTTTCAAAGATCTGTGGATTTATCCAGAATGAATTTGGGAATATCATAACTAAAAATTAAAGCATGCAATAGAAAAAATTATAGATTTTTTCCTTTAAGGTTTACAATACAATGAAAATCCAGTTAGATCTATTTGTTTTGTAAACAAGTAATAAACATATAATAAAAGTCTACTAAAATACAGAAAAAATACTTTACAAACTGTATTATAAATAAATCATAAAACATCCAAAATCCAGAATATAACTCCAATTAATAAAAAAAACAAAAAAAACAAATACATGTATTTTCAGAAAATTAAATGGACAAAATATTGGCATATTTCTGCATGCACAGATTCTGTGTGGACCTAATTATCATCAACATCTTCTGTGTGGATTTATGTGGTTATTAAATCTGTTTTAAATGTGTAATTATTTATGATCGTTTGTACCTGGATACTTTTTTTGAGGATCATTGTCAAACATGTTTGCTGTAGCACTCATTGGGGCAGTCTCTCGAGCATTGATTGTCTCCACCTTTCCTGTGGATGAACACAATAAACTTTACAATTTCATTTAAGACCGTGAGGAGCTGGTTATAGCTCATGCACTGCTTCATGAGGCTTTAAATACTTTGACTATTTTTTTGATTTAGTGGTTCAGAGCACTTATCAAATCGGCAAGCTCATGTGACTTCAGTAAATGGGACTTTGATACGTCATTACTGAAATGTTTTGAATATGCAATGTTTCTCTTCATTGTGAGGTTATCTGTGTAAAATCATAAAATCTATACCAGCTACATCCGGCCAATCTGGATTAATTTTCTGGCCCACATCATGATGAAGATTAATGTATTTTTTGTGATAAGAATTTCAAGGTGCAGCATTGGACTGGAGGGGGTCCTTTTCGGGGACCACAGGACTTCTTCTCTCTTATTCGCAGATGATATTGTTATGTTGGCTTCATCAAACATGGATCTTCAGCATGCTCTGGGGCGGTTTGCTGCTGAGTGTGACAAGTCCGAGTCGATGGTGCTCCACTAGAAAACGGTGGTTTGCCATGTCCATACTTGAGGAGTTTAAGTTTCTTGGGGTTTTGTTCATGACTCACGAGTGAGGTCATTGGTGCAGTGGCAGCAGTAATGCGTTCAATGTATTGGTCTGTTGTGGTGAAGAAGGAGCTGAGCCGAAAGGCAAAGCTCTCAATTTACCGGTCAATCTACGTTCCTACTCTCACCTATGCTCATGAGATTTGGGTCATGACCTAAACGACAAGATCCTGGATACAAGAGACCGAAATGAGTTTACTCCTCAGGGTGGCAGGGCGCACTCTTATGGATAGCGTGAGGAGCTCTGTCATCTGGGTGGAGCTCAGAGTAGAGCCGCTGCTCCTCCACATTGAGAGAAGTCAGCTGAGGTGGCTCAGGCATCCGTTTCGGATGCCTCCTGGACGACTACCTAGAGAGGTGTTCCAGGCATGTCCCACCGGGAGGAGGCCTTAGGGAGGACCCAGGACACACTGGAGAGACTATGTCTCTCGGCTGGCCTGGCAATGCCTCGGGATATCCCCCAGAGGAGCTGGAAGAAGTGTCTGGGGAGAGGGAAGTTTGGGGTTCTGTCCTAAGATTGCTGCCCCCCCTGACCCAGCCCCGGAAAAGCGGATGAAAATGAATGAATGAATTTGTGCTCAAAAGAAGCACACATATTAAGCTTCATGTTTGTGTCATCTCGCTGCAGTTGATAATCCTAAAGTCTGTTGCATCGTTGTTTTCATGATTACACATAAATGGCGTGGTCAATTTTCTAAATAGTTCAACTCCGCCATTATTATGTTAATTAATATGTGTGTCATCGTTATTACTTGGGGTTGTGGTTGAGAATAGGGCATATGCAGGTGTTAACTGCATTGCTTTAGATATTCCTGCTACTGTAACAATAGCCCCTTTCACACATACAGACCTTTCCGGAAAATTACCGGCAATTTTCCGGAAAGGTTGTATGTGTGAACAGGCCCTTTTTGAAAATACCGGTAAATTCGTTCTGGCTATTTTCCGGAAAGAGAAATTGTAACATTACCGGTAATTTGCCGGAATGCTGCGCTGTGTGAATGCAGAAGGAAGATTGCCGTAATAAGCGCGTCCACGTCTAGAACGGGCTGACGTGAGACGTCTGCTTTAGCCAATCACAACAGTCAGACGCATTTACGTCCGCGCGGTTTATGAGAATAAAAGCCTTTGAATATTTTTTCCAGACACCTTTAGCTGCTAGATGTTAGTCAGATAATGTTTCTATGTTCCTTATTAATGCTGTGTAAATAATTATCGATAAAATGTTTATGATAATCCGTTGTTTGTTTACCTTCAAGCTTTGCGTGTGCCCGTGAGCGCCCATAGAGCCAGCACACACACATATCAAAGTGTTTCCCTATGTTTTCATTAGAGTTGTACTCAACTGATCCATCCGAAGAGTTTGTAATGTAGTCAAATGTTTACAAACACAAGCGCAGCCGTTTAGAGGACATTTCTGGTTAATGATGTCAGAATTTACCGGTATTTTGGAATGGATGTGTGAATGCTCTTTTCCGGAAAAATTCCGTAACGTCCTCGCCTGTGTGAACAGCGCTTTTTTTAATATACCGGTAAAGTAGTTCCGGAAATTTTCTGGATATTTACCGGTATGACTGTGTGAAAGGGGCTAATGTTGATAAGCCATGGTGGACATTTCTTTCCATTTTCGTGCTGAATGCAGTTGACCAATCGCAACAGACCGGATAATTGTTATATATTACACAGGACAATTTCGTCGGTGCAAAATGTGCTTTATAAAGATAATCATTAATAGGGTGTTCATTTCACTAAATCAAGACTTAATGCCACTGTAGTGGAGTTCTGGTTAGGTTTTTTAAAGTCTTCCTACCATTCGAAGCATTGTATATGGTAAACACCAGTCCTCCACCGATGCCCATACTCTGAGGGTTAATCACACTCACACACAGCAGAGCTGCAATGGCAGCATCCACTGCTGAACCCCCGCGCTTCAGGATATCCCTGCAAGGACAGAGAGTGATTGACAACAATAGAGGCTTTTCCAGTTAATAATAAATATTAATAATAGGTTAGTAATAAGCAGAGGTTAGAAGAACAACAAAAAGCTGATGCACATTTGCAGGTAACACTTTACAACAAAAGTAAATGAATAATGACCTACTAATATGTAAACTAATCCTTAATTTATCATGGACTAATTATGATTTATGGCATGTGCTATTCATGAACCTACTTTACCTACAACATAAGTGAATAATGGCTGACGTGTGAATAATGAATAAAGCAATCTTAATAACTTGCGAGTACATGTATTAATATTAATGTAATAATTAACAAATTCATTTTAGCTAATAATTCAGTACCTGTGAACAGGGCTTTACAATAACACCTGCCAAATGCGGGTAGATTTCAGCTTTGGCTGGTTGGACAGCCTCTCCCACTAGCCACTTTGGCAGGTTGGAAATAATTTTTACGTTGTAGTTTTCTTAAAGCAGGGTTCGACAATAAGGATGGCCCACTATGCGTGCAAATGTGATCTTAGAATCGAGAACATTCTAAGACAAAAATAACTGTGTTCGCACGAGACAAAGCAGGTGAATACCGTATGACAGGATGATCACTCGCGCGCACAGGTGATGTGATGCGCGCGACTGTTAAAAAGCGTGCACGCTCCCGTTTACTTGCACTTTTTTTCCATTCTCTTGCGATCGGTTCTCTTTGAAAAAGACTAGTCAAAAAAACGATGCTCGTGTACCCACAGACCTGCTGCTTTCCAGAGCTTAAGATATATATATATATATATATATATATATATATATATATATATATATATATATATATATATATATATATATATATATATATATATATTTGTAAGCAGCAGCAGTCACTGCTTTCGTTTTAATTATTCTCAGGCACGTGATCATCCTTTCATTATCACTCGTGGTATGTTTTACCTGCTTTCTTTTGCTTACAGTTAGTTTTTTTTTAATGTAGTTTAATTACAATAACATTTTTTTAATATGAGATTAACCCCCCATTTGTGATCTGTGCCCTTTAACCAGGACAGATTACTGTGCATATTTTAGATGCATGACAATAGATCTTTTTAAATGTTAATTAAAAAAAAAAAAGTTTTATTGAATAAAAAGTGCATGTATACAGCTATATATTTGTTTGTTTTGACACATTTAAATATGTGTCTAAAAAATAATTATTTCTTTTTGGTGTGGTCAGAGATGAATTTGGTAAAACCTTTATTCTGAGCCCTAAAAAGTCATGTGAAATAAAAATCAATTGCAATGCGACACAACCCATTTGATCATGCACAGGGAGCAAACTCATACACAACACACACAAACAGTGAAATGAATGAGGAGGCATGTGGACAACACAACATCTAAATCAAGTCATTTTAGCATGTCAAAGTCACATTTATTTATATAAAATATATTTTCCAAACAACAAAAGTGTGGCTAGTGAAAATGGCAAGTGGCTAGTAATGTTGGAAATCTACTAGCCACAGAGGCTGGTGATCAAAAAAGTTAATGTCAAGCCCTGACTGTGAATGTATCCTTAATTAATTAATGCATTAATTAACAAACAAATTCAATTTAAAATAAAGGCCTGATTTGATTTGATCTTAATTGAACTAGCAAAACTAGGAGGTCCTGCAGCAATCTTAGCACCCACAGTTCACACGTCTATGTTACTACCCACTTCTGATTATAAGAACTAAGGAAATTTAGCATCAAGTACTTGAGTACTGATCACATTGAAAATGAAGCCCCTGTAAATGCATAGTCGATGGTTGCAGAATTATCACTGCTCACATGATGAATCCAATGCAGCACATTTGAAAACATTAATGTGGCGGCTCTTTATAATCATACCTTCCGATCACTGAGCAAGTTTCTGCATCTGTTACCACTGCTGCTTTACAATAGCAATAACCAATGGGTGCAGGACGTGGAATGTGTGTCACAGCAGATCTCTGAGTCAGCGTCAAAAACAAAACTACTGCAATTAAAAAAGCAATGACCATGTACCTGAAAGAAGAACAGCAGAGTTTGAGATGTTTTCTGTCAACTTTCTGTCAAGGTCCTCTTGAAGTTATAACCAAATGTTCTTCTGCTAACTTTAATTCAACATTATTATTATATTAATATATTATTGTATTAAGTTATGTGGTATTTAATGATGTTCTTAAGATTTTAGCAAAAGAAGTTAATATTTATAAAAGTTTTTTGATGCCATTTTTGTCTTCATAATTATGAAAGATCCCATTCAGAGGAACACTCTTCCCTTGTACAGTGGAATGTGAACTTTGGCCAATGTTCTGACAAGATTATATCAAAATGTTCTAAATATGTGAAACATTTTGTACAGATATATTTATATATAATGTTTTTATATATATATATATATATATATATATATATATATATATATATATATATATATATATATATATATATATATATATATATATATTCCCAGAGATGGGTTGCGGCTGGAAGGGCATCCACTGCATAAAAACTTGCTGGATAAGTTGGCGGTTCATTCCGCTGTGGCAACTCTGGATTAATAAAGCTACTAAGCCGACAAGAAAATGAATATATATATATATATATATATATATATATATATATATATATATATATATATATATATATATATATTTTTTTTTTTTTTTTTTTTTTTACTAAAAATATTCACTTTACTGTTCTCAAAGTATTTTTGTTGTTGGTGTTTTACAATTTCTGATGACCAGTTCATTTTCCTTCAGCTTAGTCTCTATTTATCAGGGGTCACCACAGCCAAATGAATTGCCAACTATTTCAGGATGTTTTACACAGCGGATGCCTTTATAGGTGCAACCCAGTACTGGAAAACACCCATACACACTCACATTCACACACATACACCGACACTCAAACACTACGGCCAATTTAGTTAATCAATTCCCCTTAAGTGCACGTAACGAAACCCACGCTAACTCAGGGAGAACATGCAAACTCCACACAGAAATGCCAACTGACCCAGCCGAGGCTCAAACCAGTGACCTTCTTGCTGTGAGGCCACAGCACTACCTACTGCACCACTGCGTCGTCCCATTTGTTAATACTATTATTATTATTATTATGTTAAAACTTTTTTCTTTGACCTTAATCATTTGACGTTATATACTCCTAGTTAAAATAAAATTAAGGTACAAAAACTGTTACGGGGGTCATGTCTTTGCAAAAGATATAGCTGTAATTTTTAGGTTTACACTTTTCTAATATTGTATGAACCCTTAAAAGAGACAGTTCACCCAAAAATACAAATGTACTCACTATTTACTCTCCTTCAAGTGGTTATGAACCTATGTGGGTTCCTTCCTTCTGTCGAACAATAAAGAAGATATTTTGAAGAAAGCTTTCATCCACATAGGTTCATAACCACTTGAAGGAGTAAATAGTGAGTAAATGATAATTTTTGGATGAACTGTCCTTTTGTTAAAAACTGTACAGTGCCATTTGAAAGGCTGCTTCTCCAGTGACAGCTTGTGTTCATTTATTTTGTGAGAGACACACAGCTGGATGAAGATTCAGAAATAAAGATTCAAGAGTTGACTGCAGTTTCAGATGAATTCACAAATGATTTATTTCAAAAAAGCTACTTTTTGTTTTAGGTCAGAAATAGTATACCAGCACAAGATTTATTTGTTTAATATTCGAAGCATCATTGTGAAATAGACAGATAGACAGATATACAGTTGATAGATAGATGGATACACAGACAGACAGATAGATAGATAGACAGACAGATAGATAGATAGATAGACAAATAGACAGACAAACTGACAGGTAGATAGGTAGATATATAGATAGACAGACAGACGGACAGACAGAAAGATGTAGATATATAGATAGACAGATAGACTGACAGACAGACGGACAGATAGGTAGGTAGATAGATAGACGGACAGACAGACAGGTAGATGTAGATATATAGATAGACAGTCGGACGGACAGACAGACAGATAGATAGATAGACAGACAGGTAGATAGGTATATATATATATATATATATATATATATATATATATATATATATATATATATATATATATATATATATATATACAGGTGAGCGAACAGACAGACAGACAGACAGACAGGTAGATGGAGATATATAGATAGACAGATGGACGGACAGACAGACAGACAGACAGACAGACAGACAGACAGACAGACACAGACAGGTAGATGGAGATATATAGATAGACAGATAGACAGATAGACGGACAGACAAACAGACAGACTGACAGACAGACAGATAGATACCTTCTAAAACCATCCAAGCGACCCGGTAAAGTCCCATAAGGCTTAATTTCCTGATATCCAAATCTGCTTTTCATGTTTACATACAAAACTGAACTGGGCTTGTTAATCTGTCAAAAACAAAAACTTCAATGTTTAAACCAACAACATATTGGCTGTCATTTCTTACACACAAAGAAAAAACATCCTGTCTACACATAATGGTGTACTCGCTGCTCTAATTGTTATTGTAAAGGAGAACTATGTAGAATTATCAGAATGAAACACACTTCTAACAAAAAAAAAACATGTCATATTATTAATGTGGAAATAAAGAAGACTACAAAAACAAGACATCAAGATTACCTGAAAATTGTGATGTTTGTTTTGATTAAATACAGCATCTGTGTGACATTAATCTCTGTGTTGAACTCAGCTCATTGTGCTAAATAGTAATTGTCTCAAACTTACCAGTGTTTTTATAGTCCAAGAGATCTCGTAACCACAGCTGAAACCTAGAGGATTTTAGACGTCTGTGATTCTCCAGAGGTGCATCTGTGTTTGTAAGAGATAAGTTATCAGATTAAGACAAACTGCCCAAGCCTGTTAGTACTGTCTGATCTGCTAAAACTATTTTTAAAAGGTCATGCAATGGAAATATTACAAATAGTTTAATGTTTAGCCTTCCAAGAAAACAACTAGGAATAAAAGTAAGGAAAATCTTTTAAATTAAATCAAACAATCTACTCATTGTTTGTATAATAACCAGCAGGGGGTTTTACATTGGACATATGTATGGTCTGCTATTAGACCATCTCCTTCAGGTAGTCTTGGGTTTACATGACAGCTGTCATATTGTTGTTGTTATTTTGGCCTGTGTACAAAGCAAAGGGTGTCCTCACGTCCTCCAAATCATAGCAAAGCCAGATAGTCAGCTATCTATTTAATAGTTTTCTGATTTGTGTTGTATATTTAAGTCTAAATCACTGCATGCATAAATGAAAAATCTTGTAGATTAGCTAAAGTAACAATTAGAGGTGACTAAAAAACTGCTAATAATGCAAGAGTGAGTGCAGTATTTATTTCACTAAATTAAGATAAAATATATTGAACCCAAATAAGCCCCACACTTTTATTGCCCCACACATTTGAGACTATCCAATTTCTAGTGTGGATGGTAGAGTTTGTGTTTGTGCGGCTGGATATGCTAATTCTCTTACTTTTGCTTTTTTTCTCTAATGTAATCTAGCTGATCCAGTTCCTGTGAAAACAAATAAGATTTAAAATTGAGACGACTGTTTGTCATTGGTTGAGAAGAGTCCATGTGCACTGTCAGACATGGACTATCAGGTATATGCGTATATGTACACTTAACCCCTGCCTCTAACCACACAGTGATGTCACTTGCAGATGATTTGCATGTGTGTGAGAGTGCAAGTCTGCAGCCGGACACTATTGCATTGGACAAACATGGACAGCAGGTTTTCATTTCTCTCACCATGAGTGTTTTATTCCGCACCATGTGCTCTCATTGAGCCAAAGTATATCATTAAAATATAAGAGATTCAAGAGTTAATTAACAATGAACTATACACTTCAAATAAAAAATAGCATTATAAACATGAGCTAAGACAGAAGATCTGACCAGGCACATCATTTATTTGCACCTGTACAGTTTCCTTTCATTGCTCTGATAGGAAAACTTGTTGATGCATTAAATGCCAGCCCAGAAAGTCTAACATCTGAATATTCACATGCAAGTCCTTTATATTTAGCTGGTGAATATGAGCAGCTTGTACCCAGCAAACAACTTTGTGTTTAATAGATGTCTAAACGTAGACAGCTTGGCGAAAACAAAGCTAAACTTGGGCTGTCAGTGAAAATCTAATAGACAACTAATAATAGTCAAAAGATAGACTAGTCGTCAATAAGTAGTTGGATAAATGTTATGCAATGAAATATAGCCTTACTAACCGACGAGGAACCACTCGAGGACAGTGCTTCCACACCATTCATTCATAAAGAGCAGCCAGAAAGGGAAGACTGACTGATTTGTGCTGAATATTAGCATCACTGACCCATAACAACATACAGCACCTATATCTGTCAGTATGTTTGTGTGCTCTTTATCCAGTTTCCATTCTAATTTGCAGTTAAGCGGATAAAATAAATCATATGTAATGCAAATCAAAGTATAAATAGCAGAAGTGAACAAACAGATTTACCCTACCAGCAAAAATTAACCTGCTATAACATCGTCACCAATGACTAAATTTCCAAAAGACAGACGAAAACATCAGTGAACTGTAGCTCTGACATGGACATGAGGGATATAAATGACTGATAAACAGCTGCGGGTGAAGTATATTGATCGCAAGTGCTTAGATTGTGATCACCTCTCGGTTTTGTTCTGTTTATATGCCATTAAAATATTCGTAGCTTGAAACAGATGGAAATATGACTGCTATTAATATGACTACTATGGCGAGGGCTTAAACAGAGCAGTGCGCATAATATCGAGCGGGAAAAAAGTAAAAGACCGCTGTGAAACAAAAAAAATTGCATTTTTGTAGGAAACACCATTTAGATCTGTTTAGGGTAAGAGGTGTTTTGCCGTCTATCACTGAATGTGTATATATCTGAAACAAAACCAACTTAACTCACAGTTATAATAGCTCACATAGCTTAATCCATGCTGGCTCTTCTCCAGTTGGGTTTTAGGTTTTAAAAAGGGAAAACAGGGGGGCGCAGTGGGTAGCACCTGCTGGGTCGCAGGTTCGAACCTCGGCTCAGTTGGCGTTTCTGTGTGGAGTTTGCATGTTCTCCCTGCGTTCGCGTGGGTTTCCTCCAGGTGCTCAGGTTTCCCCCACAGTCCAAAGATATATGGTACAGGTGATTTGGGTAGGCTAAATTGTCTGTAGTGTATGAGTGAATGAGTGTGTGAATGTTTGATGTTTGAACCCAGAGATGGGTTGCGGCTGGAAGGGCATCTGCTGCGTAAAAACTTGCTGGATAAGTTGGCGGTTCATTCCGCTGTGGCGACCCCAGATTAATAAAGGGACTAAGCCAACAAGAAAATGAATTAATGAAAGGGAAAACATTCCACCACGCTGGCCAAACTTTTAGGATACGGGGTATCAGATTTGCACAATCCTTATGCACTCAAAAGCTTGACCGAGTTCCTGTGCGTAGCTACGGTTGCTAAGCAATGATTTGTGTCAGGTCAATTGAATTAGATACGTGTCGTCATTCATTTCTGTTTATTTGATGACTAGTCTAGTAGTGGCCTATTCTTAGTCACCTATTCGATTTTCACTGACAGCCCAAATTTAGCCTCGTGTTAGCAAAGACAACTATGTTTAGACATCTATTAGACATCTTTTAAAAACAAAAAATGCTTGGTAGATGTTTATTCATTTAATTTCTTCCAGTAGTGACTTAAATCTTAAAATTACAGCTAGTTTTCTTTACTGCAAGTGCACATCTCACTCTGCTGATTTATATTGCATCATCATCAAATGTAACATGACTCTAGCTTGTAAATCTGTTTCTTGCTCTTTTAGTGTTCAAAATAGTGTCAAGATTTCCTTGAAATATAAATAACATTTAAAACAATGACCTGGAAGTGTTCAAGATGGAAATGTGCTGGAAACTTTTGTCCTCTGAAGTGTTTGTTAAATCTGACACAGAGACACTGAAGACTCAGGATAAAGCCCAAATCCTGTGTAGAGGGGTTCAGTGAATGTGGTGTTGAATGTGTGTATGAGTGTGAGTGTGTTTGCGTCAGAGACGGTGTAGAAGGACAGAGAGCCGGATGAAACGTCCAGATACACTCCTACTCTATTGGTACGAGCTGAAGGAGCAATAATATCAGCGCTCTCGTTGTTGTACCAGACTGTGTAATTCGTATCACAGCAGTACAGACTCCAGGAGTTTTCATTGAGTCCAAACCAAGAGTCAAGCCCACTTTTCCTGTCGATCGCTTTATAAGCCACCCCAATATGACCAGAGCCGCTCCATTTCACCTCCCAGTAACAGCGTCCAGTCAGAGTCTCTCTACACAGAACCTGCTCCTGTTGATCAAATCTGTCTGGATGATCAGGATACGGCTGAGGATCTTTCACATTTCTGGCCTCTCTGTTTCCCTCAGATAGTTGGATTTGAACATGTGCTGTGTTTGGATCCAGTGTGAGGAAACAGGCATCTGAACACAAGAACACAGATGATGGGATAAGTAAATCAGTATAAGTAAATATGCACATGTGTGTGTGTGAGAGAGAGAACTTGCATTTTTTTAGTCCAGGTTTGATCCTAAAATGTCCTCCATGGTCCAAACTATACAAGGACAAAAACAAACAAAAAACACACTCAATTAATTACCAATCAATTAAAAATTAACACAAATATACAGTAAACATTTAATAAGTTACATTAATGCATTTTCCTTTGGCTAAGTCTCTTTATTTATCAGTGATCACCACAACGGAATAAACCAACAACCTACTCAGCATATCTTTTACGCAGTGGATGCCCTTCCAGCTGCAACCCTGTACTGGGAAACACCCATACACACTCATTCACTCAGCCACTCATACTCTATGGCCAACTTAGTTCATCAATTCCCCTATAGCGCATTTGTTTGGACTGTGGGGGAAACCAGAGCACCTGAAGGAAACCCACGCCAACACGGGGAGAACATGCTAATTATAGCATTAAAATGCTTGGCAAATTAATTTCAAACATAAAAAAATTGAATTAACCAACGCCACATTCTGACAGCAACCTACAGTAGATTTCCCAAGTGGTCTCCTATCCAGGTACTGAATAGACCTGACCCTGCCTGGCATCAGTCTTGTCTTGTGCGGTAGAGTTATTTGGATATGATATAAAATCCCTCTTAGAAAAGTCCAGCCACACACTGACACACATGAGTCATTACTGCAGCACATACTTGAGTTTCTGCAGTGTGTAGTGTGGGTCCTCCAGTGTGTGTTGGAGCAGCTGGACTCCTGATTGTCCTGGGTGATTGTAGCTCAGATCCAGCTCTCTCAGGTGTGAGGGGTTTGAACTCAGAGCTGAAGACAGAAAACCACAGCCTTCCTCTGTCACCATACAGCCAGACAACCTGCAGACAAAGACCAAAGTGCAAATCATAATATAGAATCTGTATCTTTAAATAATCATGACTCGACAGGAAAGTCTCACCTCAGTATCTCCAGCCGACAGTTTGGACTCTTCAGTCCATCAGAGAGCAGCTTCACTCCTGAATCCTGCAGGTCATTGTTACTCAGGTCCAGCTCTCTCAGGACACAGTTTGAGGATTGAAGAACTGACGACACAATTTCACAATCCTGAGCAGAGAGATTACAGCCAGCAAGACTGAAAGAAGAGGAGAACAAGAGAATTGAAAACAAACTAAATGTGCACAAGAAACTAAAGAAGTAACACTGGATTAATCACTCACAGGGCTCTTGTGCAGTTGCTGACGGCTGGTATCAGTCTTCTCCTGCCCTCATCTGATGTGTTGTATTTCTGGAGCTCCAGCTCATCCAGCACCTCCTCTGACATCTGAAGCATGTAGGCGATTGTTGAGCAGTGAGCAGGAGAGAGTTTCTTCTCTGACTGTTTGTCTGATTTCACAAACTCCTGAATCTCTCTGGACAGAGTCTGATCTTTCACTTCCAGCAGACAGAGGAACAGATTGATGGATCTTTCAGTGGAGAGTCCATGTCCATCTCTGATCTTCTCTTTAATGTACTGTGTGCTTCTCCTGATGCTCTCTGAGCTCTTCTCTGTGTGTGTCAGTAGATCCTGGAAGAGTCTCTGATTGGACTCCAGTGAGACGCCCAGCAGGAACCGCAGGAACAGATCCAGACGCCCATTCTTACTCTCAATGGCATCATCTACTGCACCTTTAAGCAATTTTTGCAATGAAGCAAATGTCTTCAGACCCATCATAGTTGTGTTCACATGGTAGTAAAACACATAGAAAGCAGCGAGGAACTCCTGAACACTCAGATGGATGAAGCTGTAGACTTTCCTCTGCTGAATCACAGATTCCTCCTTAAAGATCTCAGTGCAAATCCCAGAATACACTGAGGCATCAGAGACGTCTACGCCGCTCTCAATCAGGTCCTCCTCATAGAACATCACATTGCCCTTCATCAGCTGTCTGAAAGCCACTTCAGCAAGTTTGACAATCACTTCTCTGTTGGACTGCAGGAGTTTCTCTGGATCTCTCTCTTCATACTTCTGATTCCTCATGTTGATCTGAATCAGCAGGAAGTGGATGTACATTTCAGTCAGAGTTTGAGGGATTTCTGCACTCAGATCTTCTTCCAGGAGCTTCTGAAGCACAGTGGATGAGATCCAGCAGAAGACGGGTATGTGGCACATGATGTGGAGGCTTCTTGCTCTTCTGATGTGTGAGATGATTCTGCTGGCTTGATGCTGCTCACTGATTCTCTTCCTGAAATATTCCTCCTTCTGAGGCTCAGTGAATCCCTGAATTTCTGTCAGACGCTTGATGTATTTGGAGGGGATCTGATTGGCTGCTGCTGGTCTGGAGGTGATCCAGATGAGAGCAGAGGGAAGCAGCTCTCCTTTCATCAGCTTTGACATCAACACAGCCACTGATGAAGTCTCAGTCACATCACAAACTTTCTGAGCGTCTGAAAACATCAGTGTGATTCTGCTTTCATCCAGACCATCAAAGATGAACACAACTTTACACTCCTCATAAATCTTGGGCTCCAGATCTTCAAGTTCAGGATGAAAGTCCAGCAGAAGTGTGTGAAGACTGTACTGATGATCTCTGATCAAGTTCAGCTCTCGAAATGGAAGCACAAACATGAAATCTACATCCTGATTGGCTTTTCCCTCGGCCCAGTCCAGAATGAACTTCTGCACAGAGACGGTTTTTCCGATTCCAGCGATGCCTTTAGTAAGAACAGTCTTGATTTGCTCTTTCTCCTCTTTAAAGATGTCATTGCAGTAGATTGGAGTGTGTTGGGAGTGTTTTGTTCTGGCTGTTTTCTCCATCTGTAAAACCTCATGTTCTTCATTCACTCCTTCACTCTCTCCCTCTATGATGTACAGCTGGGTGTAGATCCGGTTCAGTTGGGTTCCAGTCTCTTTTACTTTAATTCCCTCAGATAACAGCTCATACTTCTTCCTCATGCTAGTTTTGTGCTGGTCTTTGACTCTCTGCAGTTCTTCAGTCTCAAATATTTGTGTCTGCAGGCCTTTGTCTGTTTTTTCCTGAACAGTGTGTGTCTCAAAGTGGGATGAAGAGGACGCCACAGATCTGTTCACAATGTACAAAACACACATGCATTAACATGTGTTATGGGCAACACAGTGATCAGTATATTTTCGGATAGCTGGTTTAATACATTGACTTATTTAATCACAAAAACAAATAATGTGTTGCAAAGTTTAATGCAATCATTAAACCCATCCAGCTCCAGCCCTGTGCAAGACATGTTACATTTCATTTAACTATATAGTTACATTTCCCTAATCTTCAACAAGATATTGGTGGAAAATGCCCAATATGGTCAATAGTATCTGGATGCAGCTTTTATGATGCAAGCTGAGACTGCATATCTCAGTGATGCAATGTCAGACACAATGCACTCAATGGAGCTAGTGGCATCGCTGTGAGGGTTGAGGTTAGGTGAGCCTCTTAAAAAGCATTGCATGCAGCTCAGATTGCATCTGCACCAATTCTGCAGCCAGACCTCTCTAAATATGAGGAATTCACACACACACAAATGTCCCAAATTCTATTTAGTGTTGTGGAGGTAGCTTGAATGCAATGTACAGTACTTTTAATAAAACAATTTCGTCAGATGCATGCATGACCACTACTGTACCTGAGGTCAAAGGTCACTGCTTTATCAGTGAAAGCAATGGGATTGCGCATGGACTGATCGCTCTTCATAGACACACAGCTGTGTTCTGCTCCATGCTTTTCTTTCTCCTCTCTGTCCACCTCTTCATTCCCACAGTGATGCATTTTAGAGCTGTTTCCTTTCCTTATTCAGATCCTTTAGCATTAATTCCCTTTAAAAGACAATAACAGCAGATCTGCAGTTAAAACCACAACAAACATTTATTTCTCAGACTGATAAGGAAAATAAATCTTACACTACTAGTCAAACTCTTCCTGCTCAGTTAAATTCAGCAGAATTTCTTTGACTTGTGGACATGGTGGACAATTATTTGGAATTATAGTTTAATGCAATACAAAATTATTAAATTGAATTTATTATATATGCTAGGCCAAATTTCATCAGCAAGTAGTTATTTCCTAAACAGATGTTTTAAAATTATGTAAGGAATAATTAATGGCAGCCTGATGAATTTTTACACCTTGGATGTGCATTATTGTCCAACAGTTTAATGGACAGGAGTGTGTTTTTGTGCTTTTCTGGTCTCCACAGCAGCTAAATCCACTGTTCAGATGTTGTGCTTCAGACATTTGTCATATTTTGTCCTCTGATTGCTCCTGTGTGTAGGACTGGTTTCTCACTCAAGCATTCAACAGCCCTGTACTACAGATATATTTAATCGTCTACTCAATTTTTCCATTGATTTTCACATATCTGGGAACCAAAATTGCAAGAATTCAAATTTTCTCACACATATAAATGAAGAGAAACAGAAGGGTTATAATATTATCAGAAAAACAATTAGAATAGGAAAATACTACAATTATAAAATGTTAATTGTTGACCAAATGCAAAAAATAAAATAAAAATAAGATAGAAAAACACAATAGTGTGAGCTTTAAAAAATGGCTACATTTAGAACCTGACGTTAACGTATGTGTGTGTGTTTACTACTGTTCATGTGTGTTTGGTTTGAGTTAAACACAGACTACAGATCCAGAGTATGGGACACCAAACTTTGTCACTTTCACTTTCACTTTCGCCTGATTCTATTATTACAGTTTTTTTTTTTTAAAAACTTTACATTTTTTGTATAATAACTGATATTAACTGATAATAACTGATAAAATTTGTAAACAAAACTATTTATTATTAATAATGTATGTGTTTAATAATAATAAAAAGACACAGTGACAATTGCGAACTGGTGATTAATGTAAAAAAGTGTTATTTTAGTTGCAATTACTCTACGACAAAGCACACAAATATCCATTGTTTACATTTGCATAGTGATGCATTCGCGAACGAGTCAGAAGGAATCGATTCTATAAACGAACAAGAAGATCCGAATCAGCCGGAGATATAGCGGCGGGACAGTCCATCATATAATATTTCAAAACCGAATAAAACAAATTGTGAGCCGTAAGGGTCGTCTTTTCTAAAGTCAAAAGAGACATTTTTTTAAAAAGTCGAACTTCTAATCACTAGTTTGCACGCGACGAAAGGGCGAAATTCAGGAAGTGTCCTATTTCCTCCTTCCCCTTTTTTACCTGTCGCTTTTACCGCAGCCGCCCTTTTCACTTTACTGCGCCACTTTTATAGCAAGAGGCGAATCTCAAACCAATGAGCATAACAAAAGCACGCCAAATCACCAGAAAAACAGCAATATGTAGATACAGTGACATAAAAAACAGGTTTACTGGTGCATGTTTATATTTTAATGCATGCAAACATCAGGGGGTAAAAAAGTAAACGTGCAAAAAACAAGCAACAAAGAGAAAAGTGCACGAGCATCAAATAACAACCACCGAGAGTTTGCCAATCAGTCGTGATAATAACCGTAATCTGAAACTACAACGTGTTATAATACATCTGCAACACATAAACTTAAAGTTCTTTCCAAACTGAAAGCTCAAGAAAAGTCAGTGGACTCCATAATCACACACTGAATATTGAAGGCTTCAGTAGATTTAGGTCTATTAACGATCGGTTAAAAGTTGCTACATGGCCTAGCCTACAGTATATTCAACTCAAAACACCTTCAAACGATGTTTCCATTGGGTTTCATCCAACAGCGCTCATCAAACTCAACGGGTTTGAAATCCTCTTAAAGGAAACCGAAAGATGCAAAGAACTTATTTTAAAAACGTAAAGGAAAGCTTCTGAACTTACCACAGAGCATGCTGGACTTACACAAACTGTGTTTTTGTTTTAGATCTCGCCACTGTCTTCTCTTCGGTTTAACTTCTTTGTCGCAGTGTTTAGTTTAGGCAAATTGCTCCCTCTAGTGTTCATCATCATCATCATCATCATCATCATCATCATCATCATCATCATCATCATTAATCTTCATCATCCAGTTTACTTCCATCAGTTTAAAACAAGATCAATTCACTTTAAACTTTGGTTCAAGCTTTGAGTTGAATAGCTTCCAATAACAACTAAATGCAATTAAATAATCTTTCATGATCAATATGAATCTATCAGATAACTCGTGACTGTATTAGTTTTTGCTAGTTCTTGGTTATTTATAGGCTTTAAACTAATTATTAGTTCACATTAAAGTAATATATAAATCATGTATCAGATATATATGTATGAGCACCGTCAAGGTTTAGAGGATGAACTGCATTTACTCTCAGGTTTTTATACAGTAATAAAACTAATAATAATGAACTCTTTATTTAAAATAATCTTGGGTTTTTATACACTAGTTAAACTGTTAAAATAAAAATAAAAGAATGGAGAAAATGCATGCACTGAAAATACTATTATTTATGTTCTTGGTTGCTGAAATGTTCACCACAGGACAGAGACCTTACAAATTCTGCGTTTTCACCAGTGTTAAATTTGACAAAACCACACACATTGAATAGGCTAATAGGACACTTTATTTTATTATTTTTATTTTTACAATGCGACTATCAGAATATTGTCCTCAGCGTATAATGATGCGTCATTTTTAATTTACATAGATTTTAAAAATAGATAAGCTGAATAAAAAAGCTGGAGCGAGTTTTGCAATATCATTAATTCATAACAGAAATTATATGTACAGGGATCTGCTAATGGCCAGTGATTTTAACATTGAAAATATACTGTATATATATATATATATATATATATATATTTATATATATATATATATATATGTTTTTACCAGCCATGAAACTGTTATAATAATAATAATAATAATAATAATAATAGTATTAGGAAATAGTTATTTATTTAAAATAAAACAAATCCAAAACAACTTTACCCAAAACATCCCCTTCCCCACCCCCAAATAGATTTATTTTTATTTGATTCATTTATTTAGTTTAATTATTTGTATTTATTTATTTATTTATTTATTTATTTATTTATTTATTTATTTATTTATTTATTTATTTATTTATTCATTTATTTATTCATTCATTTATTTGTTTGTTTGTTTGTTTGTTTGTTTGTTTGTACATTTGTTTCTGTTTTAAGTTAGTTTGTTGTTGAATAAGGGAAAAAAGAAAATAACTTACCTAACTTAAATTAAATTAATGCCTGCAATGTACCTTGACCAAAACACACAAAAAAAAAAAAAAAAAAAAAAAATCACCATATTACTATTGAACTATAAACTATTCACTAAATAATTGTCATTTATATTCCAATTACTAATATTAATATTATTCAATACAGTAGCAGTAAGATTACAAAAAAGGCATTTTTATGTCAAATGTTTTTTTTTTTTTTAATTATTAAAATATATATTTTTAATTATTAAACTACACTGGAAAGTTGTGCCGTTAGTTCTGTAAAACTGATGCAATTTATATGGGTTTAACTTAAACCCATATAAACCCATTTTAGCAATGCTCAACTTTATTCGTTTACTTAAATTCAGCCCAAATAAATAGTTTACAAGCACTTAATTAAAAACCTTTAGTAAATCCAAGGAATCATATTTGAATAATTTTTCTTCAGTGTACAGCGCTTTATAGCAGAAAATCACAAGGAAAAATATATTTTTAAATGTGGATTTTGATGCATCTTCAATTTCCCGATGCGTGCTCATCCTTTTATAGAGCATTTTATATATACAGACGAAGTCAGAATTATTCAACCTCCTGTTTAATTTTTATCAATTTATATTTTAAACTAGTTTTATATTTTAAAATAGTTAACTAAGAGCAGATTTTGTTCAACACATTTCTAATCAGTTTTAGTAACTCATCTCTAATAACTGATTTATTTTCTCTTTGTCATGATGACAGTAAATAATATTAGACTAGATATTCTTCAAGACACTTCTATACAGCTTAAAGTGACATGTAAAGGCTTCACTAGGGTAATTAGGGTAAAGTTAGGGTAATTAGGCAAGTCATTGTATAACAGTGGTTTGTTCTTAAGACAATCCAATACTAATAATGCTAAAGGGAATAATAATATTGAGCTTAAAATGGCGTTAAAAAAAATAAAAAACTGCTTTTATTCTAGCCGAAATAAAACAAATAAGACTTTCTCCAGAAGAACAAATATTAGAGGAAATACTTTGAGAAATTCCAGAATCTGTTCAACATCATCTGGAAAATATTTGACAGAAATTTACAGGAGGGCGAATAATTCTGACTTCAACTGTATATTAAATAAAACTAGCGCTAAACACAGAAGCACGTTCAGTATCCTGCAGCATAACCGTCATTTCTCGGGTCAGATTGAGCACAGACTTTCTTCCCTTTTCGTCCAATGGCCTGAACCACAGATAATGCAGTATCATGAAGAATATGATGATTCTTCTGCTTCAAGCCTTCAATTACTGCCTGCATTCATGAAACACACACAGAAAATTAATATAATCTTCCCTGTTCTGATGTTGTGCATTTAATTTGCATGAAAACAATATGAAGAGTGGATGTTTTACCTTATCAAAATCTTTCTCCACGTTCGTCACATTCAGCGTGATCTGAACTCTGGATGTATTAACAGACTTCTGCAGGTCAAAGCCAAAGAACAGGTGGTTTAAGATCACCTGGAATAAGAGAAACAGAAGCAGCTTTACGTACGATGGCACAATCATGTTTATATGTGTTTGGCACTGTTTTGCATTATACTGTACTTTTTGCACTCTATACTGTTTTGCATGTGAGCAACTCTGCTTTACACTCATTGCCCTGAGCCCTTAATTGTAATTGCATAGCTTACAAGATTTATTTTGACTTCTATTTTTAGATTATATTATATGTGTAATTGTATTTATTGCATTTTCTTTTTAAAACTTTATTTTTTTGTGTTAATATTATCTCTTACGCAGACAGGGTCTGAGAGTGACGCAATTTCCATTCTCTGTATGTCCTGTGATTTATTATTACGTTTTTTTTTTCCCCAAATGTTTTCCAAATGATGTTGAACAGATTCAGCAGTATTTCCTCTAATATTTGTTCTTCTGGAGAAAGTCTTATTTGTTTTATTTGGGCTAGAATAAAAGCAGTTATTAATTGTTTTAAAGCCATTTTAAGGTCAATATTATTCACCCCTTCAGCAATATTAGTGTTGGATTGTCTCCAGAACAAACCAATGTTATACAATGACTTGCCTAATTACCCTAACTTGCCTAATTAATTAACTCGATTAAACATATGTGCCATATATGCAATATAATTAATCATTATGTGGCATATATGGCACATCCCTCTTAGAAAACCAGATTGCCTCATTCAGTTAATGTGAGCTATATTGACGTCTTATTCAATCTATTATATTTTAAAATATATGACAGACATTGTACATTGAATTATTTTATATTTACCATGTATACAATATATAATATAATAATTATATATACATAATGTTATAATAATATAAATCAATATATTTTTTTACATATTTAAATCTGTTTATTATCTTGTACATTGAGGTATATTACCTAATATAATTTAACATATATATTTACACTCACATTTATACAGTTGAAGTCAAAATTATTAGCCCCCTTTTATTTATTTTATTTTTTAAATATTTTGCAAATGATGTTTAACAGAGCAAGGAAATGTTCACAGTATGTCTGATAATATTTGTTCTTCTGGAGAAAGTCTTATTTGTTTTATTTCGGCTAGAATAAAAGCAGTTTTTTAATTTTGTAAAACGCATTTTAAGGACAATATTGTTGGCCCCTTTGAGCGACATATATTTTCCGACTATCTACAGAACAAACCATCATTATACAATAACTTGCCTAATTACCCTAACCTGCCTAGTATACCCTAATTATAACAGTGCTGTATTATGAACCACTGTTATACAATGACTTGCCTAATTACCCTAACTGTACCCTAATTACCCTAGTAAAGCCTTTAAATGTCACTTTAAGCTGTATAGAAGTGTCTTGAAGAATATCTAGTCTAATATTATTTACTGTCATCATGACAAAGAGAAAATAAATCAGTTATTAGAGATGAGTTATTAACACTATTATGATTAGGTATGTGTTGAAACAATCTGCTATCCGTTACACAGATATTGGGGAAAAAATAAACAGGGGCAAATAATTCTGACTTCAACTGAATAAAATCATATATTGTATTGAGAGATATATTTTTGTTGCATAAGGGTGCCATGATGACAGCACATACATAATATTAGACTAGATATTCTTCAAGACACTTCTATACAGCTTAAAGTGACATTTGAAGGCTTCACTAGGGTAATTAGGGTACAGTTAGGGTAATTAGGCAAGTCATTGTATAACAGTGGTTCATAATACAGCACTGTTATAATTACCATAACTTGGCTAATTCAGCAAATTAACTCCATTAAACAGAATTTGATTTAGGGAAAAATATAAAAGAACTAAAATTGAACAAGAGGGTGAATAATTCTGACTTCAACAGTATAGTCCATTAATAAATAAATACTTTTTAAGTTCAGAATAATGAAATAAATATCATATTATATATAATTATATTTTTATGATGTATCAATTTTGATTTCCAATTTGTGTCTAATAAGACATTGTTTATTTCATATCTTATTGTAATCTGTTGATGTATTTGTATCACCTGAGCCACAGATGTGGTGATATTGGTCCCTCCTGCACCTCCGACCACCATTTTCACTTTGTTTTTGCGGTCGTCTTTCTCAAATATTATTGTGGGACACATTGATGACAGTGGCCTTTTACCTGGTCAAAAACATGTCAACATATGCATTCATATAGGAGACTGTACTTGAATCTCCTGAAATAGTCTCAGTACCTGGTTTAATTTTGTTGTTTTTGTTGGGTCCACTCATCAGCTCAGGTTCAATGAAATCCCACATCTGATCATTAAATATAATGCCTGTGGAGCGTGACATCACACCAGAACCGAAACTGGGGGAACACGAACATTAACATTAAAATGGCCTTCATGCAGTAACATCACCGTACAAATATTCATTCATTCATTCATTCATTCATTTTCTTGTCGGCTTAGTCCCTTTATTAATCTGGGGTCGCCACAGTAGAATGAATCGCCAACTTATCCAGCACGTTTTTACGCAGTGGATGCCCATCCAGCCGCAACCCATCTCTGGGAAACATCCACATACACTACGGACAATTTAGCCCACCCAATTCCCCTGTACCGCATGTCTTTGGACTGTGGGGGAAACCAAAGCAACCAAAACCCACACGGAGGAGAACATGCAAACTCCACACAGAAACACTAACTGAGCCAAGGTTTGAACCAGCGACCTTCTTGCTGTGTGGTGAAAGCACTACCTACTTCGCCAATGCTTCGCCCCGCCGTACAAATATGCATGAGGTATTTGGACATGTTGATATTCGCCCGAGAGTTAATGACTCTGCCAAATCTGCCGGACCACTTTCAACATGTTGTAATTATACACCATTGGCTTTACTTACTAGACCCAGACTAAAACGTAATTCAGACCTATTGAAACTAAAGATAACTAGCACTGACTGATCCTAAAATACATCACTGCCTTTGGTTTGTCTTGAGAAGTCTGTAAAACTAGGCCTTAAAGTACTCCATTCTATTTATTGGAAATAGACCAATGTTGCAGCTCTTCTATAGTAAACAGATGAGTTTTACCATTTTTATTACATTAAGCTGATCTATGTGTCTAGTAGGGTCTAGTCACTTTTAGCTTAGCTTAGCATAGATCATTGAATTGGATTAGACCATTAGCATCACACTCAAAAAACGTTTAGCTCATTTTCCTATTTAAAGGTAAACTATATATAGTTACTTCATGTATTAAGACTAACAGAAAAAATAAAAGTTGCTATTTTCTATATAGCAGGAACTATACTCTGATTCTGGCGTGATAATCAAAATTTAAAAGCTTAGAACAGGGGTCACCAAACTTGTTCCAGGAGGTCTGGTGTCCTGCAGATTTAAGCTCTAACCCTAATCAAACACACCTGAATGAGCTACTCAAGGTCTTACTAGGTATACTTGAAACACCCATGCAGGTGTGTTGAGGAAAGTTGGAGTTAAACCCTGCAGGGCACCGGACCTCCAGGAATGAGATTGGTGACCCCTGGCCTAGAATATAGCACCTTTACATTTCCCATCAGTCTTAATAAACAATGTAAATACAAAAGAGTCGAGCTTTAAATGACAAATTTATCTAAACTCATTTTTTGAAAATTTTGAATGAGATGCTAATGGTCTAATCTGATTCAATAGACTATGCTAAGCTAAGCTAAAAATGCTCCACCAGTTTGGCTGAATGGATTAAGTGTATGAAATTAGTCTATTTTTAAAAGGTGGAGTGTGCCGTTAACATTCCTCTACTAAACACACATATAATCATTTAAATTCTATCTGATTCACCATAGACAACATGCACGGTTGTCTCATGACTGAAAGGACAGCTAAAAATAATCAACTGTGAGCCTAAATCTGTGATTTACAGCTAAATCCAATGCAAACTGGGTGTTTCGGAAAACGTACTAGTTATTAATGCTGCTGGTCACCGCCACCGCACTGCCGTCTTTAGCCAGGACAGAGACGTGAGATGTGCCGTGGTCTTCAGGTACAGTATTAATGTCCTCCTGCTCATCATAGCTGGTCTGTTTGAGGTCATCTTTAATCTTACTCCTGATGTGGTCCGCAAAGCTGTCTGAGACCATGTTTTTGACATGCTGAGAAATAAAACAAGCAAAATATGTAAATAGAAGTGCAGCGAAAGGCTTTGAGAAAAGTTAAGTCTCTTTGCATTGAAAGGGAATGTTATGAAAGTCAACGAAGAAGACAAAATTTTGACAGAAATAAATGTGTGTGAGGGTGTTTGCGTCATTAATGTTGGTCTGCAGATATACAGTAAATGTGTGTGTGAGGGTGTTTGCGTCTTTAATGTTGGGCTGCAGCTCTCCATGTTTCCAGCTTTCCATTGTTGCAGATGTGAAATGTTGTTGTGCTGATTGTAAAAGGCTTCAGCCCTCCGTCAGTTCGTCATCATAGCGCTTCAGTATCATTATTATTCTATTATTATTCCCTCCAGAACTGTCTTGAGCATCTGTCTGCTCAACTCACACCTCCAAAAGCCACCGTATTCAATGCGTTTGGTCTTGGTCTTCTGGGGTGCAACTAATTTATTAGAGGAGAACAAACATCACAGTGGAGAATCCCAACAGTGCAGCAGACTCCACTTCTCTGGCTCATATGTGTGCAGGTTTATCAAGAAGTTATGATTTTGCTCTCTTCTGTTTCTCATTGATTGGAAATACTGCTTTATTCGCAAATGTGTTATGCAATATTTATGCAGTTTTGCGCACTAGTCTTTGGATATAAATTTAGCTATCATGCAAAGCTCTTCTGGGACTGGTGCCTTAAAACCTAGGTTCCTTTCTTCATAAGTCAAAAAGAAGCGAGCCTATAATCATGCCGCTCCCTCATCCTGGAATACTCTTCAGTCTGAACTAAAAATGTCTGAGCTCATCCCAATTACGTCTTTTGTTGTTTGTTAAAAAGGATAAAGCGAAGAGTCCATTTCTCAAAGTATGTCTTTTTATTATATTGTCATGTGGTATAGCTGTTCAACTAAACTGTATTTTTTATATTTTCTATTTGTTATTATTATTATTTTTTCATAAGTGGTGTGTTGCAGACGTCTTGGCCAGGCCACCCTTGTAAACGAGATCTTGATCTCAATGGGTTTTTATCTGGTTAAATAAAGAAACATATATTAGATTTTTAAAAATGTTTCTTGAAAATCTGTGGTACATTCTTGATCAAGTTTGGGGAAAAAGTGATCCAAGGATTCCAAAATGTAATGATTTTTAGGGTCAAAGCTCTAATAATGTCCTGGTAGCTGTGATAAAGAGCCATGAAGTGGATAAGTATAGTTAAATTCACCTCAGTGATGTTTTCAAAGAGCGGGTCTCCAAGTTTGCTCTTCTGGACATCAGCGAAGCGGAAAGCCTCTATTAGGCGATGATAAGTCAAAGTCTTATTTCCTGTTGTGGCCATACTTTTCCAGGAGATGTTGTAACCTGAAAACAAATGTTTAATCATTTTAAATTTCAATTTCAACAGTTCACACTTAGATACTGCTTGGTAATAATAGCAGGTTTGGCATGCTGTCCCGAGTGAACCCTGAGTTTGGAGATAATTGAGCCTATAGGGCTTTCGCCTGGTCAATAGAACATGTTATGAGAGTACGAGATCAGGTAGTTCTTGAGAGCTCCCCCTGGTAAAGGAGGAAAGGGGGATCTGGGGTGGATGGGGGGTTTCGAAGGTAAGTGAGTAATTTTAGCCAGGCTATACTTATAGTAAGTTTGGATTAATCTGATTGGCCAGCTGCAATCAGTCATATCACGTGCTCCTCTCAAAATTAGTTAGTGAAACCTCACTTATTTTAAGAAAAATGAAAGACTTAAGTGTGTTTGTTAGGTTTTTATAAAGTTAGAGCTGTCAAACGATCACGATTATTCACATCTAATATAAAAGTTCAGATTTACAAAATGCATCTGTGTCTACTGTATGTATATATATACACTAACATTTTAGAAATATATCAACCCAGGCTCATTCTGAAAATGTACCTCTATATACATTTCTGGAGAGCACCAAATATATCCCAGGAGCTACTTTTTTTTTTTTTTTTTTTTTGCAGTTTTTGTTTTTGCGAGTCCACCAAAGGCCGCTGTGTATGCTTTTTTCAAATCTCAAATTTCTCTTGTGAGTGCCATTCATGGCTGCTGTTCTCACTAAAATCCACCAGAGGCTGCTGTTGACTGATTATAATGGTGACTGATTTACTGACTGACCAACTGACCAATCCCTTACCCTCACCCTTACCTAAACCCAACTTCAGTGTTTTAAATAGTAATCCAGAAAAAGAAAAGCCCAGTGATTTCTACCACGTTTTCAGATTTTATCACATTCTTACCCTGTTATTTACTTGTTTATGTTTCTTTCTGAAACTGTTTTTTACAGGATTAGAACCCGGTTGTCACAGTCAACTCCGCTCTGCGTCTCAAGTTTGCCAACATACATATCGAGCTACCGGACAAACTGTTAACAGCGGGAAAGCCATCCATATGAAGGTAAGGGGTCAGCTGGTAAGTTGGAAAAGGAACGGCGTCATACCGTGCCGTAGCATTCGTTTTAAAGACGAAAGGCTGCCACATGTGGCTCTGGCTACATAATTTACGACCTCCAGAAATGTACAGTATACAGGGCTACGTTTTCAGAATGAGCCTGTGTTGAAATATATGCATGACTATTGTATACTATTCATTCATTCATTTTATTTTCAGCTTAGTCCCTTTATTTATCTGAGGTCGCCACAATGGAACGAACCACCAACTTATACAGCATATGTTTTACACATCAAATACCCTTCCAGCTGCAACCAAGTACTGGGAAATAACTATACACACTCATCATACACTACACACAATTTAGTTTACCCTATTCCCCTTATAGCCTTATAGTGCATGTGTTTGGACTGTGGAGGAAACCGGAGCACCCGGAGGAAACCCACGCCAACACGGGGAGAACATGAAAACTCCAAGCAGAAACACCAATTGGCCCAGCTAAGGCTCGAACCAGTGACCTTCTTGCTTTAAGGCAATCGTGCTACCCACTGTGCCAACGTGACTCCCTATTGTATACTATATTTGTTTATATATGCTGCTGTAAATATCTGAAATGTGTGAATGTGGCATAAACACATATTCACTCACCCTTCATTACTTTAAGGATCAGAGCCAGCACAGGTCCACCAAAAGGAGCACCAGGAGCATGAAATATGTATTTCCCCACTGTAAAGTTCAACGCATGCTCTGTCAACACTGGCCCATAAGCCTTCAGGTCCTCACGAGTGATGATTCCTCCTGCAGAAGCAAAGATTTGGACAGAATTGCATACTTTGATCATATCAGGTCAGATTTAATATATTAAAATTGAATAATAAAGCAACCTGCAGCTTTGATATCATCCACTATGCTCTGAGTCAGGGACCCATTGTAAAATGCATCTGGACCTTCTTCTGATATCTTCCTGTAGGTTTCAGCTAGTTTGGGAAATCTGATAGTATCATTTTCCTTCAAGACGATGTTGTTTGAGTCGCAAAACACTTCACTGGAAAACAAAGAGAATGAGCAGAAGCAAGATGATGTTATAATTAAAGAGAAGGGAGTGAATCTGGCTCTTGGATACTTCAATAATTGTACTTGTTGTATTGTAAATGTTGTATTGTGTATTACACAGTGATAATTACTTTAATAAATGTTGCTAATGGTTTTTACTTACCACAGAGTTGCATTTCTCTGAATTGTGGCTCTTGTTTCATTGATGGCATTGGCCAGGGCCTTGCCAATCTTAAATCCCTCTGATGCCAGCTTAATGCTGGGCTGAAACAGATCTTTCCATGGTAGTTTCCCGTGTCTTTTGTGTGCCAATGCATAGCCACGCAGTTCTCCTGGTACAGCTATGAACAACCCTGCCAATCAGGACAAAACAAAGAGGAGTGAACAGCTCCTTCAAGAACCAAAACATCCAGGCATCATTACATTTACATTTACATTTACATTTAGTCATTTAGCAGACGCTTTTATCCAAAGCGACTTACAAATGAGGACAAGGAAGCAATTTACACAACCAAGAGCAACAATGAATAAGTACTAAAGGCAAGTTTCAGGTCTGTAAAGTCTAAGAAGGGAAGTGTTAGTAGTTTTTTTTTTTTTTTTTTTTTTTTTTTTTTTTTTTTTTTGTGTACAATTAGTGTGATATTCAAAGAGGCAATTGCAGCTTAGGAAGTGAAGTGGAGACTAAATAGTTGAGTTTTTAGTCGTTTCTTGAAAATAGCGAGTGACTCTGCTGTTCTGATGCAGTTAGGGAGTTCATTCCACCAACTGGGCAGATTGAGCGTGAGCGTTCGCGAAAGTGATTTTTTCCCTCTTTGGGATGGAACCACGAGGCGACGTTCATTCACAGAACGCAAGTTTCTGGAGGGCACATAGATCTGCAGAAGTGAGTGCAGATAAGAAGGTGCTAGGCCAGAAGTCACTTTGTAGGCAAACATCAGAGTTTTGAATTTGATGCGAGCAGCAACTGGCAGCCAGTGCAAACGGACTAGCAGTGGAGTGACATGTGCTCGTTTAGGTTCATTAAAGACCACTCGTGCTGCTGCATTCTGGAGCAGTTGAAGAGGCTTGATAGAGTTAGCTGGAAGCCCAGCTAGTAGAGAGTTGCCGTAATCCAGTTTGGAGAGAACAAGAGCTTGAACAAGGAGTTGAGCTGCATGTTCAGATAAGAAGGGTCGGATCTTTCTGATGTTATAGAGTGCAAATCTGCACGATCGAGCAGTTCTAGAAATGTGGTCAGAGAAGTTTAGTTGGTCATCAATCGTTAATCATTAGATAAATCTTATTCGCAAATGAACTTCTCTCTGAACTGTGTTTACTGGATCTCTCTTGTAAAGCCATTCTGGAAACTGGATTGGCAGATTTACTGTGGTTTACCTGGTTTTGCTTTCTCTGGGTTTGTACCAAACATGTTCTCTGAAGCGCTCATCGGAGCAGTTTCTCTAGAGTTAATGGTCTCCACTTTTCCTGAGGGTCAAAACATGAACATTTAATAGTCCACAACATGCTCCAGGTTCAATTTTTTTATAAACCTTTTCTGGCTTATTCATATAAACATTTGCATTACACTGAACAACACTGAACTTTAACTGTGACAACTGAACTGAAGAGTATTACAGTGTTGGGTTGCAGCTGGAAGTGCATCTGTTGCATAAAACATATGCTGAATAAGTTGGCCATTCATTCCGCTGTGGCGACCCCAGATTAATAAAGGGACTAAGCCAAATAAAATTAATGACTGAATGAACTGAAGCACTATTAGTTTACTAGAAGTTCCACTCCTTTGTTCTATCTATCTTATGCTGCTTTGACAATCTATAGTGTTAAACGCGATATAGAAAGTGTTGAATATAGAAAACATTTTTAATAAAATGTGCCTGCACATCTATGTACTTCAACTGCAAACAAACTTGTTCAGGCAACAAACGCATCAGAAAAACTAGGTGGCAGTTATTAATCAGAAAAACATCTAGGTGGAGATTACTAAATAAGAGTGCATGAACCTAAAGCAAATATTCTACACCAACACAAAGAGAGGGTATAAAAACAAATGCCTTTACTGCCAAAAATGTGTTTCTTACTCAGAGTTTTTGTCTTGTTTCTAGTCCAAATATCTAAAAATTCTTAAATCGATAAGCATTTTCAAGACAAGCTCTAAATATTGTGTTGTTTTCAGAAATAATGAGTCAAAATGAAGTGAGTTTTACCTTAAAACAAGCAAAATTATCTGCCAATGGGGTAAAGCAAAATAATTTTGTTTTCGCTTTGAACATTCTATTGCTTACCCCATTGTCAGATTATTGCCATTGTGGCAGACTGTTGTGTGAGTCTGGTTAATCCACATACTGTACCTGATGAAGCATTGTATATGGTGAACACCAGTCCTCCACCGATGCCCATACTCTGAGCATTAACCAGACTCACACACAGCAGAGCAGCGATAGCAGCATCCACTGCTGAACCATTGCGCTGCAGGATATCCCTGCAAAGACAGACAGAGAGAATCAAAACAATGGTGTATCTTAAATGGTTAGTTCACCCAAAAAGGAAAGTTCTGCTAATAATCATTCACCATTGTATCGTTCCAATCCAAAGACTTTAGTTCATCTTTGAAACAAATTAAGATATTTTAGATCTCATCCTCCCAAGACAGTAAGAGTCCAGAGATGCTCAAATTACAGAAAAGACCTAAAGCAGTGTCAAAATATTCCATGTGACTGCAATGATTCAACTGGAATCATGCGAGCATGTGTTTATCTATGTCAGAGGTGTCAAACTCAGTTCCTGGAGAGCCGCAGCTCTGCACAGTTTAGTTAAAACCATCATTCAACACACTTACCTGGAGGTTCAATGAAGCCTGAAGGACTCAATTACTGTAGTTTGATCAGGTGTGTTTAAAGAGGGTTAAAGCTAAACTGTGCAGAGCTGTGGCCCTCCAAGAATTGAGTTTGACACCTGTAATCTATGTCATCCATGTCAGGTCAGGGTACATTTCTATTACAGGCAATATAACACTGGCATGTTTCACTGCTGACTATAATGGCAAATCTGTCATATTACTCATAGTAAACGTGCACCCAGACCTGTGGCATAAGAAGTTTTTTATTTGGTGCACAAATGAGTTCTTGGAGCTTCAGTTGAAGTCACATGGACTGTTTTGACTGTTTCTGTTTCTTATTTTGGACTTTAAGGCATGTTCACACTATGCTGTCCAAACCGTGCCCAGGCCTGTTTCCCGGATCATTTGAGAAGTCTAAGTGCTCTGAATTGGGTTCAGGCACGGTTCAGTTGGCCGGCCCGGGCCTTGTCGGAAGAGGTGTGCCAGAGTGCGGATAACTTGGGATCAGAACCCACAACTGAAGACGAAACGTGACTTTTAAGTGACTGTGTTTATTAATCCTTCTTACTGTTCAATTAAAGACACAAACCCGTCAATGCACCACAGCTGTACCTTCAGCAGACCTCCTTATACCTGCAGCATGAGGACTTTGTGATTGTTTATGAGCGTCAAAAGTGGCTGATCTGTTCAGCGAAATATTTGACTGCATGTCACCACATCGCAAACCACTAAAAGATATAACTAAAGAAATGTCCACTGTGCTGAGCGAGAGCACTTCTCTAGTGAACAGCGTATCATCGATGACGTAAGGGTGTGAATGCAATGTGAGTGCGGGCCGTCAGGAAAGACGGAGACAAGAATGCTTCGGCCCGGTTCAAGGCAACCATACATACTGCGAGCACGCCCTGAGTGGGATCCTTGCTGTCTATGGAGGATGAGGGAGCTCTCTGATTACATCTAAAAGATTGAAATTTGTGTTTCGAAGACAGACTAAAGTTTTGGTATTAAAACTACACAATGGTGAATAATTAATAACATCTTTTTTTTTAGGTTTGGGTAAACTAATTCTTTAAAGCCCAACTCACACTGTGCAATTTTGGCCATCATTGGGTTGTCTGAGACACATTTTTGGAAATCCCGAAGATGCATATAATATTAAACTAGTCTCTGGTCTTTGATTGTTGGTTTGACATGTTCAACAACAGCCGATTTATGGTCTTTGTGATCAAATTTTCCTTCTGATTAAAGATTTGAGATGCTTCTCTGCAGATTGACTTCAACTATTATCAGCGTCAAACCAATAATCAATAATAGCGCCAAAGTTGATCATACACTCAGCACAGCAACTAAAAGACATGGGGGAAATGTCCAAATATTGTCTTTTTCTAATCCTCAAAACATGTTATGAGCTAAACTAAGGCTACAGATTGTTTATATTTGTTGTGGGGGATCATTTCAGCATGAAGTTACTAAACATGCATCCATGACATCAGATTCACAGATAAATCTCGTGTTTGATTGAGATGTTACAGTGTGACATGGGGATTATGTTTGCACAGTCTCTGATAGTAAATTTTTAAATATAATGCATGCTCTTTACAATACCTAAATGTAAAAGTATTATTAAAATTGCAAAGTGTACTACTGTATTGGCTTTAAATATTAATAATGCAGACATTTTTTTAATGGCTCTTTAAATCATACCTTCCGATCTCAGAGCACTTCCTGGCATCAGCCGCCACTGCTGCATTATTATAGCAGGTATTGGATAACACAATGCGCACAACAATGAGTATCACTATCACAATGATCACAAGGGAAGCAACCATACATCTGAAAGAAGAGCACTGCAGTCAGATTTGAGAAGTACAAAAGCATTGATTAGTCTGAGATTTAACTATTGGACATGTGTGTACTTGTTTTTATATCCCAGTGGGGACTTATACATGAATGCACACAGACTCATGGGGACTTGTGCCACACCGTGGGAATCAAATTCAAGGTTCTCATTGGCGAACATGCTTATAAATCAGACAGAATTAAGTATTTAGGAAAAGTAAACATTTTTTGTGGTAAGGGGTAGGTGAGTTTAGGGTATAGAGGGAGATAATAATGTACAGTAGAAACATCATGATGTCTATTAGTCCCCACTGAGATATAGAAAAAAGTGTGTGTGTGTGTGTGTCTATCATCACCTTGCTGAATTGCTTTTGAGACAACGAGCCATTATTGAATAGTCGTTGTCTACAAGTTTGAAGAGAAAAAAAGAGAAAGAAATTATACACACACACTGTCATGCACACATTCACAGGCATACACTAAGGCTGCGTGCGAAACCGCTTACTACTTAGTAGGTACTGCATTTGAATTTAAGCGTACTACTCGGCCGTTAGAAAAGTGCAATCTCTACAGTATGAATGGAATTTGGACGTACTACATCCGCCATTTTGTCATGGTCACATGACCTACTTGCGTCAGTTACGTTGCTTCACTCCCATTCATGAATTCGCTCGCGGGGCATCATGGGATAGCGCAGCATGCATGAGATGCGCACTCCAGAATCTCACCGGAAGTAGTAAGTCATCTGGGTACTTCTCGCATACTGGTTTTCCAATGTATGAATTCGGACATACTACTCGGCTCACACACTGATTTTAGTGTACTATATAGTATGGAAGTATACAGTTTCGGAAGCAGCCTAAGACTTCAAATGATCGCACAACAAATGCTACATGCTAAATGCTAAGGTATAAGCTGTAATACCAAATCGCTGACTTTCAGTGTATTTAAAGCTCGCTGCATAGAGACGAATATATTCTTAAGCACCTATTAGTGTGGCAGAAAATATCTATATTAAATAGTTATGTTACATACACATGTTTGGGGACTATATATATCAGACCACATGTCACTCAGGGGTTATAGATTAGGATTTCACCTTTGTAGCTTTAGATGAGTGAATGCTTCCTGGGATTAGTGACATCACAAACCCTGAAATGTGCAGTATATAAGCCTCTTCAAGCTAAGAAAAAAAAAAGCTTTTCTTACTAGTTTTTGTCTTGTTTGTAGTCGAAATATTTAAATAATTCTTACATCAAGAAGAATTTGTTAGAAAAAGCAAAAAATATTGCAATATTATCAGAAATAATAAATCAAAATTAAGTGAGTTTTTGCTTAAAACAAACAGAATAACACATAATAAACCTGCATTCAGTTTAAAATAAGATTATTATGCTTACACCAACAGTAAAATCACAGAAACCATTATTTACCACACACAAAGAGTGTAAACAGCAGTAAAGTCTCCATCTCTGTAATCTATTTTCCTTTTGCTGTCTGACAAACTGAGGAAGGCTTTAGAATAAAGCTCTACAGAATACAGAATACAGCTCTAGGTTTTAATATAGCTCTACATACACACTGCAAAAAAGTAAATTTTCTTACTTAGATTTTTTGTCCTGTTTCTCGTCCAAATATCTAAAAATTCCTAAATCAAGAAGAATTTTCTAAACAAGCAAAACATATTGCCTTGTTTTGAGAAATAATCTGCCAATGGGGTAAGCAAAATAATATTACGTCAAAAGAAAAAACAAGATTAATTTGCTCACCCCATTAGCAGATTATTTTGCTTGTTTTAAGGAAAAACTGACTTAATATTGGCATATTATTTCTCAAAACAAGGCAATATATTTTGCTTTTCTAAAAAATGCTTCTTGATATAAGAAATTTTAGATATTTAGAGTAGAAACAAGACAAAAAATCTAAGCAAGAAAAGCATTTTTTGCAGTGCACTTGTCAATTTGTATGTTTGCATTCACTACTTGCTGCTTTTTTATATATTTATTATCTGTTTATTGTCCTGTCTCTGTAGTTCTGTTGCACTGTAGAAGCTCTGTCACGTAAAACAAATTCCTCGAACATACCTGCCTATAAAGCTCTCTGATTCTGGGAATTGGTGGATTATTATAGTGACTCTGTGATTCGTACAAATAATTATTATTTTTTTTATCTCAGTGTGCTGCATTTATTGATATTGTGTGTGTGTGTGTGTGTGTGTGTGTGTGTGTGTGTGTGTGTGTGTGTGTGTGTGTGTGTGTGTGTGTGTGTGTGTGTGTGTGTGTGTGTGTGTGTTTTGTTACCTGGTAATTGGTTATTTGTCACTGGCTTACTGATTGTTTATTATATAAAGTATGACTTTGTTTGGTTGCCATGGTTACTGTGGTCTGAGTTTTAAGGATGAGGTTTCTGTGCACGCGTGCCTGTTTGTTCTTGAGGTTTGCTCTGTTGCTCTTTGGCCTATAGTCTATTGTTAAGCAAGAAGGAAATGTAGAAAGACAGTGATCATATTGAATCAATCACATTTTCTGATGCAAACAGGTTTCCGGTCAGTGTTTATCTTTGTTTGTACTGTTTCCTCCTGAAAAATCCAGCTTAAACCAGCCTAGGCTGGTTGGCTGGTTTTAGCTGGTTGACCAGGCTGGTTTTAGAGAGGTTTTGGCCAGTTTCAGGCTGGTTTCCAGCCCATTTCTAGCTTGGTCTTAGCTGGTCAGGCTGGAAAATGACCAGCCAAATCCAGCTTGACCAGCCTGGTTTAAGCTGGACATAGCTGGTTTTGGCTGGACTCCCAGCTTGGCTAGGCTGTTCAAGCTGGTTTTGGCTGGTCATCTCCCAGCCTGTCCAACTAAAACCAGGCTGGAAATGGCTGGAAACCAGGCCAAAACCCATCTAAAACCAGGCTGGTCGACCAGCTAAAACCAGCCAGCCATCCTAGACTGGTTTAAGCTGGATTTTCCAGCAGGGTACATGTCCAACAGGTGATAAACCCATTTCTTATAGAGAGAGAGCTGTTTTGGATATGATGGATGGGACTGGTGGACAGTTCAAACCAAATTAAAAATGAACATTTAACGTCATACACAAACTGGTGTGGATTTCTCCAATTGGTGAAATGAATGCGCTAGATGTTAGGGAAAATATGAGCATTAATAAATAAACAATTTCCCAAAATGTTCACTTTATATTCCACACAAAATAAAAGCACACACATTCAAAACCACAAGGAACGAGAGTTAATATTTCAGGTCGTCTACCTCATCAATTTGTGTAACAGTATATAGAAACAATAAGCAAACTCTGATTTTCATTTGCCTATCTCTATAGTTTTATACCACTCGGGTTTGATGAGAATCAGAGTCATGTTAATCAATATCACATCACACAAATCAACACAATAAGACAGAAGGACATTAAATAAAGTGGAAAATAAAGTTAACAGTATACATCTAGAGCAGGGGTGTCCAAACTCGGTCCTGGAGGGCCGGTGTCCTGCATATTTTAGTTCCAACCCCAATTAAACACACCTGAACCAGCTAATCAAGCTCTATCTTGGTATACTCGAAACGTCCAGGCAGGAGTGCTGAAGGAAGTTGGAGTTAAGCTATGCAGGACACCGACCCTCCAGGACTGAGTTTGGGCTCCCTGATGTAGATGGTTTATGAGCCGTATGTATATTGTTGACTTTTTTAAAACTGAACCTAATGAAATAAAAATATTGATATAAATGTATTAACAAATCTGACTCTATCTATTTAAAAAAAATCATAAATAATGAAATTAATTAATTAATTAATTAAAATATAAAATATATTACCGTGGCAGGAGGAGGTGAAAGAGAGCTGCTAAATCAGATCGCTGTCTAAATTATAATTGACTTGCAAAAAGACGGTTCATCAGTACACGACAACCACAGCACTGCTGAAAATGCCACTTCCTGTTATACTGCTTCCTGCTCATGCCTGCTGTTGTGAAGAGCTTTGATTTTGTAGATCTATTTGGCTTTAATTCAAATTGTATTGCATTTTTATATAAAACATGATATAAATTTGGGCGTTGTGGTGGCGCAGTGGGTAGCACGTTCACCTCACAGCAACAACTGGTTCAAGCCTCGGCTGGGGAAATGACCCACCAATTTTTGTGACATTGAATAATTTGACACAAATAACAGGATGCTGCAGTATTCTGTCACATAAAACATATTTTGGACACAGTATATGATGAAAGAAAGATATTTAAACAATCATAGGTGACACTCATTATTTAAAGTCACATTCAAGGCTTTACTTGTGAACATACTTGAGTTTCTGCAGTGTGTAGTGTGGATCCTCCAGTGTGTGTTGGAGCAGCTGGACTCCTGATTGTCCTGGGTGATTGTAGCTCAGATCCAGCTCTCTCAGGTGTGAGGGGTTTGAACTCAGAGCTGAAGATAGAAAACCACAGCCTTCCTCTGTCACCATACAGCCAGACAACCTGCAGAGACAGACAAACATACATAAAGTATCTACAGACATCAACATTATAACCAGCTGACTGTACATTATCCTTTATATGTTCTTTATACCTCAGTATCTCCAGCTGACAGCTTGGACTCTTCAGTCCATCAGAGAGCAGCTTCACTCCTGAATCCTGCAGGTCATTGTTACTCAGGTCCAGCTCTCTTAGGACAAAGTTTAAGGATTGAAGAACTGACAACACAATTTCACAATCCTGAGCAGAGAGATTACAGCCAGCAAGACTGGAAGAAGAGGAAAACACACAGTAAATAAATTTCTCCCAAAACTAATTTGAACACTAACACTTGGTCAAACACTCACAGAGCTCTTGTGCAGTTGCTGACGGCTGGTATCAGTCTTCTTCTGCCCTCATCTGATGTGTTGTATTTCTGGAGCTCCAGCTCATCCAGCACCTCCTCTGACATCTGAAGCATGTAGGCGATTGTTGAGCAGTGAGCAGGAGAGAGTTTCTTCTCTGACTGTTTGTCTGATTTCACAAACTCCTGAATCTCTCTGGACAGAGTCTGATCTTTCACTTCCAGCAGACAGAGGAACAGATTGATGGATCTTTCAGTGGAGAGTCCATGTCCATCTCTGATCTTCTCTTTAATGTACTGTGTGCTTCTCCTGATGCTCTCTGAGCTCTTCTCTGTGTGTGTCAGTAGATCCTGGAAGAGTCTCTGATTGGACTCCAGTGAGACGCCCAGCAGGAACCGCAGGAACAGATCCAGACGCCCATTCTCACTCTCAATGGCTTTATCTACTGCTTCCCTATGCAGATAAATTACATCTAAAAAACGAGATGTGTCCACATTCTGCATCACATAAAGGTGAAACAAATAAAAAGCAGCAAGAAACTCCTGAACGCTCAGATGGATGAAGCTGTAGACTTTCCTCTGATGAATCACAGATTCCTCCTTAAAGACCTGCATTAAAACGAGCATGATCAGCATTAAAACCAGCATAAAATCTTGCAAGACCAGTATAGAAACCAGCAAGACCTGCATGCCAGCATCAAAACATACCTTACAAGCATTTTCTGCAGGATTGCTCATGTTTAAAAAGGTTTGATGCTTCCTCACATTTCTCAGTGTAGTTAACTAACTTGTAAGCAGGCATGCATTGCTTTTGGTGGTGGTGTGCTAACATGCATGCATTAGCAGTAAAACTTCTGAAATGGCCTTGCTGAAAAATCCAGCTTCAACCAGCCTAGGATGGCTGGCTGGTTTTAGCTGGTCTACCAGCCTGGTTTTAGACTCCGAGGCTGGTTACCAGCCATTCCTAGCCTGGTCTTAGCTGGTCTGGTTGGGATATGACCAGCTAAAACCAGCCTAGTCGGGCTGGGAGCCCAGCCAAAACTAGCTATGTTCAGCTTAAACCAGGATGGTCAAGCTGGTTGTAGATGCTTTTTTCCAGCCTGACCAGCTAAGACCGGGCTGGAAATGGCTGGAAACCAGTCTAGAGGTGGCCAAAACCCCTCTAAAACCAGGCTGGTCAACCAGCTTAAACCAGCCAACCATATAGGCTGGATTTTTCAGCAGAGGGTGTACAAATCTAACCTATTTAGGATGTTTCTAATATGAAGCTTTAGATCTTTTATTTTTAATTGTTTAAAAATATGAAATGTTAAAATTGTAGAGTGCTAGGCTAGCCTGGCACCGAGCTCTGATTTTAGCTAACGGGTTTTACAGCTAGATTAGATAGTACCATGAAGCACATAAAACGAACTTACCACAAAATGTTTCTTTCACTTTCGTTTTTAACTCCGTCGACGTTTTAAAAAGGACTCCCTCTAGCGGCGCACAGCATCATCACACTTACAGAGACGCAATGAAAATGAGTAAACACACAGCATGAAAAAACAATAACTGTAAAATAAACTGAACAGCTGACCAAATACACCGAAAGCAATTTTCCAACCATGTAAAGTGACCATTTACTTACAGTAATGATTAAAATCACATTGTTACACAGATCTCTCAATTCCATTAGTATGTATACATTTCTTTTTTTTAAATCAGCTTCTCTTCTGAGTTTTAAAAGTACAGCTAGTATATTGTTTTGCATTGATTCATTTAAGTATAACACTTAAAACATACTGGGTTGTTTTAAACCAACATGGGGTCAAATAAGGACAAACTCAATACTTCCTTTAGTGGCGCAAAGAATTCAACTCTGCAAGAAATCAGAAACTTGTGGATCAGAAAGATGATCAACACACAGATATCATGGTGAGATTGATGCAATTTTGAGATGGATATTTAATATTAAAACTATGTTGAATCAACATTGAAACTCCAATGAAAGCTGACAGCACACTGGTGTGCAATATAAAAATGTAAAAAGTTTTATTTTTCTTACAAAACCATGCACAAACTTGTAAATACACACAGATGTCAAGAGAAATAGCTAGAAGACTACTAAAAACAGTATTGAAATATAATTTGAGCATGTGTTTTATTCTGTTGAGAATGGTTTAATGTAGTTAGAGTTTAGCCTAAAGCTTGATCCTGGCACACATCATTGTGAATGTTCATTATTTAAAGCACTGCTTCATCAGAGTCAGCGTGTAGAAAATTAATGCTTAAAAAGTAGAGTTCAGATCAATACTGTTGATTGATGCATATTTTTATACATACAAATGTATCCGCAAACCATCCAGTCCCCATGTGAATGGAGCTGCGGTCACATTGGGATTTTTCTCCCATAGACTTCCATTCATACACACTCAAATTTTTTTTGCATCACTTGACTGCGTGAGACCAATCGCGGATCAAAACATGACCTCTCTGTACAGAAAATTAAAATATGGACCAATCGCTCACTATTTTAATGTCTAATAAGCTTGTTTAATCCCGCCCATTTTCGCAACGCCGCACAACAGAATTTCGCACACACAAACTCTAGTAAGTGAAGTTTAATTTTAAACTCATTTCGAGTAGAGCACGTGCTCATGACTGACCCAGCTGGCCCACATTAGCTAATCATAATCCTCCAATTTAAGGATCCCAAGTCACTATACATCATTTCTTTTCTACAACGTTCTTCTTATTTAAGAAACCCCCCTCCTCCCCTTTAAGCTGTGGTTACACTGGGCTTTTCCTCCCATAGACTTCCATTCATACGCACGCAAATGCGTCAGACCGGAAACGCAGGGTCATGCGTCAAGTTTGCTGCGGTGCAAAGGTTAAGCTTGGTGAACTCTGACCTGCGAAATCTCATCACTTGACTTTTTTTTTCGTATTTTATTAAATTTTTTGCATCACTAGACTGTGTGAGACCAATTGAAGATCAAAACATGACCTCTCTGTACAGAAAATTAAAATATGGACCAATCGCTCGCTATTTTAATGTCTAATAAGCTTGTTTAATCCCGCCCATTTTCGCAACGCCGCACAACAGAATTTCACACACACAAACTCTAGTAAGTGAAGTTTAATTTTAAACTCATTTCGAGAGGAGCACATGCTCATGACTGACCCAGCTGGCCCACATTAGCTAATCATGATCCTCCAATTAAAGGATCCCAAGTCACTTTACATATCCTCATTTCTTTTCTACATCGTTCTTCATCTTTAAGAAAACCGCCTCCTCCCCTTTAAGCTGCGGTCACACTTGGCTTTTCCTCCCATAGACTTCCATTCATACGCACGGGAATGCGTCAGATCGGAAACACAAGGTCATGCGTTAAGTTTCGCAGGTTGCTGCAGTGCAAAGTTCAAGCTTGGTGAACTCTGACTTGCCAAATCGCATCTCTTGACTGCATGAGACCAATCGAGGATCAAAACATGACCTCTCTGGATAGAAATTTAAAACAAGGAGCAATTGCTTGCTTATTTAATGCCAAATAATCTTGCTTATTCCCGCCCCTTTTTGCATCGCCGCACGACAGAATTTCGCGTTATCAAACTCTAGTGTGACCGCAGCTTTATCCACCTTTATAGAGAATTGGCGGCATGGTGGCCCACTGACTAGCACTGTTGCCTCACAGCAAGAATACCAATGTCCTCGCTGGGTCATCTGGTATTTCTGTGCGGTGTTTGCATGTTCTCCCCATGTCCGTTTGGGTTTCCCCCAGGTTCATTTTAGTGTCTTGAAGGGGGCTGGATGTTTCAGATACTGGAGAACATTTGCTTGGTCAGAAGATTTGATGAGAAACTGCAGTGTGAGGCTACGTCTGACTAAGTGAGAAAATGCAAGATCTTAATGCTAATATTTTCTACATGTGATATTTGACACGGCTTCAAAGCACACTAGCTTATAGATAACATAAAGGCTAACACTTCGCTACTAACACTCAAAACAAATCAAAGTCATTTCAGGATGATTTAAAAATCTTAAAAAATATATAAAAATGCAAACTGAGAAATTAGTATTAGGCAAATTTTCCTTTAGCTTCACGGCAGGTGTCTTTCAGCATGTTATTTTGTGATGCTCTTTCATTGTATCACTGTGTTTTGTGTTGTTGTTTAATCTGACACAGAGTCAGTGTCGTTTCAAACACTCTGAATCCAGCATAGAGGGGTTCAGTGAATGTGGTGTTGAGTGTGTGTATGAGTGTGAGTGTGTGTGTGTCAGAGACACTGTAGAAAGACAGAGAGCCGGATGGAACGTCCACATACACTCCTAATCTTTTTGACTTGGATAGAGCGGGGATGTCAGTTTTCCTATTATTATGCCAGACTGTGAATCTGTCATCAGTGCAGTACATGCTCCAGGATTTATCATTGTACCCAAACCAAGAGTCACTCCCTCCTTTCCTGTTAATTCCTCTATAGGTGACTGCAATATAAGACCAACTGCTCCATTCAGCCTCCCAGTAACAGCGTCCAGTCAGAGTCTCTTTACACAGAACCTGCTCATGGTGCTCAAATCTGTCTGGATGATCAGGATACGGCTGATGCTCTTTTACAAATTCTGCCTTTCTGTTTCCCTCAGACAGGATGAGTTGAGTGTGTGCTGTGTTTGGATCCAGAGTGAGAAAAACAGCATCTGAACACAAGAATAACGATAAGATCAACTTTACACGAAGGATTATTTTAGATCTGTGTGTGTCTAAAGGAGAAAACACCTACATTTTCTTAGTCCTCGTCTGATTCTTAAATGTCCTCCGTGATCCAAACTAGAAAGACACAGATATGAACCACATCTGCTAAACGTGAAGCATTCAAACAGTGAAAACAGGAGGCAAATGCAGATTTCTGATAGGAAGCAGTTAAATTATCTTTGTGTAATGAACAAATTTAGCACTAATTTTCATTTGCCAACAGGGTTTCTGAAATCGCCAACAAGTGCGATGAATAGTGTGAATTATCAAAAATGAGATCAGAGAGAAATCACATGCCAGTGAGGCCTTAGAAACACTTTGGCATGCTAAATATCTGAACCTTTAGGTGATTTAAAATTGTAAAGTGTGAAAAGCATAGAAGATAAGATGGTATTTGTGTCTTTGTCAAGCATTGATGTCGTTCCACTCACAAAAAGTTAATGTATTCATAACATGGGTTCAAAAAAATCAGACTCAGAGTTTTTTTCTGTTTTCAAAACATAGTTTCAGTTTGGTTTGGTATATTATGTTACAGTTTGGGTATAATATGTTAAGTAAATAACACTGTCAAATAAAAATAAAAGATAAAAACTAAGCACAAACAAAACCAAATGAATGCAATGTAGCAAATATACTAACATAATAAATAGTGCTTTATGTATCTTAACAGTAGTTAAATACATGAAACTACCCCACACTACCATAAATACCCCAACTACCCCACATACTTGAGTTTCTGCAGTGTGTAGTGTGGATCCTCCAGTGTGTGTTGGAGCAGCTGAACTCCTGATTGTCCTGGGTGATTGTAGCTCAGATCCAGCTCTCTCAGGTGTGAGGGGTTTGAACTCAGAGCTGAAGATAGAAAACCACAGCCTTCCTCTGTCACCATACAGCCAGACAACCTGCACACACACACACACACACAGGGGTCAATTTTAAAGAAAGTATTGAACCTGAAGCTTTAAATGATCATGCCAGAATATGAAACTCATACCTCAGTATCTCCAGCTGACAGTTTGGACTCTTCAGTCCATCAGAGAGCAGCTTCACTCCTGAATCCTGCAGGTCATTGTTACTCAGGTCCAGCTCTCTCAGGACACAGTTTGAGGATTGAAGAACTGACGACACAATTTCACAATCCTGAGCAGAGAGATTACAGCCAGCAAGACTGAAAGAAGAGAAGCACAAGGGAATTTAATACAAGGTAAATATATGCAAGAAACAAAGCAGTAACATAAACACTCACAGAGCTCTTGTGCAGTTGCTGACGGCTGGTATCAGTCTTCTTCTGCCCTCATCTGATGTGTTGTATTTGTGGAGCTCCAGCTCATCCAGCACCTCCTCTGACATCTGAAGCATGTAGGCGATTGTTGAGCAGTGAGCAGGAGAGAGTTTCTTCTCTGACTGTTTGTCTGATTTCACAAACTCCTGAATCTCTCTGGACAGAGTCTGATCTTTCACTTCCAGCAGACAGAGGAACAGATTGATGGATCTTTCAGTGGAGAGTCCATGTCCATCTCTGATCTTCTCTTTAATGTACTGTGTGCTTCTCCTGATGCTCTCTGAGCTCTTCTCTGTGTGTGTCAGTAGATCCTGGAAGAGTCTCTGATTGGACTCCAGTGAGACGCCCAGCAGGAACCGCAGAAACAGATCCAGATGACCATTCTCACTCTCAATGGCTTTATCTACTGCTCTTATCTGTAAATTATGCAGAGAATCCAAAGATGCTTCTGCAGTGTTGCTTATGTGGTAGTAAAACACATATAAAGCAGCCAGAAACTCCTGAACACTCAGATGGATGAAGCTGTAGACTTTCCTCTGCTGAATCACAGATTCCTCCTTAAAGATCTCAGTGCAAATCCCAGAATACACTGAGGCGTCAGAGACGTCTACGCCGCTCTCAATCAGGTCCTCCTCATAGAACATCACATTGCCCTTCATCAGCTGTCTGAAAGCCACTTCAGCAAGTTTGACAATCACTTCTCTGTTGGACTGCAGGAGTTTCTCTGGATCTCTCTCTTCATACTTCTGATTCCTCATGTTGATCTGAATCAGCAGGAAGTGGATGTACATTTCAGTCAGAGTTTGAGGGATTTCTGCACTCAGATCTTCTTCCAGGAGCTTCTGAAGCACAGTGGATGAGATCCAGCAGAAGACGGGTATGTGGCACATGATGTGGAGGCTTCTTGCTCTTCTGATGTGTGAGATGATTCTGCTGGCTTGATGCTGCTCACTGATTCTCTTCCTGAAATATTCCTCCTTCTGAGGCTCAGTGAATCCCTGAATTTCTGTCAGACGCTTGATGTATTTGGAGGGGATCTGATTGGCTGCTGCTGGTCTGGAGGTGATCCAGATGAGAGCAGAGGGAAGCAGCTCTCCTTTCATCAGCTTTGACATCAACACAGCCACTGATGAAGTCTCAGTCACATCACAAACTTTCTGAGCGTCTGAAAACATCAGTGTGATTCTGCTTTCATCCAGACCATCAAAGATGAACACAACTTTACACTCCTCATAAATCTTGGGCTCCAGATCTTCAAGTTCAGGATGAAAGTCCAGCAGAAGTGTGTGAAGACTGTACTGATGATCTCTGATCAAGTTCAGCTCTCGAAATGGAAGCACAAACATGAAATCTACATCCTGATTGGCTTTTCCCTCGGCCCAGTCCAGAATGAACTTCTGCACAGAGACGGTTTTTCCGATTCCAGCGATGCCTTTAGTAAGAACAGTCTTGATTTGCTCTTTCTCCTCTTTAAAGATGTCATTGCAGTAGATTGGAGTGTGTTGGGAGTGTTTTGTTCTGGCTGTTTTCTCCATCTGTAAAACCTCATGTTCTTCATTCACTCCTTCACTCTCTCCCTCTAGGATGTACAGCTGGGTGTAGATCTGGCTCAGGTGGGTTCCAGTCTCTTGAAGAGTGATTCCCTCAAATAATCTCTCATACTTCCTCTTCATGCTGGTTTTGTGCTGGTCTTTGACTCTCTGCAGGTCTCCAGTCTCTAATGTTTGTCTCTGTAAGACTGTTTCTGTGTTCTCCTGGATCATGTGTCTCTGATTTTGACATTTACTGAATGTTGTAAAGTGAAATGAAAAAGACAAGAGCGCCAAAATGACAATTGGTATGTTTCATGAGTAACCAAGGCTAGTTGATGGTGTATAGTTAAAACCTCCCTCCACTGATCTCAATAATTTTTTTAGCAACAGAAATGATCCATGCTTATTCGAGTGCCTGCGCCACTTGCTCACTCTGTGCAGCCTTCAACTGCAGCTTGTGCTGTATTGAACAGACATGAATGTCACTTCATAACTATAGAGATTTTTTTCAAATTTATTTCTGATGTCTTGGTCACATTATTTGGAGGGCCATAATAAATTGCCTCGGGGGTGAAAAAACAGCACTCTTCCACTTTAGTAAAACTACTCAGGGCATGTGTTCACAGGTGTAAGTCGCATTGGATAAAACCAATTGCTAAATGCATTCTCCTCCTCTCTGAAGAAATGCAGGTGAAAACCAAGTTCGGTCGTGCAATACAAAACTACTAGTAATGCATAAGTTAGAAATTAGTGTCCTTTTACATCACAGGAGGCAATGCCTGGCAACATTACGCACTACTGGTGCAACTGGCCCCTGGTATTCGCTGACTTGAAGCAAGCCATCCAACAGCAGGTCAAAGGAGGCATCTTTATCTAATCCAGGTGCAGTCTTTGCCCCTTTTACTCCACATGTCTGAATTCTGTTTATGTTAACTTGTATTGTAGTTTATTAGTATAATGTAAAGTTTATAGCTTTGTATCAGTTTATAAAATTACTACTCATCATAGAGAGACTGTACAGTTAATCAGAAGGTAATTGGTTGTACTAACCGAGGGTCAGAGGTCACGGGTGCATCACTGAATCTCATGGGTTGCTCCATGGACCTGCCACTCATCACAGACACACTGCTGAATTCTGAAGACTCCAATCTCTGTCTGTTTATCCTGCAAAAAACAAAAGCAAAACACAATACACACTTCAATGGTTAGTCCACAGAAGAAGGGAATTAAAATCTCTCATCTTCTTTTATAAATGCTTTCATTTAAAAAAAAAAGATGAGTGATGAGATGAGTGAATTTTGACTTGGTTGAGTAAATGTATGATAACGTGATAGAAGCAATAACAATATAATGTCTATATCTAAGAATATATTGTATAGTACTGCAGTGTGGTCTATTGTTAATCATGTTAATACTGTTGTCTATAGAAATGTACTGAATGACAATGATTACAAAATTTTGAGAAACCATGAGAAACATATTGGTTATCAGAGATGTTGGATTTTAGCCCCCCTTATCAATCTGCACTTCTGTACAGTGTACACACTGCATATTTGTATAGTTTATATAATGATCCCTAAAACAAAAATAATAAATGGTTGTACCGCGGGTCAGAGATCATTGGATCATCACTGAATCTCATGGGTTGCTCCATGGATCTGCCGCTCTTCATAGACACACTGCTGGATTCTGGAGACTCCGGTCTCTTCATCTTGCTGATAATGCCAAACAAAAGGCAGTTTAAGATGTACGTTAGGGGTTAGTCTACAAAAGGAACTGAAACCTCAGGATGTGAAAGAGAGAAAAAAAATGTAAGAAACTGAAGGGAAAAAAAAATCATGTAACACTGCACTTTATCACTTTAAATGTTTGAACTACTAAAGGAAAAATTCAAAGTATAAATTTATAAATATATAACATGATGCAAACAGAATTTTATGGTATAGTTTAATTAATTTAAATGCCAAATAGGAACAGAAAAAAATTCAGGGAACTGATTGTTCGGCTCACTGTGTGACAGACTCATGACAGACGTGCCCTTTAAGTTCCTGTGGGTTAAAATGCACTGAAAAATGATTTTCTTACTTAGATTTTTTTGTCTTGGTTCTAGTCCAAACATCTAAAAGTTTTAGACAAGCATACCATATTGTGTTGTTTTCAGAAATAATATACCAAAATTAGGTAAGTTTTTTCTTAAAATATGCAAATAATCTCCCTGTCGTTTTTTTTTTTTTTTTTTTTTTTTTGACATTTGATTATTCTGCTTTACCCCACAGGCAGATACGTTTGCTAGTTTTAACATTTTGACATATTGCTGAAAACAAACTATATGTTTTGCTCATCTGGAAAATGCTTCTTGATTTAATATTTTTTTAATATGACAAAAGAATTGAAAATGATTTTGTGCAGTGTGTAAATGTAAAAGATAAAGGTGTCCAGTGTGTTACCTGGGGTCAAAACTCAGGTTTTCATCACTGACTGAAGGATGTTCACAAACGTATCCAGCCGCTGCAGTCAAAATTAATGCTTCAACTACAGAATACAGCAATACATATACATCGAAGTGAAAGTGAGTTATAGTTATATAGAGTCATATATGAAAGTGAAAGTCTAACATTAACTATGCATATAAGCTATGAAGTATAATCATATTTAATATATGTAGTATAAATCACCTTTATTGCCCTTACACTAACTATAGATTGTGCATGTCGAGTTTTACAGCGGCAGTACATTTACATAAACTTAAAACTGAAACTGATTATATGCAAATACAGATGTAAAACTGTAAGCTTTCGAATGAACTGAACATCAGTTTAAGACAGCTGTTTCGTGTTTTCGGTATAGGATCTTCTGCAAAGTGTTACGCGTCAGTAATTTATTAATGGCGCATATAAACAAACATGGCGAGCACTCATTGTTTAATCGGCTGTAATCGGAGTTCGTCTTCATATTTTTCTTTCTTGGTTTGTTTCTGTACATACAATAAAACCGCGTACGTAAAACACATGGCACTTCTATATACGGGTTTTTAAATTAAGAACAAACGTATTAACTCAAGCATAAGGCAAAACACTATACTTTACTTGAACTAGTTTACTTCATTAGTGTACAGTCGAGAAATAAGGAAGTCCAAACCCCACATTTCAGCTAACAGTTTTAGCAGCTAACTTCTTGACTGGTTACATTAACGATATGATAAGAATCTGCCACATAATGATGCAGCTTTTTAAAATAAAACAGTATTATATAAAGCCCATTGTTTACCTGTTTAACGCTTCCGGATTCTTTCCACTTTCTGTTTGACTGCAGCCTGTAGGCGTCCTCTATTGGCGATAATAACATACAGGTGGGTGAACCGAAAAAGACAAGACATTGAGAGCAAATAGCGTGTGAAGTCTCTCTCTTGTTCTGCGTGTGTGTCATATGTTTAATCACGGGCAGCAGGTTTTCATTTATCTGTTTTATTCTTGGTTTTGATATAAAAATAAAAGTTTGCAACAGCTTCACCATGTGCTACGACATATAATACATATAAAAACATTTGTATATATTTTCATATTTTTAAAAAGGTATTAAAATAACATTGTAAACACGAGTTAAATGGATATAGCTCCCTCAAGTGGTTTCAAATCTTTGCGAGTTTAACACAAAATAAGTTATTTAGCTGTTAGAACTCTGTAACTATTGACTTTGATTGTAGAAAAAACAAATATAAAGGAAGAAAGGATACAGGCTTCTTCAAAATATCATATTTTGTGGTCAACAGCAAAAACAAGACAAGTGCAAGTGAGCAAGTAAAGCATGAGTAAATGAAAGTCATTTTTTTGGGTGAACTGTCCCTTTAAATGACACTCAGTGTAACAGCCCAGTGAAATACACATGCAAGCAGATTATATTTAGCTGACTTCTTCCACAAGTGACCGTCTTAATGAAATTATCATTGTTAATACATTTCTGGCAGTTGTCACTTGTGCAGTGTAACTTTACATTGAGGTAAAGCTGGCTTTATATTCAGTTACTACATTCAGTTAATTAACAGTCCCCACACTGTTTACCACACTACTTTAAATAATGGGTCTGAATTAGCATGCAAGTATGACGTCAAAGCATCATTAGCGTCGTTGTTGTACTTTAATACCCTGCTAAAAATCCAGCTTAAACCAGCCTTGGATAGTTGGCTGGTTTTAGCTGGTCAACCAGCCTGGTTTTAGAAAGGTTTTGGCCACTTCCAGGCTGGTTTCCAGCCTGGTTTTAGCTGGTCAGGCTGGAAAGTGACCAGCTAAAACGATCTAAAACCAGCTTGATCATCCTGGTTTAAGCTGGATATAGCTATTTTTAGCTGGGCTCCCAGCCTGGCCAGCTAAAACCAGGCTGGAAATGGCTGAAAACCAGCCTGAAAGTGGCCAAAACCCCTCTAAAACCAGGCTGGTCGACCAGCTAAAACCAGCATAGACTGGTTTAAGCTGGATTTCTCAGCAGGGTAGTGATTGGTTGCTAACATGGTTTCACTATTTAGAATTTGTAAATAATACTTCTTTTTTGTAATTAATAATAATTCCTTACATTTATATAGCGCTTTTCTGGACACTCAAACAGACATCCCAAGTCTCCCTGACGTTCCGGGAGTCTCCCGCAAATGCATAGAGACTCCCACTGGCGCGCAAACGAATGATAATCTCCGTCCGGTCCTTAAATAGTCTCCACCGCATCCCTCCCAGCTCTTCAGGTACGTCAGGCGTGACTCAACCCCACCACTGTTCAGATACATCGCACGCACACGCCCCAACCGGTCTTCAGATACGTTGCGCGCACACATACCACCGCTCTTGAGATATGGGAGGCCATAATGGACAGAGGCCAGTGGGCAAATTTGTCACCTTAAATTAAACCCCTACTCTTTTTCGAAGGACATCCTGGGACTTTTTAAATGAGCACAGAGAGTCAGGACCTCAGTTTAACTTCTTATCCGAAAGACAGCACTCACTGACCAGTATAGAGTCCCCATCACTATACTGGGGCATTAGGACCCATACAGAATGCAGGTTGAGCGCCCCCTGCTGGCCTCACTAACACTACTTCCAGCAGCAGCCTAGCTTTCCCATGTGGTCTCCCATCCAGGTACTGACCGGGCGCAGCCCTGCTTAGCTTCAGTGGGCGACCATGTGAGAGTTGCAAAGAGCTAGCTGCCTCCATACTAATTATATTGAATGTGTGAATATAAACGCAAACTTTACCTCAATTAACTTTAAATCTCAAAATCACAGCTACTTCTCTACAACAGCTTTAAATCTTACTCTGCTCATTTAGATTACAATCTGACGTCATCAAACATTATAATGTAACTCTAGAGAACATTCTGTTTCTTCCCTTTTAACCTTCAAAATATAGTAAAAATAGCATATTTATTAAAATATAAATACTTTTATATGATGACCTTTTCAATCTGATTCTTCTGGAATAGAGGAAATGTACATTGGTCCCTGAGTTTCTTCTGAAGTGTTTGTTAAATCTGACACAGAGACACTGAAGATTTAGGATATATCCTGAATCCTGCATAGATGTCTTCGGTGAATGTGGTGTTGAATGTGTGTAAGTGTGTGAGTGTGTTTGTGTCAGAGACACTGTAGAAGGACATAGAACCGGACGGCACGTCCACATACACTCCTACTCTATTATTGCGAGAGGAAGGAGCAATAATATCAGTGCCCTCGTTATTGTGCCAGGCAGTGTAATTTATATTGGAGCAGTAAATACTCCAGGACCTTTCGTTGAGTCCAAACCAAGATTCAAGCCCTCCTTTCCTGTCGATCGCTTTATAGGCCACTGCTACATAACCAGATCCACTCCATTTAGACTCCCAGTAACAGCGTCCAGTCAGAGTCTCTTTACACAGAACCTGCTCCTGTAGCTCAAATCTGTCTGGATGATTAGGGTACGGCTGAGGATCTTTCATATGCACTGCCTTTCTGTTTCCCTCAGACACTTGAAGTTGATTGTGTGCTGTGTTTGGATCCAGTGTGAGAAAGCAGGCATCTGAACACAGAAATCACCAATGCCATTGTTAAATATGCACAGGAGAGAGAGAGAGTGTGTGTGTGTGTGTGTGTGTGTGTAAATGGATGACTTACATTTCAAAAATCCTTGCTTGATCCTCAAATGTCCTCCATGGTCCAAACTAAAAACACAAATTAAGCAAAAAGAACTAAAATTATCTGACACGAGCAGTTGTGGATTTATTTAAGGGCAATATACGAGCAAACATCCTGAGGCCCATGGGCAGGTTTGCTTAAGGTGCCATATTCAAGCAATATGAGTTATATAAATATAGAGTTTTGTCATTTTTTCATGAAATTAGTAATAGGTATAAATCACAGGTGTCAGACTCAGTTCCAAAAGGGCCGCAGCTCTGCACAGTTTAGTTTCAACCCTAATTAAACACACCTGATCAAACTAATTGAGTCCTTCAGGCTTGTTTGAAAGCTACAGGTAAGTGTGTTGGAGCAGGGTTGGAACTAAACTGTGCAGGGCTTCGGCCCTCCAGGAATTGAGTTTGACACCCCTGGTATAAATGAACAGTTCTTCTATTTTATAGTTTGCAATAGTTTGGGGATAAACAGATAAAGCCTTATAAAAAGTAATGAGACTATAAATTAATTTCACTATAGATGTTTTCATCATATCTTCTGTGGCCTCAATCATTTAAGGAAATTCAAATCTCCCCCACATACTTGAGTTTCTGCAGTGTGTAGTGTGGATCCTCCAGTGTGTGTTGGAGCAGCTGGACTCCTGATTGTCCTGGGTGATTGTAGCTCAGATCCAGCTCTCTCAGGTGTGAGGGGTTTGAACTCAGAGCTGAAGATAGAAAACCACAGCCTTCCTCTGTCACCATACAGCCAGACAACCTGCAGATACCAATGCACAAACAGATGGATCATCTACAGATATTGACATAATTCTCTCTTTTATATATTCTTAATACCTCAGTATCTCCAGCTGACAGTTTGGACTCTTCAGTCCATCAGAGAGCAGCTTCACTCCTGAATCCTGCAGGTCATTGTTACTCAGGTCCAGCTCTCTCAGGACACAGTTTGAGGATTGAAGAACTGACGACACAATTTCACAATCCTGAGCAGAGAGATTACAGCCAGCAAGACTGAAAGAAGAGGAGAACACACAGTAAATAAATTTCTCCCAAAACTAATTTTAACACTAGCACTGGATTAATCACTCACAGAGCTCTTGTGCAGTTGCTGACGGCTGGTATCAGTCTTCTTCTGCCCTCATCTGATGTGTTGTATTTCTGGAGCTCCAGCTCATCCAGCACCTCCTCTGACATCTGAAGCATGTAGGCGATTGTTGAGCAGTGAGCAGGAGAGAGTTTCTTCTCTGACTGTTTGTCTGATTTCACAAACTCCTGAATCTCCCTGGACAGAGTCTGATCTTTCACTTCCAGCAGACAGAGGAACAGATTGATGGATCTTTCAGTGGAGAGTCCATGTCCATCTCTGATCTTCTCTTTAATGTACTGTGTGCTTCTCCTGATGCTCTCTGAGCTCTTCTCTGTGTGTGTCAGTAGATCCTGGAAGAGTCTCTGATTGGACTCCAGTGAGACGCCCAGCAGGAACCGCAGGAACAGATCCAGATGACCATTCTCACTCTCAATGGCTTTATTAATGATTCTTTTATGGAGATTTTCTAGTGAATCAAAAGATGCTTCTGTAGTGCTGCTTACATGAATGTAAAAAACATAGAAAGCAGCCAGAAACTCCTGAACACTCAGATGGATGAAGCTGTAGACTTTCCTCTGCTGAATCACAGATTCCTCCTTAAAGATCTCAGTGCAAATCCCAGAATACACTGAGGCCTCACAGATGTCGATGCCGCTCTCAATCAGGTCCTCCTCATAGAACATCACATTGCCCTTCATCAGCTGTCTGAAAGCCACTTCAGCAAGTTTGACAATCACTTCTCTGTTGGACTGCAGGAGTTTCTCTGGATCTCTCTCTTCATACTTCTGATTCCTCATGTTGATCTGAATCAGCAGGAAGTGGATGTACATTTCAGTCAGAGTTTGAGGGATTTCTGCACTCAGATCTTCTTCCAGGAGCTTCTGAAGCACAGTGGATGAGATCCAGCAGAAGACGGGTATGTGGCACATGATGTGGAGGCTTCTTGCTCTTCTGATGTGTGAGATGATTCTGCTGGCTTGATGCTGCTCACTGATTCTCTTCCTGAAATATTCCTCCTTCTGAGGCTCAGTGAATCCCTGAATTTCTGTCAGACGCTTGATGTATTTGGAGGGGATCTGATTGGCTGCTGCTGGTCTGGAGGTGATCC